TTCTTTCTTTCTTTCTTTCTTTCTTTCTTTCTTTCTTTCTTTCTTTCTTTCTTTCTGCAGCAGCTCAAAGCCAAATGAGCCTCTCTTTTGTTCAAACAGAAGCACAAAGAGAAGTCTGTCTCTCACCTGGGACGTCTATCAAAGGCAACTGCCTTTTGGGGAAAGCAGCCAAAGCCGGCAGTGCTGTTTGCAGAGACTTTTCCCCCTTTCGATTTCCCTCACTTTCTCATTTGACCTGCTTTCTCCTCTGACTGAAATCCTGATTTGTGGGTCACAAACAACTTCCTGCAAGATGTTTTCAAGTGGATCATTGTGGTGTTCCTCTGGCTGTAGTTGCGGCAAAGTATGAGCCGGAGACCGGTTTTCTGAGTCCCTGCTTTGACTTTAGGAAAGTCACACTCTCTCGGCTTTGGAGGTGGCAAACGCCCTGTAATTGTGCCAGCAAAACATTATTCTATAGGCTGAGGTCCCCGAGTTACAAACACCCACCCAATTTACAAACAACTCCTAGTTAAGAACAATGGAGCTGATTTTTTATATATATATATATATATATATATATATATATATATATATATATATAATACTAATATAATATTAGTATTGTGGCATTATATTATTAGCCGAGCCTTTTAGGGCCCTGCAGGGTGGCCTTCTGGTGCCTTTGTTTAGTCTGGGCAGAAGGCTCTCTGCTTAAATCTGGCCCCTCCATTCATGTTTATTTATAGGAAGTATTATGCTCATGGAGAGACATCCTCTCCTTGTTGATGGCTTTGAAACTGGGAAGGAAGTCCTGACAATCTTTGCTCCGTTCGGATTGCTGTTTTGTTCCGCTTCCAAGCTGGTGAACAGATGGGGAATATTCCTCCGGAAGTTCCTTTTAAAGGATGAAAGGCTCTTGCATTTTTCCCGGAAGATCCCTCAGAGCAGCCTTTCTTTCCCAAAGGAAAGCACAGCGGGCTGACACTTCTGCTGGCCACCGCTGCCTTTTCTGGAGTCCCATTCGGTTTTCCTTTGGGGCTTAAAGCCCTGTAAGTTTTTCTGGATTCAATTTCAGTGTCCACAGCCCCATAAGAGCGCAAAACAGCTTGTTTCAGGTGGAAAGCAGGAGCCTCAGGAGAGGCCTTTCAGGAGGAAGGAGAATGGCTGCAGGCCTGCCTCGCCTTGGGATGCTTTGCTTTCGATCCTTCGCTTTTTCAACAGACTTATATTAATGACTAGCGGTTCCCTGCCACGCGTTGCTGTGGCCCAGTCTGGTGATCTGGAAAATAAAGTAATGAGAAAGTGTTGGTTTCTAATATATGTAATGTCTTTCTGCTTGTGGGTAAACAGTATTTCTTGCTGTTTCTTTGCCAGTGTTGATGTGGAGATTGTCTGGTTTGCCTACTCTGGAACATGCCACATATCATTGTCCTTCTTTAGAGGTCCCTTTCAAATCTTTGCAACATGTGCCGTCGCGCCTGGGGGCTATTATTCTCAATAAAGGAGGGGTGGACGTGGCATCTTTCCCCCAGGGGATTGCTTCTTGCCCTCCTATAGGAAACTGGAACTCCCAAAAACCCAAAACGCTGTAAATAGCTCAAAATAAGTTTTATTTATCACAAAGTCATTTCTTCAAAGCAATGAGCTGGAAAACTTTAGAGGGGTGAAGGAAAACATACATTACAGTCTCAATTAGTCCTGGGTCCAAGGGGTTTGAAGCTGAGAAGCCTCACCAAGTTTCCTCTTTCCTCAATGGCTGTGAATGCCGGAGCAAACCACAACCCCAGTTCAGATGGCCTATGTTTTGAAGACTCAGGATCTTCCTCTGGTGCCAAAAGAACCAGCTTGAAGGTGCTTGGGAACTCCTCAATGTTATCCAGGACGATCTGGACATAAAGCATGAGTCCCAAGGGTAAAAAACCTCAGAACTGGTGCTAAGAGGTAACTTAAATCAGGGTCCTTTAGAATCAAGTCTTTTACTCACGTCCATCTGGTACAAACTCTGATGGCAGAATGAAGAAGAAAAAGGAAGCTCTCCCCTCTTGCAGGAAGAGGTGGAGCCAAACAGTACTGATTGACAGCTACAAGCAACCAATCCATACAACTATACATAAGCAGTGTAAAAAGGGGCAGGATTAAGCATGATACAACAGCTTAAATCTTACAACTAACAGTTTTACACATAGGTGGCGCCACTTGTGCCGTCACAATACTGCATCTGTCATATACGTGTGTGTGTGTGTGTGTGTGTGTGTGTGAATGGCTGGATGGCCCTTTGTCAGGAGGGCTTTGATTATGTTTTCTTGCCCTGGTGAAGGGAGTTGGACTGGATGGCCTTAAGGCAGCATTTCTCAACCTGGAAAGTCAAGACCCTGGGGGGGGTCACCAGGGAGGTGTCAGAAGGGTCACCCAAGACCACCAGAAAACACAGTATTTTCTGTTGGTTATGGGGGTTCAGTGTGGGATGTTTGGCCCAATTCCATTGTTGGTGGGGTTCAGAATGCTCTTTTATTGTAGGTGAACTATACATCCTAGTAACTACAACTCCTAAATGTCAAGGTCTATTTCCCCCAAACTCCATCTGTGTTCACATTTGGGCATATTGAGTATCCATGCCAAGTTTGGTCCAGATCCATCATTGTTTGAGTCCACAATGTTCTCTGGATGGAGGTGAACTACAATTCCAAAACTCAAGGTCAATGCCCACCAAACCCTTTCAGTATTTTCTGTTGGTCATGAGCACGGTCCAGAGTGACTCCCAGGTATTTGGGTGTGCTGCAATGCTCCAGTGGGATTCCTTCCCAGGTAATCCTCAGAGCTCGGGTTGCTTGTCTGTTCTTAAGGTGAAGGCACATGTCTGTGTTTTAGATGGATTAGGGATCAGCTGGTTTTCCCTGTAGTAGGCGATAAGGGCACCTAGAGCTTTGGAGAGCTTCTGTTCTACCATCTCAAAGCTTCCTGCTCGAGCAGTAATCTATTGAATAAGTGGGACTCCCAGGATTCAGTGTGAGAGATGTTCAGAGGGGTGTCTGTGTTTGGGTAGAGCAAAGACACCTGCTCCCCACTCTGGCCGTGCTGGCTGAACCACCCTAGGAATGGTTGCCAGAAGAATCTCGTTTTTGTGTTGTGTTCTTTCCCCTCCCTTTTGAAATCTCCATTTGAAAGGCAATTTCCCGACCTGACACCGAGATGGAGTCTTTCAATATTTTGTCCCATCAAAGCTCTTAACAAGCAGTGTATATGTAAAGTTGACATAAAGTTTTCAAAAGTGATCATATTTTACACCATCTGCCATAATCCTACTCCTCTTTCTGACAATATATTTCTACTCACTCAGGAGGAGTCTGTAAATATTACGCCGGTATCGTATTCTGCTAAAGGCTCCCAATTGTTTTGCAAAACCGTTGTATTGTTTTGTTTCTAAGGAGACAAGTTAGTTTATCAAATTGTGCAAAGTTTAGCAGCCATTAGTTTACAGGTGGGCTTTCCATTTACTTTCTTTCCGGTGTCTATTTGGGCAGCTGTTGTTGCATTTTGAAAGAAAACAACATTTTTCTTATTGATGGCATCATTTGCCAGGACCAACAACTATATTTCTGGTGAAGATGGTCTATTCGGTGGCAAAATTCTTTGGATTGTTTCCTTAACAGCAGTTCCAAATTCCACCTCGTGCAGGTGAAAGGTCTCTTCCTTTGCCTGACATTTTGAGCATTTATTATCCATCCTCTTGTTTTGATTCCCCTTGGCAAGTTTTTCTGGAGCGATAGGCCACCTGCCAAACGTTTTGGTTTCTTTCTTGTATTGAGCATTTGCTCTGGAGCAGTGGCTCTCAACCTTCCTAATGCCGCGACCCCTTAGTACAGGTCCTCATGTTGTGGTGACCCCCAACCATAACGTTATTTTCGTTGCTACTTCATAACTGTAATTTTGCTACTGTTATGAATTGTAATGTAAATATCTGATATGCAGGATGTATTTTCAGTCACTGGACCAAATTTGGCACAAATACCCGATACGCCCCAAATTTGAATACTGGTGGGGTTGGGGGTGATTGATTTTGTCATTTGGTAATGCTGGAGTTGCTGGGATTTATAGTTCACCTAAAATCAAAGAGCCTTCTGAACTCCATGAATGATGGAATTGAATCAAACATGGCACACAGAATTCCCATGACCAAGAGAAAATACTGGGAAGGTCTGGTGGACATTGACCTTGAGTTTTTTGGAGTTGTAGTTCACCTACATCCAGAGAACACTGTGGACTCAAGCAATGATGGATCTGGATCAAACTTGGCACAAATACTCAATATGCCCAAATGTGAACACTGGTAGAGTTTGGAGAAAATAGACCTTGCCATTTGGGAGTTGTAGTTGTTGGGATTTATAGTTCACCCACAATGAAATAGCATTCTGAACCCCACCAATGATAGAATTGGACCAAACTTTCCACACAGAACCCCCATGACCAACAGTTTTCTGATGGTCTTTGGCGACCCCTCTAACACCCCCTTGCGACCCCCACAGGGGTCCCGACCCCCAGGTTGAGAAACACTGCTCTGGAGGAAAGTAGCTTGTCTGTGATTTTAATAATTGTTTTAATACTGCTGTTGGGTTTTTTAAAGTTTTAATTGCACATGTTCATTTTTATTGTATTTATGTATTTATGTATACGCATGGTATCAAATTGCTGCCTTTTGTGAGCTGCAAATGAATAAATAATACAAGTGCCTGGCCATAGGGTTGGCTTCTTATTCTGTGATGGGGAATGGAGACCATTTTGAGTCGAGAACACAGGTGGGAATAAATAAAAAGGTGTTGTTGTTGACATTGTTGCGATTATGATTGTGTTCCTCTCTTGAGGTCAAAGCACCTGTTGTCGGAGCTTTGCAAGAACCGTCTCCTCCTACTTTGATCCTTCGAATGACAAGGCCGTTCCTTATTCCTCTTTACTGACCCGATCTCTCTGTCTCTCTCTCTCTCTTTCTCTTTCCTTCCTTCCTTCCTTCTTTCTCCAGGGCAGCAAAGGCCACTTCCGCTACCACTGGCAGAGCCACAATGTCAAACAGAGCGGAGTGGATGACATGGTCCTCCTCTCCAAGATCTCCGAAGACTCCATCGTGGAGAACCTCAAGAAGCGCTACATGGACGACTACATCTTCGTATCCTTTCCCAGGGAAGTCCAGTGGGATAGGCTGAGGTCTCCAAGTTACAAATACCCGATTCACAGTTCAGAACGGGGCTGAACTGAATGATCTTTGGGGGTCCCCAAGTTACAAACACCTGACTTACAAACGATTCTCAGTTCAGAACAGGGCTGGACTGGATTTATTTATTTCTCGTGTCAGGGCAACCACTCAATTGTATTACATTTCTGCTTCCCGGCGGATGTCAGGTGGTGCAATACCGGCTAAGCAGTGTAATTTCTCCAGTGGTGTAGGGCGCAGACACCCCGTGATAATGCGGCATGTCTCATTAAGAGCCACATCCACTGTTTTAGTGGTGAGATGTGTTCCACACTGGGCATGCATACTCAGCAGCAGAGTAGCATAGCGCAAGGGCAGATGTCTTCACTGTGCCTGGTTGTGATCCCCAAGTTGTGCCAGTCAGCTTTCGTATGATATTGTTTCTAGCACCCACTTTTTGCTTGATGTTCAGGCAGTGCTTCTTGTAGGTAAGAGAACGGTCCAGAGTGACTCCCAGGTATCTGGGTGCGCTGCAATGCTCCAGTGGGATTCCTTCCCAGGTGATCCTGAGAGCTCGGGATGTTTGTCTGTTGTTAAGGTGAAAGGCACATGTCTGTGTTTTAGATGGATTAGGGATCAGCTGGTTTTCCCTGTAGTAGGCAGTAAGAGCACCTAGAGCTTCGGAGAGCTTCTGTTCTACCATCTCAAAGCTCCCTGCTTGAGCAGTAATGGCACAATCATCAGCATAGATGAAACTCTCTGTCCCTTCTGGCAGTGGCTGGTCATTTGTGTAGATGTTGAACATGGATGGAGCAAGCACGCTCCCCTGAGGCAGCCGTTCTTCTGTTTCCGCCATCTGCTTCTCTGGCCCTGGAACTCAACAAAAAAGCTCCTGTTTTGTAGCAGGTTTCCTATGAGGCGGGTGAGGTGGTAGTCCTTTGTGATATTATACATTTTTCTCAGGAGGAGGCGGTGGTTCACAGGAGGGAACGAGAAATACAGACCGGGAGGCTGGACTGGATGGCCTTGGGGAGTCTCTTCCAAATCTATCTCAGAGTTAAGAACAACAGGGCTGAGACCATCTTTGAAGGAAAGGAAGGGAAATCCACTCCTGGAAGAGTTATGATTATCAGGGGAGAAGGTTCTCCACTGAAGGTTTCTCTCCAACCCTTGTTTCAAGCACAAGCCAAATGCTTCAAAATCCAATTCTCATGGGGACACAAAGTGAGCTGGAGTCTCCTGAAGAGATGCAGCAAAGGAAACCCACAGGGGTGCTCGCCCTTCCCTATGCTGCCCCTATACACACACACATATATGGCTGGAGTTGCACCTAAGAAATGTCCCTGTTCTGACTTTCATACAATTTCAAGTTGAGAACAAACCTACTCCTTTATTCGGTTGGTCTGTATTTCTCTTTCCCTGTATTTGTACACCAAGGAAAATGGGGTGCCAGCGGCTCTGCTCCCTAGGCACTGAACGCAGAGGAGGCCTTCCTTTCCCTTGCTTTTCCCCCAGAGCAGGAGGGCAAATGTCATTGAGAAAACCAAGAGAAGGAGGGCCACACCTTGGCTTCCAGGCTTCACACAAAGGCCATTGAAAGGCCATAAAGCCTCACTGCCGGGAGGGCGGGCGGGCGGACATCCACAAAGGGACAAAGTCCCACTTTTGGGGCCATTGTTTCTGCAGGGAAGATATACGGTATTTAATGTATTGTCGAAGGCTTTCATGGCAGGAATCACTGGGTTGTTGTAGGTTTTCCGGGCTATATGGCCATGTTCTAGAGGCATTTTCTCCTGACGTTTCACCTGCATTTATGGCAAGCATCCTCAGAGGTAGCGAGGTCTGTTGGAAGTAGGAAAATGGGTTTATATATCTGTGGAAAGACCAGGGTGGGACAAAGGACTTTTGTCTGCTGGAGCTAAGTGTGAATGTTTCAACTGACCACCTTGATTAGCATTTAATGGCTTGGAAATGCCTGGGGGAATCTTTCTTTGAGAGGTGATTTGATGTTTTACAACAGCAAAACAACAGAGAGTAAACAATCAGGCACATCAATTAATATAAATAATAATAATGTAAATAATAATACTAATAGGAGAAATTCATTAGAAAACTAGAGCAAAATGTGCTCATGCTGGCTGTCTCTCCCAAAAGACAATGCTTTTGGAGTTTAATACACTTTTCCATGTTTTTAGGGTAGAACCCAGTAGGAAATGAACTTTGTGAACAAAAATCATGTCACATAGTCTAATACTACTACTAATAAATCATGAGGATTCCTCCACACTCTCCTCTGGATCAGAAGGCTGCCTTTGGAGCCACGAAATCAAGCCTTTGGGCGGAGGAGATGGGATGCAAGTTAGGAAGAAGCCCGTTTCCTCTTTTTGGTCTTTTTCCCCTTGCAGGGTTCTGCATTTCCCTGTTACTCATCGGGGAGAAGTTCAACTATATCTATCTATCCTTCTATCTATATATTGCATGTGACAGAAGTATGTCATCCCCCCCCCCCCCAATTTCCCCGAAGGCTTTTTTTAGAGCCACAAAGGGTTTACTTTGGTGTTGAAAAGTATACATATATACACGCTGATGGGGTGCTGCTGCCTCCGTAAGAGGAAGGGGACCACAATGTGCAAAGCCGATTGTGCGTTATGCTTAGAAGGGCCTCACAAAGGCAAAGTCCCCATGTTTTTTAGGATAGAACCAGTTAGGAAATAATGGCATTGAGAACTCAGTAAAAATAATAATAATGAGATCTACATACTGGATTTCGTATCACAAAATCACAAGTCGAACACTTCCCAAGTGTCTAGGACTGTGTGATGCATTTTCGGATGATGTGCACAGATCCAAGTCAGGTGGCCTTTTGCAGTTGACAGATCGGGATTTTGTCAATGTGTATTGTTTCCAAATGCTGGCTGAGATCTTTTGGTGCTGATGACCACTGGGACCCCCTGTACTGGCTGATGCCAGAACCTTTGCCGTTCGATTTTGAGTTTTTCCTGTTGTTCTTCCTCAATGCGACTGTCACCTGGTATGACGACATCAATCATCCAAACTTTTTATTTTTCCACCACCGTGAGACCTAGTGTATTGTGTTCTGGATTCAAAAGTCCCACAATATTTTTGCATATTCATTTCCTACTACTACCTTTGCAGGTTGATGATCCCACCAGTTCTTTCCTACTGGTCCTTGTGACATAAGTTCCAATGAATCCTTTGGGCCACAGAGTTTTGCCTCTGTTTGTAGTCCATCTGTGCGATTTTCCTGCAGCAATTGAGGAGATGGTCCATGGTTTCAATAGCTTTCTTGCACAGTCTGCATTTTGGGTCATCAGCTGATTGGCCTTAATGGCCTTTGTTCTGATTATGGCTTGATTATTATTATTATGACCGGACCGAGGCCACTGAACTCGATGTCGATGGACGCCTCGCCGGTACCATCTGCGTCGTTATCGTGCAGGGCTGTTTGATTTGCCGAGGTCTTCTCGACGATGTCGAAGCTACCGAGGCCGGCCTTGTCGACTGGGTCGCTGAAGAGGTGGAAGGCACCGAAGACAGTTGAGACCGCTGAAGTCAAAGGCTGTGGAGCTTGCGACTGCTCGTACAGCAAGACCTTCAGGCGCGCTGCCCCATTTTTCCTCGACTGAGCCGTCAGCGCCTGGCAATGTCTGCAGGTCAAAGTGTTATAGGCCTCGCCGAGGCAGCGGAGACACTTTGAATGCTTATCCGAGTCAGGTAGTTTCCTACAGAATTGGGTGCAATGCTTAAATCTTGTAGTTGACATAATAAGGAAGATTCCGAGCGAGCTGAGCGGCGGAAAAACAGGAACTGCGGAGCATGCGCGCGGGGCACCTTTTATGCCCTGCTGAGCAGCTGGACGGGGTTACCGCCAAAACTTAAAAGTTTCAAATTGGGAAGTTTTCCGTTGGAGCCTGCGCAGATCCTCCATATGTGTGCATTCACAGAGGCCACGAAGAAAATTATTATTATTATTATTATTATTATTATTATTATTATTATTCAGATTTTGTTACATGTTGTTGTTATCATTATATTGAAATGGGATGAAGATACTTGCTCCCTTGCCTTGGCTGAGCATGACCTCACTTTGCAGCAGTGATCCCCCCAAACAATGCTCTCTCTTGTGTTTCCTGAATTCTCATTGTTGAGAGCGTTTGTGTGGGTTTTGCATAGCAAAGCGGCCATTATCCCTAGCCAAACCAAAGACACACACACATACACACACACAGATATACACACACATATATACACACAAACACATATACGGATACATACACACACATACTAATACGCTGATTTTGCCTTAATGGCAAAATCATTCTCGTCAAGCCATAGCAACTCAAATAAAAATGCTATTTATTTACAAACAAAACAGTTGTATTGCATTTTTTAACAAACAAACAAAAACAAAACACAAAGTTTGCAAGCTTAGTAGTTGATTAAATGTCCTTTGACCAGTATCTGGCCACTTGGAGTGCATCTGGTGTTACTATAAGAAGGTCCTCCATTGTGCATGTGGCAGGGCTCAGGTTGCATTGCAGCAGGTGGTCTGTGGTTTGCTCTTCTCCACACTCGCATGTCGTGGATTCCACTTCGTAGCCCCATTTCTTAAGATTGGCTCTGCATCTCGTGGTGCCAGAGTGCAGTCTGTTCAGCGCCTTCCAAGTCGCCCACTTTTCTGTGTGCCCAGGGGGAGTCTCTCATTTGGTATCAGCCATTGATTGAGGTTCTGGGTTTGAGCCTGCCACTTTTGGACTCTCGCTTGCTGAGGTGTTCCAGCGAGTGTCTCTGTAGATCTTAGAAAACTATTTCTTGATTTAAGACGTTGACGTGCTGGCTGATACCCAAACAGGGGATGAGCTGGAGATGTCTCTGCCTTGGTCCTTTCACTATTGGCTGCTACTTCCCGGCGGATGTCAGGTGGTGCAATACCGGCTAAGCAGTGTAATTTCTCCAGTGGTGTAGGGCGCAAGACACCCCGTGATAATGTGGCATGTGTCATTAAGAGCCACATCCACTGTTTTAGTGTGGTGAGATGTGTTCCACACTGGGCATGCATACTCAGCAGCAGAGTAGCATAGCGCAAGGGCAGATGTCTTCACTGTGTCTGGTTGTGATCCCCAGGTTGTGCCAGTCAGCTTTCGTATGATATTGTTTCTAGCACCCACTTTTTGCTTGATATTCAGACAGTGCTGAAATGCTGAAAACCCCAGAAGCCCAGAAAGATGGCCGATGGATTCGCTGGCTTTTTCTCAGAGAAGCAATTGCTATAACTTGGCTTTTGTAGTGTTGTGGCTCATTGAGTGAGAGTAGAGCGATTCTGGATCATCGAATGTCCTTTGCCTGATGGTCAGTGTTCAACGCAGAATTTTGTCTTTTTGGGCCATGGTCCAGCCTTCATCTATAATTTCCGTGATGGAAAGCATGGCCATCCCACATTGATTTAACCTTAGAGTTTATGCAACTGACATTTGTGGGATATAACAACAACATGTCACAAAATTTGAAAAATGTTCTGTTCCTGTTTTGAAAGTGTTGCTCCTTTTTAATTGTGTGATCTTTACTTTGGGAGTCGTTGTTCTGCTCCAGGAACTTTGTTTTAGTTGAGACTTGGTGATGTGGGATTCATTGCAGAAAGAGAGCCAAGCGTTTTGGCAGTTTAATCTACTTTCCCCTGTTTTGAGGACAGAATCACCTGGGAAATTACTTTGATGACCCAGGAACACAAAGCATAGGATCGATTGCTGTTGGTATTATTTATCAACTAGTGTTGGTTATACTCTTCTTTGCGGATGGAGAGAAAATGCCGCCTCCCCTCGTGGCGCTTATTTATTTGTCGTGTCAGAACAACCAGTCAAATTATATTACATTTCTAACAGAACAAAGCAAACAAGCAGATTACAAAATTTGTGAGTATGAGAGTTGATTAAATGTCCTTTGACCAGTATCTGGCCACTTGGAGTGCCTCTGGTGTTGCTGCAAGAAGGTCCTCCCTTGTGCATGTGGCAGGGCTCAGGGTGCATTGCAGCAGGTGGTCAGTGGTTTGCTCTCTCCACACTCGCATGTCGTGGATTCCACTTTGTGGCCCCATTTCTGAAGGTTGGCTCTGCATCTCGTGGTGCCAGAGCGCAGTCTGTTCAGTGCCTTCCAAGTGGCCAGTCCTCTGTGTGCCCAGGGGGGAGTCTCTCATTTGGTATCAGCCATTGATTGAGGTTCTGGGTTTGAGCCTGCCACTTTTGGACTCTCGCTTGCTGAGGTGTTCCAGCGAGTGTCTCTGTAGATCTTAGAAAACTATTTCTAGATTTAAGTCGTTGACGTGCTGGCTGATACCCAAACGGGATGGGCTGGAGATGTCTCTGCCTTGGTCCTTTCACTATTGGCTGCTACTTCCCGGCGGATGTCAGGTGGTGCAATACCGGCTAGACAGTGTAATTTTTCCAGTGGTGTAGGGCGCAGGCACCCTGTGATAATGCGGCATGTCTCATTAAGAGCCACATCCACTGCTTTAGTGTGGTGAGATGTGTTCCACACTGGGCATGCATACTCAGCAGCAGAGTAGCACAGCGCAAGGGCAGATGTCTTCACTGTATCTGGTTGTGATCCCCAGGTTGTGCCAGTCAGCTTTCGTATGATATTGTTTCTAGCACCCACTTTTTGCTTGATGTTCAGGCAGTGCTTCTTGTAGGTAAGAGCACGGTCCAGAGTGACTCCCAGATATTTGGGTGCGCTGCAATGCTCCAGTGGGATTCCTTCCCAGGTGATCTTCAGAGCTCGGGATGCTTGTCTGTTCTTGAGATGAAAGGCACATGTCTGTGTTTTAGATGGGTTGGGGATCAGTTGGTTTTCCCTGTAATAGGCAGTAAGAGCACCTAGAGCTTCAGAGAGCTTCTGTTCAACCATCTCAAAGCTCCCTGCTTGAGCAGTAATGGCACGATCATCAGCGTAGATGAAACTCTCTGTCCCTTCTGGCGCTGCAAGATGGGGAATCGACATGGGGGTTTAGCCTGGGCTTTAAAGCCCTGTGTAAAGACTCTTACGTAATAGGCCAGAATAGAAGCCTGGGAAGACAGTAGGGCAAACCTCCATTTTGAGAGTGTCTGCCAGTAAAGCAGCCATCTTGAGGGAGGAGTTGGAGGTCTCCTGGGATTGGCTAGAGCAGAGGAGGAGCCAAGTCTTGGGAGGGAAAAAGATTTCAGCTTCTGAGTGAGAGAGAAGAGATTTGGGAACTGGAGGGTGAAGAAGTGGGTTTTGAGACTGGGTATTTCTGAGAGAGTGTGTGTGTATGTCAGACAGGGCTGATTAGTTGACAAGAAAGGCCAGGCAGCCTCCTGATTGCTTGTGTGAGATAACACAAGGGATTTGCTCTCTAGTTTGAGTAAATTAGCTGTAAAGACTCTGGGGAGAGTTGGCTAATTACTCAGAAGACAGCCTGGGATAGGTTAGTCAAGATCTCATTGCTATTTCGCTGAAGTAGAGTGAGGGATTTTTTTGTAACCAGTAGCTATATCTGTGAGATTAGCTCTGTTTGTAACCAAGTCAAGAAACTCTTTTAAAGCAACCATTAAGATATTGTACTATAGTAATGAGTCAAGCGTTTGTGCCTCTCAAAAGAAGTCAGTTGTCTGTTTTTATTAATAAACCTTTTCTCTGTTTGACTTTTAAGAAGCCTCTATCGTTCCTCAATCTATCAGTAATCCTTTGTGATAATTCTAGCCTCTTTAACATCCTAATACCACAGAAAGGTCACTTATCCAAACAGTCATTTTGGGAGCTAAGGGAAGAGCTGTGTTGGCAGAGAAGGGGAAAAGTTTACCTCAGAAACTCACTTTAAAAATCCTAAGACATCTTAGGTTGGTGGCAGCATTAAACCAAAAGACGACTGAAGTAGTGTTCACTCTACCATTACACACATCTAACATCAACTCACTACCATACTATTGTCCAGTGGTGTGACATTACATATAATTCTTTTACACAGAGCACCTATTTCTGCAATGCCGACTTTAAAGCTTGGACTAAAACTCAGAGCAGACCTTGACTGTTTCCAACCCAGACCTACATTGGATCCGTCTTGATCTCTGTGAATCCCTTCAAGCAGATGCCGTATTTCGGGGAGAAAGAGGTCGAGATGTACCAAGGAGCGGTCAGTATGGGCTTCTCTCTGCTCTGTTTGAAAATACAAGACCTGGCCCTTCTGAGAAGGAATTGTATTATGATCCGTATATTGATGTATCCTGCTTTGAATCTTCTATCAGCTTCAAGTCTCCTTTGGGAGAAAAGATATAAATGATGATGATGAGGATTATGATGAGGATGATGATGATATATGTATACTGCGCTGCATCTCCACCAAAGGGGACTCAAAGCAGCTTAACATAAAAGCATCACCATTTGAAATCTATATAAATAAAAATGTAATGTTCGTTTGTGGGATTAACATAACTCAAAAACCACTGGGCGAATTGACACCAAATTTGGACACAATACACCTATCAGGCCAACGAGTGACCATCACCCTTAAAAACACACAAAAACCCCAGCAGAATGGACTTAAATCCATACATATATATACACACGCACATATATACACACACACACATATACGCAAGCACACACAAATATACACATATACACACCTACATATACACCTACACACATATACATATACACATACATACACACATAAACACACATATATGCATATACACAAGCACACACATATACACAATATACATATACACATATAAACACAGAAATATACATATACACATGCACACATACAAACACACATATATACGCAAGCACACACAAATATACACATATACACACAAATACATATACACCTACACACACACACATATATATATACACACATATAAACAAAGAAATGTGCATATATATGCATATATATATACAAATTTATACACACAACATTAGAACGCATGCACAAAACTACATATATACGCAAGCACACACAAATATACACATTTACACACACAGACATATACACCTACAGACATATACATATACACATATAAACAAAGAAATACACAAATATATACATGTGTATACACACATATATATGCACACAAACACACACATATATACACATTTACACAAATATATACACACAACATTAGAACGCATGCACAAAACCACATATATATACGCAAGCACACCTACCTACACATATACACAAATATATATATATACACACATATACACACACAAAATACATATGTACACAGCAACACGTGGCAGGGGACAGCTAGTATACAAATATATGAACATTAAAGCAGGTTAAATATCAACAATATTTTAAAAATTCCCAGGTAAAATCCTAATGATCTTTTGATTGAGAAGAAAAGCAGTTCACAGCATTACAAAAACATAGTTAGGAAATATATAGGGATATAAGATATAGGGGGAGATTATTATCATATGTATACGTGTGTGTGTGTGTGTGTACGCACACACACATGATAAAAAACACACACATAAAAGGAATTTGGAAAGTCGTTTTCTCAAACCAAGATCCCGTCGTGTATCTTAAATAGGAAGACTATTATAACTTTCTATGCCGCTGACTCATTCCTTTTGCACCCCGCCAGGCTCAGTATGAGAACCCGCCCCACATCTATGCTCTAGCGGACAACATGTACCGGAACATGATCATCGACAGGGAGAACCAGTGCGTCATCATCAGGTGAGGGACTCGTTGGCTTCGGCTGGATGCCCATCTGTCGGGAGGGATCGAATGTTGCCTTTCCTGCCTGGCAGAAAGAAGGGGGTCTGACTGGATGGCTTTTGGGGTCCCTTTCCAATCCTAGGATTCTAGAGTTCTATTCTTATTAATCAGGGCTGAGTGGCCATCTGTTGGGAGGGGTTGTATTGTGTCTTCTTTCCTGTCCGGCAGAAAAGCGTTGACTGGGTGGCCTTTGGGAGCCTCTTCCAACTCTAGGATTTTATGCATTTTTATTATTATTAAACAGAGGCTAGATGGCCATCTGTTGGGAGGGCTTGGATTGTGTCCAACACTAGGATATTATGGTTGTATTATTATTTAGCAGGGGCTGCATGGCCAACTGTTGGGAGGAGTTGAATTGTGTCATCCTTTCTTCCTGGCAGAAAAGGGTTGGACTGGATGGCCTTTGGGGGTCCTTTCGAACCCTAGGATTCTATGGTTCTGTTGTTGTTGTTGTTGGTAATAATAATAATAATAATAATAATAATAATAATAATAGTTGGGACAGACATGATATGGGGATATGTGTTCATTCGTCAAAGGCACACTGGAAGAGCCAGGTTTCTAGATCTCTCGTAAAGGCTGCCAGGGTGGGGACTTGCCTAATCTCACTAGGTAGCGAGTTCCAAAGCTAAGGGGCCACAACGGAGAAGGCTGTCTCCCTCGTCCCCACAAGTCGCACTTGCGATGGGAGTGGGAGCGAGAGGAGGGCCTCCCTGAGGATCGAAAAGATCATGCAGGATTGTAAAAGGAAGTTGTTGTTGTTGTTGTTAAGGAGGGGTTGGATAGGCACCTGTTAGGAGGGCTTGGATTGTGTCTTCCTTCCTTTCTGGCAGAAAAGTGGCTGGACTGGATGGCCTTTGGGGGACCCTTCTGATTCTAGAACAGTGTTTCTCAACCTGGGGGTTGGGACCCCTGCGGGGGTCATGAGGGGGTGTCAGAGGGGTCCCCAAAGACTATCAAAAACCACAGTATTTCCTGTTGGTCATGGGGGTTCTGTGTGGGAAGTTCGGCCCAATTCTATCATTGGTGGAGTTCAAAATGCTCTTTGATTGTAGGTGAACTATAAATCCCATAAACTATAAACTATAAATCCAAATGTCAAGGCCTATTTTCCCCAAACTCCACATTTGAGCATATTGAGTATTCGTGCCAAGTTTGGCCCAGATCTATCATTGTTTGAGTGCACAGTGCTCTCTAGATGTACGTGAACTACAACTCCCAAACTCAAGGTCAGTGCCCACCAAACCCTTCCAATATATTTCTGTTGGTCATTGGAGGTCTGTGTGCCAAGATTGGTTCAATTCCATTGTTGATGGAGCTCTGAATGCTCTTTGATTGTAGGCGAACTATAAATCCCAGCAATTATAACTCCCAAATATCAAAATCAATCCCCCTTCCCAACCCCACCGGTATTCAAATTTAGTCATATTGAGTATTTGTGCCAAATTTGGTCCAGTTAATGAGAATACACCCTGCATATCAGAAATTTACACTACAATTCATAATAGTAGTTCTGAATTATCAACAACAACAATTTTAATGATTGGGGGTCACCACAACATGGGGTCACAGCCTTAGGAAGAAAGCAGTCGATGCAAGGAATTGTGTGTGTCCTGCTCCCTGGTGCTGGGAGCGGCCACCCTGGTTTTCTTTCTTTCTGCCTTTCTTTCTTTATTTCTTTCCCCCCCAACGTATCATCCTTGTGGCTTCTTCTGTGCTATTCCTGGGTTCCTGGGGCTTAAAAATAAAGTGTTCCCTCTGGGGCCGATGGACGGGAATTCTCCCCGCGGAGCAAAGGAGGGGAAGAGCTGCTCTCGGCCTTTGTCTTTGAAGAGAGAGGCTTTGTAATGGACCCCAAAGGCACAAGGACTCCAGACTTACTCCTAATTTGATGGATCGCTTTGGGAAAAAGTATTCTCAGCATTTCCTTCTTGGGTGGAGTGAAGAAGGCAAGGCTTAGGTTGATTTAATAATAACAACAACAATAAGAATATATACACATAATAAAAGTGAAAATGTGTCTATGGCAGAGGTGTCCACTTATACCAGTGTTTCTCAACCTGGGGGTCGGGACCCCTGGGGGGATTGTGAGGGGCTGTCAGAGGGGTCGCCAAAGACCATCAGAAAACACAGTATTTTCTGTTGGTCATGGGAGTTTTGTGTAGGAAGTTTGGCCCAATTCTATCGTTGGTGGGGTTCAAGGGGATCTTTGGTTGTAGGTGAACTATAAATCACAGCAACTACAACTCCCAAATGTCAAGGTCTATTTTCCCCAAACTCCACCAGTGTTCAGATTTGGCCATATTGAGTATTCGTGCCAAGTTCGGTCCAGATCCATCATTCTTTGAGTCCACAGTGCTCTCTGGATGTAAGTGAACTACAACTCCCAAACTCAAGGTCAATGCCCACCAAACCCTTCCAGTGTTTTCTGTTGGAGATGGGAGTTCTGTGTGCCAAGTTTGGTTCAATTCCATCGTTGGTGGAGTTCAGAATGCTCTTTGAGTGTAGGTGAACTATAAATCCTAGCAACTACAACTCCCAAATGTCAAGGTCTATTTTCCCCAAACTCCACCAGTGTTCAGATTTGGCCATAATGAGTATTCGTGCCAAGTTTGGTCCATATCCATCATTCTTTGAGTCCAGTGCTCTCTGGATGTAAGTGAACTACAACTCCCAAACTCAAGATCAATACCCACCAAATACTTCCAGTGTTTTCTGCTGGAGATGGGAGTTCTGTGTGCCAAGTTTGGTTCAATTCCATCGTTGGTGGAGTTCAGAATGCTCTTTGATTGTAGGTGAACTATAAATCCCAGCAACTACAATTTCCAAATGACAAAATCAATTCCCCCAACCCCACCAGTATTCAAATTGGGGCGTATTGGGTATTTATGCCAAGTTTGGTCCAGTGAATGAAAATACATCCTGCATATCGGATATTTACATTACCATTAGCAACAGTAGTAAAATTACAGTTATGAAGTCGCAACAAAAATAATTCTATGGTTGGGGGTCACCACAATATGAGGAACTGTATTAAGGGGTTGCAGCATTAGGAAGGTTGAGAAACACTGACTTACACAGACAGCTTCCTGCCTCCACAAACAGCTTTAACCCACCGTGCTGAGGAGCCACCCAAAGCCCACCCTCCAAGGACATTGCAGGTTATAGCGAGCGCCATGAACATGTCTCCCCACCCCTGCCAATGTCCTCCCCAAACACCATCCTGCCCGCCAGCCAAGGAATACTTTCATTCAGGGACCATTTCATCCAAGATGTTCTGTTTTTCCTCCAGAATGGACACCCCAGGGGTTTTTTTCTCCATTGGTGTGGAATTTGCATAACCCTGCCCACTGCCTTTCCCCTAACCCTTTCCTACCCTTTCCTATGGCACACGGCAAACAGGAATTGATCACCAACTGAACAAGAGGTTTGGGGGGTGTATTGTCGAAGGCTTTCATGTCCAGAATCACTGGGTTTTTGTAGGTTTTTCCGGGCTATATGGCCATGTTCTGGAGGCATTTTCTCCATTGCCTCCAGAACATGGCCATATAGCCCGGAAAAACCTACAACAACCCAGGTTTGGAGGGAATTGACCTTGATTTATAGAAGTTGTAGTTCACCTACATCCAGAGAGCACTGTGAACCCAACCAATGATGAATCTGTACCACACTTGCCATGGATGATGGGGTATATAACCCCAAGAATGATGGGTCTGGACCAAACTTGTCCCACAGACTCTCTCCCCCCCCCCCCATGACCCACTTTTCATCTTGGTGCAGATTAGGGGAGGATGGACCAGGATCGATGGGAATTGCAGTACCTTCACCCATTTCTACAGAGCACTGTGACCCCCACAAATGACGGGCCTAAACCAGACACAAAATGACGGGCCTAAACCAGACACAAAACCCCCATGACCAACAGAACATATGTATTTATTTATTTATTTATTTATGTATTTACGACGTTTATATGCCACTCTTCCCACCCCGAAGGGGACTCAGAGCGGCTTACAAGTAAAAAGTAAATACAATATATGATATTATTATCATAGCACAATATTAATATTATATATTACATTGTACTATAACATTATACTGTAATATTATTAGTAATAGTACATTTAATATAAAATATGTCATTATAATTATAATATCTTTTAAATATCATACTGGAAGGGTTTGGGGAACTAACCCACCCGTGTGGGACTTATAGTTCTCCTTTGCATCCAGAACACTCTGAACCCCAACAATGACAGATCTGGACCAAACATGGTACACAGACCCAACATGCCCAAGTGTGAATACAGGTGGAGTTTGGGGGTGATTGCCCTGTGAATCGGGGACTTGTAGTTCACCTACATCCAGAGAGCACTCAACCCAGTGAATGTCGGATCTTGACTAAACTTGGCACATAGATGCAACATGGCCAGCTGTGCATTCAGGCCTAATTTGGGGAGGATTGACCCACGATTGCGGGAATTGTAGTTCACCCATTGTTGGGGTTCAGCCTGTGTGTGAACCTGAACCTGATTCTCTGATTGTATTTCCTGATGCCAATGAAGATGTTGATTCTGAAGGCAATGTAGAAGATGACTGTTTGTGTAGTGAAACTCCTGCAGCCTTAACTCCTGCAGCCTTGAAAAGTGAAAGTCCAAATTCCCATGAGAATGTTTCAGAGCCAAGCGGTGAACTTTCACTCCCAATTCCTCCCAGTCTTAGCTCTCCAGGGAATCTGACACCTGGTCTCTCTAATGAGGATAGGAGAGGGCAGATTTGGCAGAGCAGGGTAGAATCTCAAAGTTTACGAAGGTCAGCTAGACTGAGAGAAATGCAAACAAAGCCTGCAGGCGTGTCACGTAATAGATTTCTCGGCCTTAAGTACCTCGCGCCTGGATGTATCTTCAGACTAGGCATAATTCCAGATTCAAGCATCATCCTTGGCAGGTCTCCTGATTCCAGTGGCCTTATTCCTAAGAGGCTTCCTAGTTGCTTCAAGTACAGTTAGTGGATTGCTAACAGGTCCCAGATTTAGCAGTGTTACTGTGGGTTTTTGATCTTGTTCATGGACATTTCTTGTTGCTGATTTTTACTGTGGCTCTTTACCTTGCATATTTCCTCTATTTTTGTTCTCATCTTTCTTCAATAAAAAAGGATTGTTTTTCCTGAAGTCAAGTGTGGTGAATTGTTGTCTGAGGGTCCAGTTTCCTGCTATGGGTTGCAACACCCATCTCCTTATGCATTTTCTAATGGGACCATTCATAAAAAACCAAATCAAGAAGTGTTTTTTTCCCTAAGAGATCTGCATCAAGGGAGTGAGAAAAAACAAGAGGTGGCCATTAGACTGTTGCTGTTGTTGTTGTTGTTGTTGTTGCTGTTGCTGTTGTTGCTGTTGTTGCTGCTGCTGCTGCTGCTGCTGTGATTAGGAGTGCAGGGGAGCCGTGCCCCAAGGCCTTTGATGCAGATCTATTTGTGTATTTTATATCCCGCTTTTCTCAACTTGTGACCCGCCTTGCAAGCTAATAATAGAAAGCAATTAAAAAGGTTTTTAAAAAATGCTTAAACCAGTGTTCATTTCTAAACTCCGCTAATTTAAAACAGTATGAGATCATATTAAAAATACGATCAAAGCACAGCAAACTCCTTGTGCCTCACTAAAAGTGACGCAGAGCAATTTAGAAACAGGGCAAACCGATATAAATAGGGCTATACCAATATAAACACAGCAATTCCATATTTGCTTTGTGAGTGTAAAAGCTGAAACACATCAAAAACAGAGCCACAATTCCACTTTGCCAGCAGTTCCCTTTCCGCAATACGTCGCCCAACACGTGATTATTTGTTTGCCCTTTCCCCCTTCTATTTTGGGAGGGGGGGGTTCACCCTCCAAACCTGTGCTAATTATAAAGGTGGACTTCATCCTGGGAAGCAGAAATGCCCGCCATTGGTTTGTGTTTTCTGTGTTTTGGTTTTTTGAGGTGGAAGAAACCCAGGCTTTCTTTTTATAACTCGGTGGTGACTCATCTACGTTTAGGGCTGGCTTTGCCTCTCTCCTCCTTTTCAGAGCCGGGGGAAGGCGAGCGAGCCTTGCAGCCTTGGATGGTAACCCAAACGAAATGGCCTTGTTTTCTTTGAGTCACCGCGCTCATGGCCTTCCTTTCCTTTCTGCCTGAAACTCAAGAGGTCTCTTTGGGGATGGAAGGAGAACACCAATGGCTTTCCTTCTTCTGGGAAAGCAGTCCCAGGCAAAGGGAGGAGAGGTCCTCTGGAAGGAGAGGTTGGGGAGGGCTTTTGGCCCCCAAACCCGAGTGGGCACTTGTCCTCCAAACCCGAGTGGGCTCGAGAGGGAGCCGCCAGAGCAGGTTCTGGATCGCAAAACAGTTCACCCGGGGGAGAAAGGCAAAAGGAAGGTTCCCATCCAGGTGGTCACCCTCAATTGGGGTGAATCCATGATGTTTTTGGTACCATGGGGCTCATTGTCCTAAAAACGGAAGCAACCAGAAGGTTCTGTCTCAATTTTGGAATATATATATATATATATATATATATAGTGTGTGTGTGTGTGTATACTAGCCGTCCCCTGCCACGCGTTGCTGTGGCCCACTCTGGTGGGCATAGGGGTTCTGTGTGGGAGGTTTGGCCCAATTCTATCTTGGTGGGGTTCAGAATGCTCTGTGATTGTAGGTGAACTATAAATCCCAGCAACTACAACTCCCAAATGTCAATATTCTATTTTCCCCAAACTCCACCAGTGTTCACATTTGGGCATATTGAGTCTTCGTGTAGAGTTTGGTCCAGATCCATCATTGTTTGAGTCCACAGTGCTCTCTGGATGTAGGTGAACTACAACTCCAAAACCAAAGGACACTGCCCACCAAACCCTTCCAGTATTTTCTGTTGGTCATGGGAGAACTGTGTGCCAAGTTTGGTTCAATTCCATCGTTGATGGAGTTCAGAATGCTCTTTGATTGTAGGTGAACTATAAATCCCAGCAACTACAACTCCCAAATGACAAAATCATAATATTGATGTTCAGGCAGTGCTTCTTGTAGGTCAGAGCACAGTCCAAAGTGACTCCCAGGTATTTGGGTGCGCTGCAATGCTCCAGTGGGATTCCTTCCCAGGTTGTCCTCAGAGCTCAGGATGCGTGTCTGTTCTTAAGGTGAAAGGCACGTGTCTGTGTTTTAGATGGGTTAGGGATCGGCTGGTTTTCCTTGTAATAGGCAGTAAGAGCACCTAGAGCTTCGGAGAGCTTCTGTTCAACCATCTCAAAGCTCTCTGCTTGAGCGGTAATGGTAAGAGGGCATGTCACCTTAAGAGAGCAGTTTGGCAGTGGAACTCTCTCTCTGCCCCGAAGGGAGTGTGGTGGAGGCTCCTTCTTTGGAGGCTTTGAAGCAGAGGCTGGGTGGCCATCTGTCGGGGGTGCTTTGAATATGATTTTACTGCTTCTTGGCAGAATGGGGTTGGACTGGATGGCCCACCAGGTCTCTTCCAACTCTAGGATTCTATAGATAGAAGGTGACCCCAGAGGGAGAGATGACAGAGGTCCAGAGTGCTGCCATTGAGATGTTATAAAGGAGGCCTTCTCTGATGGGAAGCAAGCTGCAGAAGGGGGAAAGCAGGGTTTAAGAGGAGAAAACCTGGGTCATTGCTTAGTTCTGGGAAGCTTTGTGGTTTTATCAATGGTCTCATTTGAAAATGCATTCCCATTTTTTGATGTTGGGGCACGTCACTTAGTAAACAAGGAGGGCTACATTTTTGAGGAGACGACATACAGGCAGAGGGTCCTGGGAGGGCCATTCTGCATTGCTATGCTGGGTCTTCTTTCTCCTAACAGAAGCCTCATTTCTCCTTTTAGTGGCGAAAGCGGTGCTGGGAAGACGGTGGGCGCCAAGTACATCATGGGCTATATCTCCAAAATATCGGGAGGAGGCCCCAAAGTGCAGGTGAGTCTGTCCATCTGCATCCATCCATCAAGAGAGAGAGAGAAAGTCCCAGTTCCACTCTATTTGGCTTTTTTTTTGCCTGGAATGACATTGCGTCCCATTCTGGGAAATACAATCCAAGAAGGAGATGGGCAAGAGAGAGGAGTTGAAAAAGGCCGGAGGTCCGGAAACTAGGAATTTCTCAGAAGATTCCCATGGCAGAGAGATTCCCATGGAAGAGAGATTCTGCCAAAAGCTACTCAGGAGGGCAATAGGCTTCTGCCTTGGAGTCTCTATTGGAGTCTCTGAAGGCTTTTAACCAGAGGCTGGATGGCCGCCTGTCGGGAGGGATCAGGTGGTGCATTTTTCTGAGTGGCAGAAAGAAGAGGGTTGGGCTGGATGACCCGTCCCTTGGGGTATCTTCTAACTCTAGGATTCCATTATTTTCATTATTATGCAGAGGCTGGATGGCCATCTGTCGGGAGGGTTTGGACTGTGCCTTCCTTTATGCCAGAAGAGGGCTGGGCTGCATGGCCCTTGGGGTCTCTTCCAACTCTATGGCTTTCTGTGCCTCCCTCTCTGCAGGTTTCTAATCAGGGACTGGATGGCCATCCAGCGGGAGGGCTTGGGTGGTGCCTTCCTTGGGGTCCCGTCCTTCTCCTGCGGCTGTCCAGCTGCCTCCTTGCACTTCCTTTGCTGAAGGCATCCTCCGTCCCATTGTTTTCCATGAGGGCCGCCTGTTTGCCGCCAAGGAATGAGCCGCCAGGCGGAAACGGGTGGTGTGGCGTTTCTGGAATTGGTGGAATCGTGGGATAGAAATACCCTTCTCCTTATCGATACGTCTGTTTATTGATTAGTCCACTGACCATATCAAAGACAAAGAAGCCCCAAAATGCACACACACAAATAGTGACTAATCACTATCCTAAAACCACAGCAATAGTTCACTAAAATATTTTTTTTTCGTGTCAGGAGCGACTTGAGAAACTGCAAGTCGCTTCGGGTATGAGAGAATTGGCCATCTGCAAGGACGTTGCCCAGGGGATGCCAGGATGTTTTGATGTTTTTTTTAATCATCCTTGTGGGAGGCTTCTCTCATGTCCCCGCATGAGGAGCTGGAGCTGATAGAGGGAGCTCATCCGCCTCTCCCTGGATTTGAACCTGCGACCTGTCGGGCTTCAGTCCTGCTGGCACAAGGGTTTAACCCACTGTGCCACTGGCGGCTCCACTAAAATAAATTAAAACACAGGAAAATTTTATTAGATGATAAGTTTGGTCAAATGGGATTAAATTGCAAGATAAAAGTGGGCGAAAGAGAATGGCGAGTGGAAAAGAATCTAGTGGAGAATTTTTAGATAAGTTCAGTGGCATGACAAGAAGGGAGCCCATTTTGTGAGATAAAGCAATCTCTCCGGTGGGCACCCTTCATCATGTATTATTATTATTATTATTATTATTATTATTATTATTATTATTATTTATTGTTGTTGTCATTGTTGTTGTTGTTGCTGCTTCTCCTGTTCTCTCCACAAGGATACCTGGCTCTGCAGCAGACTCAGTGTAGATTCTCCCCAGAAAGAAAACAAGGCATTTTCGCAACAGGATCCCAGTTGGTGGTTGTAACCAGAAGTGGTTGTAAATGTTGGACGTATAGGCAGCAATCAAATATAATGTATCACATATGTATATTGTAAACCGCTCCGAGCTTTTGGGAAATGGCGGTATATAAAATTGATTAATAAATAAAAATAAATAAATAAACAAAGGGAGCACCTCCTACTCCTCTGTCCTCTACGGCTGGTACACCGGAGACCCTATCAAACCCCTCCTTCTTTCATGGTTTGCCAATGAAGTGTGGACAGCCCCAACCCTCCAGCAAAAGTAGAATAGCAATGCTGCGTTTGTGTTGGGTCCCTCTCATGTTGTGGCAGTGTAGTCCCATGGTAGCTTCAGGCAGCACCATGGGATTTATAATCCCACTTTAGAGTATTTAGACTCCTCTGCCCCCAAACTACCATTATCCCAGGATTCTGTAGTGCACAATCATTGCAGTTAATGGGACCTCAAAAGTCCACAGACGCGAAAGACGTTTTTGCAGGAGAGAAAGTAAGGAACAGTTTGTCTTCCTGATGCTTTCCGAAACTGCTGTTGGAGCTTGGGAAGCTTGGAAATGGGATGTGTTATTGGACTGCAACTCCCAGAATCCGTCAGCGGCCCTATTGGCATGGCATGGCATGCAATGTTGTAGCTTATGATTATCTGCAGTGTTTTGGTTGACCTCTCTCCCCACTGTTTGGTTCTCCAGCATGTGAAGGACATCATCCTGCAGTCCAACCCTCTCCTGGAGGCCTTTGGAAACGCCAAGACTGTGCGGAACAACAACTCCAGCCGATTCGTAAGCCCCTGCCCCCTTGCCTCCCTTTTTGGCCTGGAAAGTAATGCAGCCATTCAGGGGAGGGCGGCTTCCACAGCTTGAGACCCTCAGTGGGGCTTGGCCTACATCTCCCACCAGGAGATGTGAGGCGTAGTCTGTCTAAATGGCCTACATATACATATATTGCAGCTGGTATATCACTACTCATGACTATTACACTATGTAACATGATTTTTGTTCCTGGGTTGTAAATGCCATTTCCTAATGGGTTCTATCATCATAAAAACATGGGAAATGTTTATTAAATGGCACAAACGGTGCTGTTGTGGGGGGAGAGGGAGGGGGCAGAGGGGGAAGGGAGGGAGGGGCACCCGGCAGTACACTTTGCGAGAAAGTTCTAATGAATCCTTCAACAAATTGCCACTTTGTTTGTGCCGGCCACAAAAACAACAACGTTTCAAGGAGGAGAACAATAATAATAATAAACTTTATTTATTCCCGCCACCATCTCCCCAATGGGGACTCGGAGCGGCTTACATGAGGCCAAGCCCGAACAACAAATTACAATAAAAATAAAACCAAAACACAACCGAAAACGCAAACAGTAACAGCAACATAATAAAATAAAACATGTAAATACATAACAATATAAAATTACAATAGACACACTCACAATGACAATGGGCGGGCTGCATGTAATGATTAAAAGAGAGACTAATTTAAACTAATTTAAAACTCGGGCGAGATTAAAAAGAGACAGATTATTTGCGGAGGAGAGCTCACTATAGCGGGGGTTGTGGAATCAAACTTTCCCACAGAGGGGGGACGACATATACTCCAATGACAGAACGTTGAGGCTAAGCAGTAGTGTGGGATTGTATACCTACTCTCCAAAGACGCAGTGGAAGAGCCAGGTTTTAAGGTCCTTTTTAAAGGTTTCTAGGGTAGGGGCTTTCCTAATTTCTCCAAGTAGTGAGGTCCAAAGTCACAGAGGAGAAAGCTCTCTCCCTTGTGCTTACCAACTACTTTCCAAGTAAGGACTACACAATTAAACAGGAAATAACACTTTCCAGCCAGGAACAGAACTTTTTTCAAACTTTGTTACATAGTGTTATAGCTTTTTAGCAAGGGTTGCTCACCTTCTCTGCAGGAAACCACATTTGGAGACCAATGGACACCCATTTTCCCATCACATCCATACTGCTTCTTTTTAAATAAACCACCTAGCAGCCTTTGCAATACTGGATTTGGTAACACAAGTTTTGCTGTGTAATTGTTTTAATGGAGATCGTGGAGCAAAACTTTCCTATGGGGGGAATGCACTCCAATAACAAAGTGCTCTCTGGATGTAGGTGAACTACAACTCCAAAACTCAAGGTCAGTGCCCACCAAACCCTTCCAGTATTTTCTGTTGGTCATGGGAGTTCTGTGTGCCAAGATTGGTTCAATTCCATCATTGGTGAAGTACAGAATGCTCTTTGACTGTAGGTGAACTATAAATCCCAGTAACTACAACTCCCAAATGACAAATCAATGTCCCCCAACTCCACCAGTATTCAAATTTGGGTGTAGCGGGTATTTGTGCTAATTTTGGTCCAGTGACTGAAAATACATCCTGCATATCAGATATCAGATGATTCATAACTAGTAAAATTACAGTTATGAAGTCGCAACCAAAATAATTGTATGGTTGGGGGTCACCACAACATGAGGGACTGTATTAAGGGGTCACGACATTAGGAAGGTTGAGAACCACTGGCCTAAGCCACTGATATTTGTTTCAAAATTTGCCCAAAGCCGGGCCTGGAAAAGGCTCGGAAGGAAGGAAGGAAGGGAAGGCGTCTCCTCCTCCTCCCCTCCCCCCATTTTGGACATGGAGCTTCAGAACCGCTTCAGGATTCAAAAGTAATATGCATGGAAGCCACTCGTGGTAAGCGCTCCGGATGTTTCTCCCGTTGCAGGGGAAATACTTCGAGATCCAGTTCAGCCCGGGAGGGGAGCCGGACGGAGGCAAGATCTCCAACTTTTTGCTGGAGAAGTCTCGGGTGGTGATGCGGAACCCTGGGGAGAGGAGCTTCCACATCTTCTACCAGGTACGACACCTTGGCTGTTTTCAAATTTATTTATTTATTTACAGCATTTATATTCCGCCCTTCTTACCCCGCAGGGGACTCGGGACGGATTACAATGTGCACATATATGGCAAACATTCAATGCCAATTTTGACATACAACATATACAGACATACACAGAGGCTATTTAACTTTTTCTGGCCGCCAGAGGAGCTGTCGCTCTCATCGTCCATCTGCGACACTGATGAAGGACTTCCGCATTCCCCGCATGCTTTTTTGCTGGAGTGCTTTGCTGGAGTCTTTTTTATGGCCTCATAAATTAGTTAATTTAGCCTCCCCACACTTTAAGGTGGTACCTTATTTTCCTACTTGACAGATACAACTATCTTTCGGGTTGCAAAGGTTGACAACAGGCTACACACAATTGGTTGGAAACCCACTCCAACCCGGGCTGGCTTCGAACTCATGACCTTTTTGGTCAGAGTGATCTTAATGCAGCTGACACTCAGCCAGCTGCGCCACAATCCCGGTTGTTATATTATTAATATTATTATATTATAATATAATATTATAATGTAATAATAACAACACATGATAATAACGCATTCAGGAGTGGATTTCTCTTCCTTCCAAGGGGAAGATTCCTCTCACGTCCTGTTGTCTCAGTCCCATTGTTCTTAAGTATGAGTCGTTTGCAAGTCAGAAGTTTGTAACTCGGGGACCTTGGCCGGTCCTGTCTCTTCTGCAATGCCTTGAGACTCTTCTCGCAATTCTCCATTGACCCAAGCCATCTCACAGTCCGATCCCTGCTTTTTGTCCTGCAGCTGATCGAAGGCGCCTCAAGCGACCAGCGATCCAGCCTCGGCATCACCAGCATGGATTACTACCACTACCTGAGTCTCTCGGGATCCTACAAGGTGGACGACATCAACGACAAATCCGATTTCCAGGAAACGCTGGTAACCCTCCATACTTCTTCCTTCTCGTTTCCAGATCAGATAAGAAACCGATTTATTGTCGAAGGCTTTCATGGCCGGAATCACTAGGTTGTTGTAGGTTTTTCCGGGCTATATGGCCATGTTCTAGAGGCATTTTCTCCTGACGTTTCACCTGCATCTATGGCAAGCATCCTCAGAGGTAGTGAGTTCTGTTGGAAGTGAGAAAATGGGTTTATATATCTGTGGAATGACCAGGGTGGGACAAAGGACTTTTGTCTGCTGGAGCTAGGTGTGAATGCTTCAACTGACCACCTTAATTAGCATTTAATGGCTTGGAAGTGCCTGGGGGAATCTTTTGTTGAGAGTGATTTGATGTGCCTGATTGTTTACTCTCCTATTGTGGTCAACCCTCCCTTTCTGCAGAGAGCTTCCAAATCTACTAGCAATGTCACAAATTAGATCTCATATAAATGAGCTGCAAATGAATCCATGGATGCCGTGGATCACTCTCTCAGCCTCCCATAGACAAGGGGCAGTGACAAACCTCCTCTGAACAAATCTGGCCCAGAAAAACATGTATATTTAATTGATTTCTAATTTTTTATTAGATTGTGTGGTGGTTTGCCATTTTGGATTCCCATGTGGGGGTGGGGGAAAGGTGGGATATAAATGAGAATGAGAATGATTCATTTATCGTGTCAGAAGTGAATTGAGAATACAGTTATAATGTATTTTAAAACTTGGCCTGATGCTAAATGTCCTTTGACCAGAAGCTGGCTACTTGGAGTGCCTCTGGTGTGGCTGTGAGAAGGTCCTCCATTGTGCATGTGGCAGGGCTCAGGTTGCATTGTAGTCGGTGGTCTGTGGTTTGCTCTTCTTCACTCGCATGTCGTGGATTCCACTTTGTGGCCCCATTTCTTGAGGTTGGCTCTGCATCTCGTGGTCTGTTCAGCGCCTTCCAAGTCACCCAGTTTTCTGTGTGCCTGGTGGTGAGTCTCTCATTCGATATCAGCTAGTAACTGAGGTTCTGGGTTTTAGTCTGCCACTTGCAAGTGTCTCTGTAGATCTTAGGAAGCTGTTTCTTCATTTAAGGCGTTGGTATGCTGGCTGATATCTGAACAGGAGATGGGCCGGAGATTTCAATGCCTTGGTCCTTTAATTATTGGCTGCTACTTTCTGACAGATGTCAGGTGATGCAATAGTGGCTGAACAGTATAATTTCTCCAGTGGTGTGGGGTGTAGACATCCTGCAATAATGCGGCATGTCTCATTAAAAGCCACATCCACTGTTTTAATATGGTGAGATGTATTCCAGACTGGGCATGTGTACTCAACAGCAGAGTTGCAAAGCACAAGGGCAGATGTCTTCACTGTGTCTGGTTGTGATCTCCAGGTTGTGCCAGTCAGCTTTTGCATTATATTGTTTCTAGCACTCACTTTTTACTTGATATTCAAGCAGTGCTTCTTGTAAGTCAGAGCACGGTCCAGAGTGACTCCCAAGTATGTTGGTGTGCTGCAACTCTCCAGTGGGATTCCTTCCCAGGTGATCTTCAGAGCTGGAGATGCTTGTCTGTTCTCTATCTATCATATATATCTTTCCACTTCTCCCCCCTCCTAACGCCTCTCCTGCACGGGTTCCTCCTCCTCCTCCACAGCACGCCATGAACGTGATTGGGATCTTTGCGGAGGAGCAGGCGCTGGTGCTGCAGATCGTGGCCGGGGTCCTCCACCTAGGCAACATCAGCTTCAAGGAGGCCGGGAACTACGCCGCTGTGGAGAGCGAAGAGTGTAAGTACCTCCAGGTGAAGGCAGGCTGGCAGACATTGACCTCAGGCCTTTGCACGACCCCAGGCTGCATTCCGGGTTGACCCTGCTGTGGTTTCTTTCCTCCCTCCCTCACTCCCTCCGGCTATTCGGCAGTCCTGGCCTTCCCGGCCTTCCTGCTGGGCATCGACCAGAGCCGCCTCCGGGAGAAGCTGACCAGTCGGCAAATGGACAGCAAGTGGGGCGGGAAGTCTGAGTCCATCCATGTCACCCTCAACGTGGAGCAGGCCTGCTACACCCGGGACGCCTTGGCCAAGGCCCTCCATGCCCGGCTCTTCGACTTCCTGGTGGAGGTAAGGCATGAATATGAGCATGAGCTTATCAGTATGAGGTGGGCAGGCCGCTCTCGTGGTGCAGGGACAATAATCTCCTTCTTAATCGCAATATAAGACCAAGGAGCTCATAGTGGACTATAGAGCCCCCGGTGGCGCAGTGGGTTAAACCCTTGTGCCGGCAGGACTGAGGACCAACAGGTCGCAGGTTTGAATCCGGGGAGAGGTGGATGAGCTCCCTCTATCAGCTCCAGCTCCTCATGCGGGGACATTAGAGAAGACTCCCACAAGGATGATAAAACATCAAATCATCCAGGTGTCCCCTGGGCAACGTCCTTACAGACAGCCAATTCTCTCACACCAGAAGTGACTTGCAATTTCTCCGGTCGCTCCTGACACACACACACAAAAAATAGTGGACTATAGGAGCCAGGCGTCACCAGTGGCTGGGAGGGCCTTTGCACAACTAAGACTTGTGCGCCAGCTGCGACCGTACCTCGTGAAGTCTGATTTGGCCAGGGTGGTCCACGCCTTAGTCACCTCCAGATTGGATTACTGTAATGCACTCTACATGGGGCTGCCCTTGAAGACGGCTTGGAAATTTCAATTGGTCCAGGTTACTTACTAGGGCGTCTTACAGGGAGCGGTCAACCCCCCCTGTTTAAGGAGCTCCATTGGCCGCCGTTCATTTTCTGATTCCAATTCAAGGTGCTGGTTCTGACCTACAAAGCTCTGAATGACTTGGGACCCGCCTGCCTGCTGGAGCTAGGTGTGAATGTTTCAACTGACCACCTTGATTAGCATTTAATGGCTTGGAAGTGCCTGGAGGAATCTTTCTTTGAGAGGTGATTTAATGTGCCTGATTGTTTACTCTCTGTTGTTTTGCTGTTGTAATTTTTGAGTTTTTTAATACTGGTAGCCAGATTTTGTTCATTTTCATGGTTTCTTCCTTTCTGTTGAATTTGTCCACATGCTTGTGTATTTCAATGGCTTCTCTGTGTAGCCTGACATGGTGGTTGTGAGAGTGGTCCAGCATTTCTGTGTTCTCAATTAAATGCTGTGTCCAGGTTGGTTCATCAACCATCACCTCTCAAAGAAAGATTCCCCCAGGCACTTCCAAGCCATTAAATGCTAATCAAGGTGGTCAGTTGAAACATTCACACCTAGCTCCAGCACACAAAAGTCCTTTGTCCCACCCTGGTCATTCCACAGATATATAAACCCATTTTCCTACTTCCAACATACCTCACTACCTCTGAGGATGCTTGCCATAGATGCTGGCGAAATGTCAGGAGAAAATGCCTCTAGAACATGGCCATATAGCCCGGAAAACCTACAGCAACCCAGTGATTCCAGCCATGAAAGCCTTCAACATTACAATTGTAACATAAACAATTAAACATCAGAATAACAATCATTAGCACCTCAACAGTAAAATCAGAATCCAGTCTCATCATCCGTTATTCCGTATTCCTATGTTCAATTACACTGTTTAATCAAATGCTTGTTCGAACAGCCAGGTCTTCACTTTCCTCCAAAACACCAGCAGGGAGGGGACCAATCTGATATCTGTAGGCAGGGTGTTCCACAGCCGAGGGGGCACCACTGAGAAGGCCCTGTCTCTTGTTCCTGCCAAGCGTGCCTGTAATGCAGGCGGGACAGAGAGCAGGGCCTCCCCAGATGATCTTAGTGTCCTAGTTGGTTCATAGGAGGAGATGAGTTATTATTATTATTATTATTTACTGCATTTGTATACCGCTCCTCTCAGCCCTTAGGTGACTCGGAGCGGTTTACAACAATTCAACAGTATACATAGTACAGACAATAGGCATTTAAAACAATAGCATCACAATCAATAAACATAGCATCAATACAAAATTACATCAGTATAGCAAATCCATCAGGTCTCATCACTAGAATCAGTATCCAATCTCGAGCTCGGAGAGGAAAGTAGGGCCAGAACCGTTTAGGGCTTTATAGGCTAACGCCAGCACTTTGAATTATGCCCGGTAGCAAACTGGCAGCCAGTGGAGCTGGCGCAACAGAGGAGTCTTATTGTTATTGCTTGTATTGATGTATTGTGGGCTCGGCCTCATGTAAGCCGCACCGAGTCCCTTGGGGAGATGGTAGCGGGGTATAAATAAAGTATTATTATTATTATTATTATTATTCCTCAATTAATGCAATGTTTCGGTTCTGGCCCTACCTACCTCTCCGAACGCATGTCCTCCTATGAACCGACTAGGACATTAAGATCGTCCGGGGAGGCCCTGCTCTTGGTCCCGCCCGCATCGCAGGCGTGGTTGGCGGGGACGAGAGACAGGGCCTTCTCGGTGGTGGCCCCCCGGCTGTGGAACGCCCTACCTATGGACATCAGACAGTCCCCCTCACTGCTGGCATTCCGGAGGAAGGTCAAGACCTGGCTTTATGAACAAGCGTTCGGCTAATTGTGCAATGAAACACAGTAAGATGGTACAACCGGACATAGGAATTGGTATAAAGGATTATGATTGCGGATTCTGATTTTGATTTGTTTGCTGAYGCGCACGTCTAGGTTAATGATTGCTTGTTTTGATATGTTTTGTATAATGTGTMTTAACTGCTTTTTGATGTTGTTGTGTCAACCTTTACTATGTAAACCGCCTTGAGTCGCCTTTTTTGGCTGAGAAAGGCGGTATAGAAGTAAAGCAAATAAATAAATAAATAATGTTATTGGTATCTATTTTTATTTTGGAATTTACCAGTAGCTGCTGCATTTCCCACTCTCYGCTGATACTCGAGTCAATCCGTTTTCCCAGTTTTTTGTGATAAAATTAGGTGCCTCGGCTTATATTTGGGTTGGCTTATACTCGAGTATATACGGTATTTCTGGGACGATTTGTCCATTCCGAGAGCTGGAAATGCCCGCAAAGATTCCAAATAAGGAGGAACTTCGGCAAACTTCGGCCTCGTTCAGTGTGACTCAGCGGCTGAGTTTTCCTTCCCAGCCTTGATGCCTTTTCCTCCTGCCTGTTGTCTTTCTTTCCTCCCTTGCCCCCCCTCCGTTCCATTAGTCCATAAACAAGGCGATGGAAAAAGACCATGAAGAATATAACATCGGTGTCCTGGACATCTACGGTTTCGAGATCTTTCAGGTAAGGAGGAAATGATGCTGCTCGGCTTTAGAAAGGGTGAGGGAGAAGACCCTCCAGGAGGGAAGGAGAGCGCGCTTTTGAAGGAAAGTTGTTTTGCGAAATGCTGCTGCAAAAGGAAGGCCTGTTTGTAAGGGAAGTGCCAGGCGCTTGCTTGAGGAACAAAGAGGCACTTCTCTCAGCCTTTTTTACTGGGCATCGGCCCAATCATGGCTGTTCTGCGATTATGAAAATCCAGGCCTTGGAAAGGGTTTTTGAGAATTTCAGCTGCTGAACCCTCTGGTGAGGCTCCTCCTGGCTGAATATAAACATTAGGATAGATCTACAGAGCCCAATAGTTTCAGTATTGACCTCAAAAGCCTCACTGGTTCAGAGGGCTTTTCGTATGTCTTTTTGTGTTTTGTTTCCTTCCAGAAAAACGGCTTTGAGCAGTTCTGCATCAATTTTGTTAACGAAAAGCTGCAGCAGATCTTTATCGAACTGACGCTGAAAGCAGAACAGGTACACAAGGGAGCGCGGGTGGTCCTCAAGGGCCCCAGGTGGCACTTGCCAAGGAAAAGGTTGCAGTGGCCCCCAAATCCAGCAGCCATGGGCCAACTTTGACCCTCCAGGTGGAGTTCTCACCTCAGATTCCCACAATTCCTAACAGCCAGTAGGAAGAACTTCCACACTATAAGGAGAGCTGTTCAGCAGAGGAACTCTCTGCCTCAGAGTCCAGTAGGAGCTCCTACCTTGGAAGCTTTTAAACAGATGCTGGGTGGCCATCTGTCAAGGGTGCTTTGATTGTGCTTTTCCTGCATGGCAGAATAAAGGGGGTTGGGCTGGATGGCCCACGTGGCCTCTTCCAACTCCATTAGTCTATGATTCAAAGGGCCCTGTATGGTTTGAAAAGGTGGCTCTGGCAACATATCCCTGAACATTGAAGCGGGTGGGTTTTGCCTGGGCTTAGGTACGCCTAACAGGCCTTATTTCACACCCGGAGTCCCAGCCTCTCACACCCTTCCCTTCTGTCCCTCAGGAAGAATACGTCCAGGAAGGGATCCGCTGGACGCCCATCGACTACTTCAACAATAAGATTGTGTGCGACCTCATAGAGAACAAAGTGGTAAGTGAGCAGGGCTGGCTTGTGCTGGCAGGGGCGCCTCCCCCAGAACTGGAAAGCGCTGCCTTCACAATGGCCAACTCCCTGGCCTTTTGTCAATGCAGCCCTGTGGGATGATGGGGCTTGTAGTCCTGAAGAGGATGGGAATTGAGTGAGAAAGCCAGGAAAAGGTTAAGGGAGAGGGAAGGAGGGTGGCCTGGCGGGGCTTGAAAGAAGGATGACGCTCCTTGCGAGTCAAAGCGGAAGAGCAGCTGGGGCTTTAGAGGGGAAATTGGGGAGATGGAAGTGGGAGAAGGTTCAAGAGGAGGGCTCTGTGACCTGAAGAGAAGTGAGGAGGAGTTCAGGAAGGAGGGGAGGGATGGAGGAAGGAAGGAGCGAAGGAGGGAGGGAAGGAAGAAAGGGAGGAAGGAAGGAGCGAAGGAGGGAGGGAGGGAAGGAGGGAGAGGAAGGAGGAAGGAGGAGGGAAGGAAGGAGCAAAGGGAGGGAGGGAGGGAAGGAAGGAAGGAGGAGGAAAGGAAGGAGAAGGAAGGAAGGAGCAAAGGAGGGAAGGAAGGAAGGAGCGAAGGAAGGGAAGGAAGGAGCGAAGGAGGGAGGGAAGGAAGGAGGAAGGGGAAAGAAGGAAGGAAGGAGGAGGGAGGGAAGGAACGAAAGAAGGGAAGGAAAAGGAAGGAAGGAGCAAAGGAGGGAGGGAAGAAGAAGGAGGAAGGAAGGGAAAGGAAAGAAGGAAGAGGGGGAGAGGGAGGGAGGGAAGGAAGGAGGGAGGGAGAAGGAGGGAGGGAAGGAAAGAAGAAGGAAGGAGCAAAGGAGGGAGGGAGGGAAGGAAGGGAAGGAGGGAGGGAACGAAGGAGGGAGGAAGGAAAGAAGAAGGAAGGAGCAAGGAGGGAGGAGGGAAGGAAGGAAGGAGAAGGAAGGGAAGGAAGAAGGAAGGAAGGAGAAGGAGAAGAAAGGAAGGAAAAGGAAGGAAGGAAGGAAGGAAGGAGCAAGAAAGGAGGGAGGGAAGGAAGGAAGGAAGAAGAAGGACAATGCAGCAGAGAAGTGTGAATGAATGAGAGAGAGAAGTTTGCGCGCTCTTGTTTGGAACTCCCAACTATAAAAAGGCAGAGTTGCACCTGTCGTGAGGAACTACTTTCCCGTTACACACCCAATACCTTTGCCTGGCTGCAATCAATCTATTGCACTTGATTTCCTCACTTCTAGTGTCTTGTTTGGGGAGAGACCCTAGGGCAGGCCTGAGCCAACTTGGGCTCCCCTCCAGGTGTTTTGGACTCCAGTTCCTAACACCCTGCAGGCCTGCCCTGGGGGTCCCGGGGTAGCCTTTGAAAGGGACGTGGCAGCGGCAGCAAGTCCTTCCTCTTTCTCCTCCTTGACCTATTCTCTGGTGCCCACAGAACCCACCGGGCATCATGAGCATCCTGGATGATGTCTGCGCCACGATGCACGCAGTGGGCGAGGGGGCCGACCAGACACTGCTCCAGAAGCTCCAGATGCAGATTGGGACCCATGAGCACTTCAACAGTTGGAACGAGGGCTTCATCATCCACCACTACGCCGGGAAGGTGAGCAGCGGGGACTTCGCCTCCCTTTCCAGGCGGAATGTCGACAAGATGGAGGTTGGGGCCCGTTGGGGGCGGGGGCGTGTTGCCACTGCTGCCTTCTGCTGTTAAACTTGTAGGGAAATAGACCTGCATTCATTCGAATCTCATGCTCACCTCTTTTTTTGGCTGAATGACTTGGATTCGCATCATACAGTCATCTTAATGCTGGGCCAAAGCCAAAGGGATGCTGCTTTTGCAGATCTCTCATTGAATGGCTCAATGTGATGCATTCCTGGAAGTTTGGTGAGGCATCGGCATCCTTTGGCAGGGGGGGTTCAAGGCCTTACCCAACTCCAGCCCCCACAATCCAAGGCAATTCAAGTGGATTAATTCTACCGCATCGGTGCGCCACTGGACTTTCTTCTCCATGGCTGGAAGCTTTGGTGTCCTGACACTTTTGTTTACAAAGGAATCCTAAGCAGGCAGCCACTGTAATGCACATCTTTATTGGCCAAGTGGCAGAGAGGGCCCTTTTTGCACATTCCATCCAGTAGCAAATGCATTTTTTGGTTTCGGGGTTTCAAGAATGGAGGTGTGCTTTCAGTCCGATGGCGCAGGAGGCTTGAGTCAAGATGGGTAGTCATTCCATGGGAGTCTATTTCTGTTGCGCCAGCTCCACTGGCTACCAATCGGCTTCCTAGCACAATTCAAAGTGCTGGTGTTAACCTATAAAGCCCTAAACGACTCCGGCCCAGTTTACCTGTCCGAACGGATGCTCCCCTACAAACCATCAAGGTTGTTAAGATCTTCTGGAGGGGCCCTGCTCTTGGTCCCACCACCTTCGCAATCGCGTCTGGTGGGGACGAGAGACAGGGCCTTCTCGGTGGTGGCCCCTCGGCTGTGGAACTCTTTCCCAATAGAGATCAGATCTGCCCCCTCCCTCCTGACTTTCAGAAAGATGGTAAAATCTTGGCTCTGGAATTTAGCATTCTCAGATTGGTGATTGAATCAATAACTGTTGACCACAAGGCGGATGGTGATGAATTTGTGATTTGCCTTGACGAATTGGCTTTATGTAATTCTTGATCTGTATTTTAATGTGTTTTAATGTATTAATGTACTATGATGTTATTATGCTTTAGTTTATTTTTATATTGATTCTCTGTTGTTAGCCGGCCTGAGTCCCTCCTCGGAGGTCGAGAAGACCGGGTTATAAAATTTATTATTTATTATTTACTTCATTTATATACCGCTTTTCTCAGCCCTCAGGCGACTCAAAGCTCTAAATAAATAAATAATAAATAATACTGCAACATCCAAGTCAATCCCCAAGTTCAGGGGTGGCTAGCAGGCAGGCCCGTAGCAAGGGGGGGGGGTTAGGGGTTCAACCCCCCCCCGAAATGTTTCAGATTTTTTTAAAAAACCTGGTTTACTCATGAATTTTAACTGGTTAACCAAATCCCCATGCTAAGTCTATGAGATGCAAAAAATCAAGAGTTCCTCCAGAACTGCAAGCACGATCTCAAGCAAATATTAGCAATTTATTCACACTGTCCTTACTTGCAGCAATAGCCGATGTAGTTGTTCTGGTACAGCTGTACCAGGAGCTCCAACTTTATTTGCTTTGTATTAAATGTTTGCTTGCAGTCCTAGGTTTCAGGGACTCTGCAGATAGGTGGCTTCTTTGGTTGCAGTCATAGGGCAAGTCACCTGTCCATCATTGTTAAGTTTTGGTCCCGCCCCTTGCTCAGGGCAATTGGGAAGGGAGCCATTTTTAGTTAGTCTCAGCAAGGTAAGCTTATGTATAGGATGTGTGCAAGCTTCCCCTGTACAAAAGCTTCAACCCTTAAGACCTTCCGGGGGAGAAAGGTCTTAAGAGTCTCCAAAGAATTTCCAGGAAAACAGCCCTAAAGACCAAAGAACTCCAGCTGGAGAACATCTACTGCCTTGCTGGTAGGTCCACTCGGCGTTCGAGATGCAGTTCGACCCGGTAGTGGAGCCCACATCAGTAAGGGTTAGATTACAGTCAGCCTGGGAGAAGTTAAAACGGGGATTTTCCTTTAAAGAAGAAGTTATTGAAGACAGTTGCCTGTTCTTCGTGGGCAAGATTAGGAATTCACCAGTTGCCTAAAAGCTTGGAATCATTTGCTTAACTTTACTGAAGACAAGAGAAGTTTCTGTTTGATTGTTCATTAATAAAAGACTTTGTTGTACTTCTCAAGCCATCTAAAGACTGTTTGTGGTGGAAACCTCTGAGAACTTCTCTTTAGGCCCCCTGGCTTCCCGCTGGGCAAAGGTTGCACATCCTGTTCTAAAGACAATTATTTACAGGCCCAGCGCGCGACAGAACAGTAGTGAAGCAACCAAGTTGGGGGGGGGGATGTTGAATGCTCTCATTAAGGAGGCCAGACTTGGTGGAGGTGGTTGACAGGGGCGGAGCTGCAGGCTATTAAAGGCTGCTCTGCCCCCTGCTGTGCTCTTTGCTTCAGCGTGAGCTAGGAGGCAGGTTTCAACCCCCCCCCCCCCCCGAAAATTTCAACCCCTCCCGAAATTTTTTTCTGGCTACGGCCCAAAATTATAGGGGGGGGGTGCAGCTGTTTACTCTACTGGCTGGCTCTCCCTCTTCTTTATGGGCAGCATCTTAACCTTTACTTAGACCTCTTCCCATGCTAAAAAGCAGAGACTTCCCACGCTAAAAAGTGGGATTGAAAGGAGGCCAGCATGGTCTTGTGAACATCCACTTTGTCCCAAAACTGTCCACAGTACATGTTCTTTTAGCTTCACGTCCCCACCCTCCCCTGCTATAAAAACATCCCTCCTGCTTTGCATGTCCTTCTTCCCAACCTCAGGTGTCCTATGACATGGACGGCTTCTGCGAGAGGAACCGAGATGTCCTCTTCACGGACCTGATTGAACTCATGCAAAGCAGCGAACTGTACGTGAGCAGTGGGGTTTGAGGGGGGAAGCCAACAAGCAAGCAAGCAAACAAGCCCCGCAATAAAGCGCTCTGACCCCGTTCCTCCTCCTTCTCCGTCTGCATGTCTTCTAGGCCTTTCATCAAGGCGTTGTTTCCAGAGAGCCTCCAGGCCGAGAAGAAAGGCCGACCGACGACGGCTGGCAGCAAAATCAAGGTGGGTTATGGGATGGAGAGAGCAGCCACAGGAAGAACGTTGGGCACTGTAGTAGCAGGAGTATGTTCCTTGGCTTTATTAGCTCCGTGGCATCATCAAAGCAGATCTGTGTGGGAAGGTTCTAGTCAGAGGAGGCCAGTGTCGAAATGAATCCAAGTCGGAGAACCAGGCCGAATCCCCCAAGGACGCACTGCAGAGATGCTCCCCAAAGGGTGCCCTGAATAACTCCTGTGTTCAGAAGATAGACCTGTTTCCCCTCCACAACCCCAACGGTTCTGGCCCCGATTACCTGTCCAAACGTATTTCCTGCTATAAACCATCACGGAGCTTAAGATCATCAGGAGAGGCCCTGCTCTCGATCCCACCACTCTCGCAAACGCGGTTGGTGGGGACGAGAGACAGGGCCTTCTCGGCAATGGCCCCCCCGTCTGTGGAACTCTCTCCCTAAGGACATCAGGTTGGCCACCTCCCTCATGTCTTTAAGAAGACAACTGAAGACCTGGCTCTGGGGCCAGGCGTTCGATTAGAGGCCAGCAGCAATAGGAAAAGGAAATTTGGATTTTTGCGACATGGATTCTCCCGGCTCGGCTTGGTTTTACTGGCACGTTAATCTATTAATTTATTGTTAAATTTTATTGATGATGTACAATGTTTTAAAATGATTTTATTGTAAGTTGTAGTTTTTATGGTATTTATGTTGTATTGTCGAAGACTTTCATGGCTGGAATCACTGGGTTGTTGTAGGTTTTTTCGGGCTGTATGGCCATGGTCTGGAGGCATTCTCTCCTGATGTTTCGCCTGCATCTATGGCAAGCATCCTCAGAGGTAGTGAGGTCTGTTGGAACTAGGAAAAAGGGTTTATATATCTGTGGAATGACCAGGGTGAGACAAAGGACTCTTGTCTGCTGGAGCTAGGTGTGAATGTTTCAACTGACCACCTTGATTAGCATACAATGGGCTGACTGTGCCTGGAGCAAACTTTGTTGAGAGGTAATTAGATGTCCCTGCCTGCTTCCTCTCTGTTGTTGTGCTGTTGCAATTTTAGAGTTTTTTAATACAATTCCAACAGAAAGGAGGAAACCATGAAAATGAACAAAATCTGGCTACCAGTATTAAAAAACTCTAAATTTTTAGAGTTTTTTTAATACAGTTTCAACAGAAAGGAGGAAACCATGAAAATGAACAAAATCTGGCTACCAGTATTAAAAAACTCTAAAATTACAACAGCACAACAACAGAGAGGAAACAAACAAGGACATCTAATCACCTCTTAACAAAAGTTTGCTCCAGGCACTGTCAGGCCATTATATGCTAATCAAGGTGGTCAGTTGAAACATTCACACCTAGCTCCAGCAGACAAGAGTCCTTTGTCCCACCCTGGTCATTCCACAGATATATAAACCCTTTTTCCTTAGTTCCAACAGACCTCACTACCTCTGAGGATGCTTGCCATAGATGCAGGCGAAACGTCAGGAGAGAATGCCTCTAGACCATGGCCGTACAGCCCAAAAAAACCTACAACAACCTGGTATTTATGTTGTTGGCATCCTCTGATGCTCATGTGAGGCCGCGCTGAGTCCCCCTTGTGGGGAGAAGGGCGGGATATAAATATAGGAAATAAATAAATAAATATGCAGTATTCATAAGAAAAGGGAGCTAATGTCTGGGCTGGGACGTTGTTGTTGCTGTTGTTGTTGTTGTTGTGGGCCTTTGGGTTGTTTCCAGCTTGTGGCAACCCTGCAGCGGACCTATCAGAGGGTTTCCTTGGCCAGGTTTGTTCAGATGGGTTTTACCTGAGGCTGAGAGAGTGTGATGTGCCCAAGGCATGCTTCCTTTCCTGAGCGGGGAATCTGACCCCAGTCTTTAGAGCTGACGTCCTGCACCAAACCTCCTGCTTTTAGAACATGCAGTCTCTTGAGTTGGAAGGCACTGAAAGCCTTTTTGGAGCCTCCCTCTCTGTCTTCGCATCAAGGAAAAGTGTGGCTTGGTGGTGCATTCCTCTTGGGATCCATCTTTCCTTGAGATTGCCCTGCTCTGCAAAGAGCACAGAGTCCAGGCGGAAGGGGCGCGGGGGGAGGAGTGGAGCCGGATGGCAGCTCAATGCACTCTGTGTGTCTTTTCCCAGAAACAAGCCAACGACCTTGTGGGCACGCTGATGAAATGCACGCCGCATTATATCCGCTGCATCAAACCCAACGAGACCAAGAAGCCCCGAGACTGGGAGGAGAGCAGGTATTTGTTACGAGGGGGAGGGAAGCTCTCAATGGATCACAAAAATTCTGCATCACTTCTTGGAGATTTTGCATTTTTCAATTTCATAGAATCATAAAGGTAGAAGAGACCTCATGGGCCATCCAGTCCAACCCCCTGCCAAGAAGCAGGAATATTGCATTCAAAGCACTCCTGACAGATGGCCATCTAGCCTCTGTTTAAAAGTCTCCAACGAAGGAGCCACCACCACACTTGGGCAGAGAGTTACACTGCTGAATGGCTCTCACAGTCGGGAAGTTCTTCCTCATGTTCAGATGGAATCTCCTTTCTTGTAGTTTGAAGCCATTGTTCCACGTCCTCGTCTCCAGGGAAGCAGAAAACAAGCTTGCTCCCTCCTCCCTGTGGCTTCCTCTCACATATTTATACATGGCTATCATATCTCCTCTCAGCCTTCTCTTCTTCAGGCTAAACATGCCCAGCTCTAGTCTTTAAGCCACTCTTCATAGCGCTTGTTCTCCAGACCCTTGATCATTTTAGTCGCCCTCCTCTGGACATATTCCAGTTTGTCAATATCTCTCTTCCAAGGGTGTTGCCCAGAATTGGACACAATATTCCAGGTGTGGTCTAACCAAGGCAGAATAGAGGGGTAGCATGACTTCCCTGGATCTAGACACTATGCTCCTATTGATGCAGGCCAAAATCCCATTGGCTATTTTTGCCGCCACATCACATTGTTGGCTCATGTTTAACTTGTTGTCCACAAGGACTCCAAGATCTTTTTCACACGTACTGCTCTCGAGCCAGGCATCGTCCCCCATTCTGTATCTGTAAAAAAATTATTTATTTATTTACAGCTTTTATGTTCCACCCTTCTCACCCCTCAGGGGACTCAGGGCGGATTACAGTGTACACATATATGGCAAACATTCAATGCCAATTTTTGACATACAAACATATACAGACATACACAGAGGCTATTTAACTTTTTCTGGCCGCCAGGGGAGCTGTCGCTTTCATCGTCCATCTGCGACGCTGATGAAGCACTTCCGCATTCCCCGCATGCTTCCCCGCTGGAATGCTTTGCTGGAGTCTTCTTTATGGCCTCATAAATCAGTTAATTTAGCCTCCCCACACTTTTAAGGTGGTACCTTATTTTCCTACTTGACAGATGCAACTGTCTTTCGGGTTGCAAAGGTCGACAACAGGCTACACACAATTGGTTGGAAACCCACTCCAACCCGGGCTCGCTTCGAAATCATGACCTTTTGGTCAGAGTGATCTTAATGCAGCTGACACTCAGCCAGCTGCGCCACAATCCCGGTGCGACATTTATTTGCGACATTTATATGCCGTCCTTCTCACCCCAAAGGGTGAGATCACCTGTTCTAGTTCTTGATTTGTTAAAAAAGATAATAAACTATTAATAAATATACCAGGTTGGAGAGCGATAGCAGAATCGAGGGGTACGAATAAAGCCAGAAGGGTAGTGATAGTAATGGAAAACTCATTAAAACTGGAAATACTAGAAACAATAGTAGATAAAGAAGGAAGAGGTATAGTGTTAATATGTAAAATAAATGCCAGGAAATATACAACAGGAAATTTATATTTATTTATTTATTTATTTATTTATTTATTTATTTATTTATTTATCGTGTCATCCGCAACCAGAACATTACATTTCTAACAGAAAGAAATAAACAAACAGATTAAAAAAAACAAATTTTGCAAACTTGGTAGCTGATTAAATGTCCTTTGACCAGTATCTGGCCACTTGGAGTGCCTCTGGTGTTGCTGCAAGAAGGTCCTCCATTGTGCATGTGGCAGGGCTCAGGTTGCATTGCAGCAGGTGGTCAGTGGTTTGCTCTTCTCCGCACTCACATGCCGTGGATTCCACCCTGTAGCCCCATTTCTTAAGATTGGCTCTGCATCTCGTGGTGCCAGAGCGCAGTCTGTTCAGTGCCTTCCAAGCCACCCAGTCTTCTGTGTGCCCCGGGGGAGTCCCCCATTGATTGAGGTTCTGGGTTTGAGCCTGCCACTTTTGGACTCTCGCTTGCTGAGGTGTTCCAGCGAGTGTCTCTGTAGATCTTAGAAAACTATTTCTTGATTTGAGTCGTTGACGTGCTGGCTGATACCCAAACAAGGGATGAGCTGGAGATGTCTCTGCCTTGGTCCTTTCACTATTGGCTGCTACTTCCTGGCGGATGTCAGGTGGTGCAATACCGCCTAAGCAGTGTAATTTCTCCAGTGGTGTAGGGCGCAGACACCCTGTGATAATGTGGCATGTCTCATTAAGAGCCACATCCACTGTTTTAGTGTGGTGAGATGTGTGGGCATGCATACTCAGCAGCCGAGTAGCACAGCGCAAGGGCAGATGTCTTCACTGTGTCTGGTTGTGATCCCCAGGTTGTGCCAGTCAGCTTTCGTATGATATTGTTTCTAGCACCCACTTTTTGTTTGATGTTCAGGCAGTTCAGGAAATTTATATGATATTGCCCAAATAAAAGACAGAAGAAATACTTTAGAAAGTATTCCCTGACACAATCCCCATTTTCTCCTTTGTTGCAAAGGGAGTCTGTGTGGGTTGGCAGCGGTGGGGCTCCTGTGAAAAGGCCCAGGGAGCCAGGGCCAGTCCTTCCTTCCCAGATCGGCCTTCCATTCCAGGCTTCCTCGTCCAAAGTGCATTTTCCTCCATGTAGATTCCCCCTCGCGCTCACATCTGGAATAATGCTCTGTTCACGCCTTTTCCTCCCTTAATGCTTTGCCAAAACCAGTCCGTGTCAAGCCCGGCACAGCATCGCAAGCGGTTTTTCTTTCTGTCTGGGAAAAAAAGGCAATTTCTGGAAATGACTTCCCTGTGTCTGGGAATCAGTGCACTTCTGGGAGGAACAGGCGCTCGCCCCTTTTTCATGTTCTATGGAGTGGGCTTGACGTCTGCCTTTGGAATCAGCTGTATTTGCATATACAGTATGGAAAGAGATGTATTTTGGAGAGGGGGCACAAGTTTAATCGGGACATTCTTTTATGTTTCATAAACACAGTGTGTCATTGTGTGTGTGTGTGTGTGTATATATATAAATGCTCTGTGCATAATGAGTACCTTGAAAACAAAAGAACCAATGAACGAAATCACACCAAATTTGGCAACAAAACGTCTCACAACACAAGGAGTGGCCATCACTCAAAAAATTATGATTTTGTCATTTGGGAGTTGTAACTGCTGGGATTTATAGTTCACCTACAATCAAAGAGCATTCTGAACTCCACCAATGATGGAATTGAACCAAATTTGGCACACAGGACTCCCATGACCAACAGAATACACTAGAAGGGTGTTGACCTTGAGTTTTGGAGTTGTAGTTCCCCTACATCCAGAGAGCACTGTGGAGTCAAACAATGATGGATCTAGACCAAGCTTGGCACCAATACACAATATGCCCAAATGTGAACACTGGTGGAGTTTGGGGCAAATAGACCTTGACATTTGGGAGTTGTGGTTACTGAGATTTATAGTTCATCTACAATCAAGGAGCATTCTGAACCCCACCAATGATGGAATTGGGCCAAACATCCCAATCAGAAACCCCAATGACCAACAGAAAATTCTGTGTTTTCTGGTGGTCTTTGGTGACCTTTCTGACACCCCCCTGGTGACCCTCCCCCAGGGTCTTGACTTCCCAGATTGAGAAATGCTGCCTTAAGGCCATCCAGTCTAACTCCTTTTACCAGGGCAAGAAAACATAATAAAAGCCCTCCTGACAAAGGGCCATCCAGCGATTCACACACACACACATATGTATATGATAGATGGAGTATCAAAGATTTGAAAGGGACCCCTAAAGAAGGACAATGATATGTTGCATGTTCCAGGGTAGGTAAACTAGACACTCTCCACATCAACACTGACAAAGAAACAGCAAGAAATACTGTTTACCCACAAGCAGAAAGACATTACATATATTAGAAACCAACACTTTCTCATTACTTTATTTTCCAGATCACCAGGCTGGGCCACAGCAACACGTGGCAAGGGACAGCTAGTATATATATATAATTGAAATTACTTGGTGTCGGAAACCAAGCCAGGACCCTTAGGGAGCAAAGACGCCATTATTTATTATCCATGATTTCAATTTCTGCATTTAGGACTCAACCCCCCTTTTCTGATTCTGGAATGTGCTAGGCCAGCGTTTCTCAACCTGGGGGTCGGGACCCCTGGTTGGGTCGCGAGGGGGTGTCAGAGGGGTCGCCAAAGACCACCAGGAAAACACAGTATTTTCTGTTGGTCATGAGGGTTCTCTGTGGGAAGTCTGGCCCAATTCTGTCGTTGGTGGGGTTCAGAATGCTCTTTGGTTGTAGGTGAACTATAAATCCCAGCAACAACAACTCCCAAATGTCAAGGTCTATTTTCCCCAAACTCCACCAGGGTTCACATTTGGGCATATTGAGTATTTGTGCCAAGTTGGTCCAGATCCATCATTGTTTGAGTCTACAGTGCTCTTTGAGTGTAGGTGAACTACAACTCCAAAACTCAAGGTCAATAATAATAATAATAATCATCATCATCATCATCCTTTATTTATACCCCGCTAACATCTCCCGAAGGACTCGATGCGGCTTACAAGAGGCCGAGAGGTGCGGCTTACAATGCCCACCAAACCTTTCCAGTATTTTCTGTTGGTCATGGGAGTTCTGTGTGCCAATTTTGGTTCAATGCTATCGTTGGTGGAGTTCAGAATGCCCCCTGATTCTAGGTAAACTATAAATCCCAGCAACTACAACTCCCAAATGACAAAATCAACCCTCCACCCCACCAATATTCAAATTTTTGTGTTTCGGGTATTTGTGCCAAATTTGTTCCAGTGAATAAAATACATCCTGCATATGTGCTATTTACATTATGATTCATAACAATAGCAAAATCACAGTTATGAAGTAGCAACAAAAATAATTTTATGGTTGGGGGTCACCACAACATGAGGGTTGCGGCATTCGGAAGGTTGAGAACCACTGGCTTTCGTAACCCTCGAAGAGGGATGCCAGGCCGGCACTGCCATCTTGTTGAGACTTACTCAGGATGTTCTGGAAAGACTTTGGATGGGATCGTTGCAAAAGAAACCTTTGCTTCTTTCCCAGTCTTCCCTCAGTGAGCCCAGTGAGCTCTTGATCTGCTTTTGCAGAAGTTTGTAGGTTGTTCGGTGTTTTATTCCCAGCCTTTTCTCCCTCAGGGTCAAACATCAGGTGGAATACCTGGGCCTCAAAGAGAACATTCGCGTGCGGCGAGCTGGGTATGCTTACAGGCGTGCATTCAAGAAATTCCTGCAGAGGTATGATGATGGTGATGATGATGATGATGATGAAGATGATGGTGATGGTGATTGTGTTTATTCATGCCCCACTTGTTCTCATCCACAATGAGGTGCAGCAGCTGTAGGATTTGGAAAGCACTGAGAATAGAAAAGATTTGAACAGAAAACAAAGTAGACTAGAATTAAGAGAGTTAGAAAGAAATAGTGGAATCACTGGCAGTCACCATTTTCTTCGTGACAGAATCAGCGGTTAAAACTTGTGCGCCAGTTGCGCCCGTACCTTGGGAAGTCAGATCTGGCCACAGTGGTCCACGCTCTTGTTACATCCCGAATAGATTACTGCAACGCACTCTACGTGGGGTTGCCTTTGAAGACTGTTCGGAAACTTCAATTAGTCCAGCGGGCGGCAGCCAGATTACTCACTGGAGCGGCATACAGGGAGCATACCACTCCTATGTTATGTCAGCTCCACTTGCTGCCAATCCAGTTCCGAGCACAATTCAAAGTGCTGGTCTTGACCTACAAAACCCTATATGGCTCCGGCCCAGTGTACCTGTCCGAACGCATCTCCTTCTACATCCCGCCTCGGAGTTTAAGATCTTCTGGGGAGGCCCTGCTCTCGGCCCCACCTCTATCACAAGTGAGGCTGGTAGGGACGAGGGACAGGGCCTTCTCAGTGGTGGCCCCTCGCCTGTGGAGCTCACTCCCCGGGGAAATTAGGTCATCAACATCCCTCCTCTCCTTTAGAAGGAAACTGAAAACATGGATATGGGACCAGGCCTTTGGGTAATCTGGCAGACCGACAAGGTAATGACGACCAGAATTTTGGGAAGGACTATGGCAATGCTGAATGGACTTACGGATTTTAGAACTCAGTGAACGTTGGCCACTAGATTGGCTTTTTAGTTGTTAGTGTATTAATTGAATGTTTTAACTATTGTGGTTATTGGTGTTATGTATTTTATCTGTTGAATTGTTGGCATCGAATTGTGCCGGTTGTAAGCCGCCCTGAGTCCCCCCTCGGGGGTCAAGAAGGGCGGGGTAGAAGTGCCCGAAATAAATAAATCAATAATAATAATAAATAATAGGATTTGGAAAGCACTGAGAATACAAAAGATTTGAACAGAAAACAAAGTAGACTAGAATTAGAGAGTTAGAAAGGAATAGTAGAATCACTGGCGGTCACCATTTTCTTCGTGACAGAATCTGAATATTTTTCTTTAATTGGAATCAAAACTCCAGCCTGGGCCCTCAACTGGGGTGCATATGGGGGAAGTACTTGATGACAGGTAAACAGTCAGTCAATTGAGTATATGAAAAGGAAATGAGCTGAGAAGGGCATTGGCTGAGCCCCGTCCTCTTCAGCCGCTGTGACCTGAGCGAATGCAAGAGTGTTAGTCCCAAAAGGGGTTTTTCCCTCCCTCTGCTATTCCCAACATAATAAGTTAACAGGTGGCACCTCACTTATGGCAACCCCTGTGAGTTTTTAGGGCTTTTAGAAGCACTTTGGCCAGTTCCTTCTCTGCCATATTGTCTACATAACTTGAGATTCCCCAGTGGCCTCTCACCCAAATCCTAGATCTGGCTTAGCATCCCAGACCAGGCACTATTTATGCCCCAATGCCACCCCTGCCCAAAACGGGGGAGACTTGGCTGAAGAGCCCTGGGTGGGTGCTGAGCCTCCCTTCTCCTCTTCTCTCTCCTCCTCCTTCTCCCCGGAAGGTACGCCATCCTGACCAAGGCCACCTGGCCCACCTGGAAAGGCGACGAGAAGCAAGGAGTGCTCCACCTGCTCCATTCGGTCAACATGGACCCCGACCAGTTCCAGCTGGGAAGAACCAAGGTCTTCATCAAAGCCCCGGAGTCTGTGAGTGTCAAGGGCCGGGGTGTGTGTGTCTGCCTGGCTGCAAGTGCTATTTATTTATTTATCGTGTCAGGTGCAGACCAAACAGTTGCATTGCATTTTTTAACAAACAAACAGAACACAGAATTTGCAAGTTTGGTAGTTGATTAAATGTCCTTTGACCAGTATCTGGCCACTTGGAGTGCCTCTGGTGTTGCCGCAAGGAGGTCCTCCATTGTGCATGTGGCAGGGCTCAGGTTGCATTGCAGCAGGTGGTCAGTGGTTTGCTCTTCTCCACACTCGCATGTCGTGGATTCCACTTTGTGGCCCCATTTCTTGAGGTTGGCTCTGCATCTTGTGGTGCCAGAGCGCAGTCTGTTCAGCGCCTTCCAAGTCGCCCAGTTCTCTGTGTGCCCAGGGGGAGTCTCTCTTTTGGTATCAGCCATTGATTGAGGTTCTGGGTTTGAGCCTGCCACTTTTGGACTCTCGCTTGCTGGGGTGTTCCAGCGAGTGTCTCTGTAGAGCTTAGAAAACTATTTCTTGATTTAAGTCGTTGACGTGCTGGCTGATACCCAAACAGGGGATGAGCTGGAGATGTCTCTGCCTTGGTCCTTTCACTATTGGCTGCTACTTCCCGGCGGATGTCAGGTGGTGCAATACCGGCTAAGCAGTGTAGTTTCTCCAGTGGTGTAGGGCGCAGACACCCCGTGATAATGCGGCATGTCTCATTAAGAGCCACATCCACTGTTTTAGTGTGGTGAGATGTGTTCCACACTGGGCATGCGTACTCAGCAGGAGTAGCATAGCGCAAGGGCAGATGTCTTCACTGTGTCTGGTTGTGATCCCCAGGTTGTGCCAGTCAGCTTTCGTATGATATTGTTTCTAGCGCCCACTTTTTGCTTGGTATTCAGGTAGTGCTGCTTGTAGGTCAGGGCACAGTCCAAAGAGACTCCCAGGTATTTGGGTGTGTTGCAATGCTCCAGTGGGATTCCTTCCCAGGTGATCCTCAGAGCTCGGGATGCTTGTCTGTTCTTGAGGTGAAAAGCACATGTCTGTGTTTTAGATGGATTAGGGATCAGCTGGTTTTCCCTGTAATAGGCAGTAAGAGCACCTAGAGCTTCGGAGAGCTTCTGTTCAACCATCTCAAAGCTCCCTGCTTGAGCAGTAATTGCACGATCATCAGCATAGATGAAACTCTCTGTCCCTTCTGGCAGTGGCTGGTCATTTGTGTAAATGTTGAACATTGATGGACGAGCACGCTCCCCTGAGGCAGGCCGTTCTTCTGTTTCCGCCATCTGCTTCTCTGGCCCTGGAACTCAACAAAAAAGCTCCTGTTTTGTAGCAGGTTTCCTATGAGGCGGGTGAGGTGGTCATCCTTTGCGATATTATACATTTTTCTCAGGAGGAGGTGGTGGTTGACAGTATCATAAGCCGCTGACTGGTCTATGAAGACAGCTCCTGTGATCTGTTGCCTTTCAAAGCCATCTTCTATGTGCTGAGTCAGGTTTAGCACTTGCGATGTGCAGCTTTTGCCTGCAAGTGCTGCAAGTGGCACATTCCTGTCTGTAAGCTCATGTTTTCCTTTTTGAAAGTCATTAGGATTTTTCTTTTTGGGGAGGGGAGGAGTGCCGGTGTCCTCTGAGCCTCGGGAAGCATCCGCCGTAAGTCTTAATTACTGGAATCAGCCTGCAATTAGTGGGATCTGTCAACGCCAGCACTTTGGGTGGCCAGCTCCTTCTCCTGCGAAAACATTAAGGAATGATGAGGATGAGAGTGTTGGGGAGACAGGTTAATTACTGTGAGAGGGAGTTGGAATTGGCTAACGGCAGCAGATTTAAAGAATGCCATCATGTAGGCAAGGGATGCCACTCACGGGGCAGAAACTCACAGGGAAGTCTTCCATGCATAGGCTCTCCATTTCTGCTCCTTTTGATGTTCGCTAGGAGGAAGGGGAGGAAGGTTCTGGTGGCATTTTATTCTGGAATGCCATCCACTTGAATACAGAGCCCCCAGTGGCGCAGTGGGCTAAACCCCTGTGCTGGCAGGACTGAGGACCGACAGGTCACAAGTTCGAATCCAGGGAGAGGCGGATGAGCTCCCTCTATCAGCTCCAGCTCCTCATACGGGGATATGAGAGAAGTCTCCCACAAGGATGATAAAAACATCAAATCATCCAGGCGCCCCCTGGGCAAGGTCCTTGCAGACAGCCAATTCTCTCACACCAGAAGCGACTTGCAGTTTCTCAAGTCACTCCTGACACTAAAAAAAAATCCACCTGGATGCTATCTCCCTTCTCCAGCTCTGAGAAAGCCTCCCCTACAATGTCTCCAGGGTGCTCTCTCCCTCTGACTGGATCCCATAGTGTCTCCTTGCTGGCACTCTGTCCCTCTTCCATTTGTCATCTCTCCTTTCATCCAGCTCTATCAAGGTGGTATCATTAAGGTCAATGATTCGAAGGTGGAACGGACTGCCTCCGAGGATGGTGGCTTCTCCCCCTTTGGAAATTTTTAAGCAAATTGATTTTTCTATTGAGTGGGGTTGGACTATATGGGCTTTGGGATGCCCTCCGGCTCTATGGAATGTCTATACTCACTTTGAGGTCACAGGAGCAGAGTGACATTCACACAGTGGCATTGTGGATGCAGGTGTCCATTGTATGTGGCTCTGCATGGCCTATTGGCTATGCTTTTCACTGTGCATTTGGTATCATGGTCTAGTTATGCTGTGTTTACGCAAGGATTGTGTTGCATGGTCAGTGCACAACTAGAGGCCCTGGTGGCGCAGTGGGTTAAACCCCTGTGCCGGCAGGACTGAAGACCGACAGGTCGCAGGTTTGAATTCAGGGAGAGGCGGATGAGCTCCCTCTATCAGTTCCAGCTCCTCATGCAGGGACATGAGAGAAGCCTCCCACAAGGATGATAAAAACATCAAATCATCCGGGCGTCCCCTGGGCAACGTCCTTGCAGACGGCCAATTCTCTCACACCAGAAGCGACTTGCAGTTTCTCAAGTTGCTCCTGACATGATAAAAAAAAGTGCACAACTCCATGAATGGGTGTCAGTGCTACACAACCTCAGTGTAAGCACCGAGATTGTGGCGCAGCTGGCTGAGTGTCAGCTGCATTTAGATCACTCTGACCAAAAGGTCATGAGTTCGAAAGCCAGCCCGGGTTGGAGTGGGTTTCCAACCAATTGTGTAGCCTGTTGTCGACCTTTGCAACCCGAAAGACAGTTGCATCTGTCAAGTAGGAAAATAAGGTACCACCTTAAAGTGTGGAGGCTAAATTAACTGATTTATGAGGCCATAAAGAAGACTCCAGCAAAGCATTCCAGCGGGGAAGCATGCGGGAATGCGGAGTGCTTCATCAGCGTCGCAGATGGACGATGAAAGCGACAGCTCCCCTGGCGGCCAGAAAAAGTTAAATAGCCTCTGTGTATGTCTGTATATGTTTGTATGTCAAAAATTGGCACTGAATGTTTGCCATATATGTATACACTGTAATCCACCCTGAGTCCCCTGCGGGGTGAGGAGGGCGGAATATAAAAGCTGTAAATAAATACATAAATAAATAAGATCTCAGCCAAGTTGAATTGCTTTTTCCAGTTGAGGTCAATCTGATGTACATCCGTCCTTCCTTCCTCTCTCTCTCTCCGTTGCTGTTTTCCCTCCTTCTTGGTCGCAGCTCTTTTTGCTGGAGGAGATGCGCGAACGGAAGTATGACGGCTACGCGCGGGCGATTCAGAAAGCGTGGCGGAAATATGTGGCCAGGAAGAAATACGTGCAAATGAGGGAAGAAGGTATGCCTTGGCATGATAGGCCACTCCCTGCTGTTTATGCCAGGAGTGGGTCGTGGATAGGCTTTGCCTACCGTTACCTAACCCACTTGAGCAGAAATTTGGGCAGGTGTTGGTGAGCATGAAATGAGAAGGAAAACCCTCTCTTTGGAACAAACTCTCTGTTCCGTGTTGGCCTTAAAAGCCTCCGACCTGTTGCTGAACAAGAAGGAGAGGCGGAGGAACAGCATCAACCGGAACTTCGTGGGCGACTACATCGGGATGGAGGACCGGCCAGAGCTGCGCCAGTTCCTGGGCAAACGCGAAAAGGTCGACTTCGCCGACACAGTCATCAAATACGACAGGAGGTTTAAGGTACAATGGGGAGCGGGGGGGGGGGGGGGTGGTAACGGGTCTCCCTAGCGCCTCGTTTATGCCACGGGATGGCCCTCGAAGCAGGCATATCAACATGGGTGCCTCTCCAGACATGCTGCAGGAGGACTTCCCAATGGACAGGGATGGAAGGGAATGTGTTTGCCTTTTAAACCTTTGAGCATCAGCTCATCTTGGCCACCTTTTATGGAGGCCAGGTCTCTCCAAGAGCTGAGAGCTAAAAGGAGTCTGGGACCTTGTCGAAGGCTTTCACGGCCGGAATCACTGGGTTGTTATAGGTTTTTTTGGGCTATATGGTCATGGTCTAGAGGCATTCTCTCCTGACGTTTCGCCTGCATCTATGGCAAGCATCCTCAGAGGTAGTGAGGTCTGTTGGAACCAGGAAAATGGGTTTATATATCTGTGGAATGACCAGGGTGGGACAAAGGACTCTTGTCTGCTGGAGCTAGGGGTGAATGTTTCAACTGACCACCTTGATTAGCATTTGATGGCCTGACTGTGCCTGGAGCAAACTTTTTGAGGAACCAACCTGGACACAGCATATTATTGGAGAACACAGAAATGCTGGACCACTCTCACAACCACCATGTCAGACTACACAGAGAAGCCATTGAAATCCACAAGCATGTGGACAATTTCAACAGAAAGGAGGAAACCATGAAAATGAACAAAATCTGGCTACCAGTATTAAAAAAACTCTAAAATTACAACAGCACAACAACAGAGAGGAAACAAACAAGGACATCTAATCACCTCTCAACAAAAGTTTGCTCCAGGCACTGTCAGGCCATTGTATGCTAATCAAGGTGGTCAGTTGAAACATTCACACCTAGCTCCAGCAGACAAGAGTCCTTTGTCCCACCCTGGTCATTCCACAGATATATAAACCCTTTTTCCTAGTTCCAACAGACCTCACTACCTCTGAGGATGCTTGCCATAGATGCAGGCGAAACGTCAGGAGAGAATGATTCTCTAAGACAGTGTTTCTCAACCTGGGGGTCGGGACCCCTGAGGGGGTCGCGAGGGGGTGTCAGAGGGGTCGCCAAAGACCATCAGAAAACACAGTATTTTCTGATGGTCATGGGGATTCCATGTGGGAAGTTTGAGCCAATTCTATCATTGGTGGAGTTCAGAATGTTCTTTGATTGTAATGAACTATAAATCCCAGCAACTACAACTCCCAAATGTCAAGATCTATTTTCCCCGGACTCCACCAGTGTTCACATTTGGGCATATTGAGTATTCATGCCAAGTTTGGTCCAGATCCACCATTGCATGAGTCCACAGTGCTCTCTGGATATAGGTGAACTACAACTCCCAAACTCAAGGTCAATGCCCATCAAACCCTTCCAGTATTTTCTGTTTCATGGGAGTTCTGTGTGCCAAGTTTGGTTCAATTCCATTGGTGGAGTTCAGAATTCTCTTTGATTGTAGGTGAACTATACATCTCAGCAACTACAACTCCCAAATGACAAAATCAATCTCCCCCTAAACCTCACCAGTATTCAAATTTGGGTGTATTGGGTATTTGTGCCAAATTTGGTCCAGTGAATGAAAATACTTCCTGCATATCAGATATTTACATGGCGATTCATAATAGGGTTATGGTTGGGGGTCACCACAACATGAGGAACTGTATTAAGGGGTCGCGGCATTAGGAAGGTTGAGAACCACTGCTCTAGACCATGGCCATATAGCCTGAAAAAACTACAACAACCCAGTTTGGGGCCTGTTTGCCCCTTCCTGTGCGCGGCCTCCCCAGATCCCTTTCCGTTTCAGGGCATCAAGCGCGACCTCATCCTCTCCCCAAAGTACGTCTACCTGATTGGGCGCGAAAAAGTGAAGCAGGGCCCCGACAAAGGCTTGGTGAAGGAGGTGCTGAAACGGCAGATCGAGTTGGAGAGAGTCCTCTTCGTGTCCCTAAGGTCAGCCTCCCCCGGCCTCCCTCCCTGCGCTGCTGCTGCTTCGATGAAGCCCCTCTCTCTGGAGGGCAGCAGGACCATGGAGCCCACCTGCTGTGGCCAAGGAGGACAGCAGAGGCCAACCTTGCCAGTTTTGAGGGCAGAGAGAGGGAGAGGCAGCACATGGGCACCCACAGGCCGGTTGAACTCAACAGAGGGGAGAGGGGAATGAAAAGGGATGGATTCGCATTCGCAGCTTTTCCTGAGTTGTGGAAACGAGGCAACAAAGAATTGCTTGAGGAATTCTGCAGCAGACCACAGGCATCCTCTTTCCCCTCGCTTTTCTCCGATTTTTTCAAAGGTTAACACTCACTGATGTCTGTCAGGGTGAGTGAGAACTCCATCGCAAGCGCTCGTCATGGTTCCTCACACTCAACCAACCTTCCTTCCTTCCTTAGCACGATGCAGGACGACCTCTTTGTCTTGCATGAGCAGGAGTACGACAGTCTCCTTGAATCGGTCTTCAAGACGGAGTTCCTGAGCCTCCTGGCCAAGCGCTACGAGGAGAGGACCTACCGGAGGCTGCCCCTGAAATTCAGCAACACGTGAGTGGCTCCAAACGGTTCCTTCCCTGTGGTGGTCTAGCTGTGGGCTTCCTGAAGGAGTCTCAGAAGACCTTGTGCCTGAATACGGGGCCAGGCTCAGCGCTTCTCCACCTCCTCCCTGGATTGACCAGAGGAAGACAACCCAAACATACTGGCCACTGCATAAGTCACGGGCAGGATTCGAACACTTGCCATTCGAACACATGCCCACCCCAGCCATTCCACAGATATATAAACCCACTGTCCTATTTCCAACAGACCTCACTACCTCTGAGGATGCTTGCCATAGATGCAGGCGAAACGTCAGGAGAAATGCCTCTAGAACATGGCCCCATAGCCCGAAAAAACCCACAAGAACCTAGTGATGTTAAGTTCTGCATGCTCTTCGACAATACATTCCATTTTCTGTTCTTGTACTAGCCAGCCTGGAGGTTAGAAAGCTGAGAACGGAGACCTGGGAGCCCTTGGAAGGCCGGTGGCTCTCGGCAGGTGCAGTTCAGCCCAGGCCAAGGAGATGTGGCCGTCCTCAAGCCCAGCAACAAGGTGCTGCAGGTCAGCATCGGGCCCGGACTCCCCAAGAATGCCCGTACGTATCTGGATCCCACCCCAGAGGAGGAGGAGGAGGAGGATGGTGGGGGGGGGGGGGAGAAAGGGTGGCCAAGCAGTCCCTTGCTTGAGCATATCCCCACCTGCGTTGCCTTCCAGGTCCCACCCGAAGGAACACCAACCAAAGCCGGGGATATCCCAACCGGACGCAGCAAGGCCACAACTATCCCACCAGGGCAGCGCCACCACCTCCCGGTCAGTGGCCGTATGTCTTTTCTGGTTGCGAGAGTCCAGCCTTGACTCAGTTAGAGATCCTGTTCACAGCGATGGCCAGAATTCTATTGGAGCCTTGCGTCTTCCTAAGAGGACTTGCATCTTCTGAAATTAAGACAGCTCCAGAATTTCTGAGTCTACTGTTACTCTATAGGGCATTGGTTCTCAACCTGGGGTCCCCAGATGTTTTTAGCCTTCAATTCCCAGAAATCCTAACAGCTGGTAAACTGGCTGGGATTTCTGGGAGTTGTAGGCCAAAAACATCTGGGGACCCCAGGTTGAGAACCACTGCCATTGCTTAAGAGTGCTTCCATATTATTGTGTGGTAGACATTTGGACTAGATCAGTGGTTCTCAACCTGGGGTCCTCAGATGTTTTTGGCCTTGGACTCAAACAAGGATAGATCTGGACCAAACTTGGCACGAATACTCAACATGCCCAAATGTGAACATTGGTGTAAGGTAAAGGTAAAGGTAGACCCCTGACATTAAGTCCAGTCATGTCTGACTCTGGGGTGTGGTGCTCATCTCCATTTCTAAGCCGAAGAGCCAGCGTTGTCTGTAGACACCTCCAAGGTCATGTGGCCAGCATGACTGCATGGAGCGCCGTTACCTTCCCGCCAAGCGGTACCTATTGATCTACTCACATTTGCATGTTTTAAACTGCTAGTTGGCAGAAGCTGGGCTAACAGCAGGAGCTCACTCCACTCCCTGGATCGAACCTGCGACCTTTCGATCAACAAGTTCAGCAGCTCAGTGCTTTAACCACTGCGCCACCGGGGGCTCAATACTAATAATAATAATAATAATAATAATAATAATAATAATAATACTTTATTTATAACCCACCACCATCTCTCCAAAGGGGACTCAGGGCAGCTAACATGAGGCCAAGCCCAAAATAATACAGCAAGATTGATGGAAACTGAGTTTTGGTTAAAATATGAAATAACAAAAACAATATAAAATAGCATATAAAATCAGACATAGAGGGCGGGCCAAATGTATGACGTAAAATGGTAAAAAGTTAAAACCCTGGGCGAGATAGGGATAAGAGTGCATTTGTAAGAGAGAAGTCCGACAGGGAGAAGTAGTCAGTTTTTTGGCCTTTGAAGGGGACAGGGGAAGGTGTTTTATTCTGAGGGCAGCTACAGGTTAAAACGGCCAAATGGGTTGAGTGGTCACTCTCCAAAGACACATTGGAAAAGCCAGGTTTTTAGATCTTTCTTAAAAGCAGCTAGGGTGGCCTTGGCTTGCCTGATCTCCCTAGGTAGCAAGTTCCAAAAGCGGCGGGCCACCGTGGACTTTGGCTGAGAAGGTGTGAGGAGCCCTGGCGGGAAGGGCAGTGTTGCAACTCAGAGTAAGCTTCACCTTGCTTCCAAACATCACCACACAAGAGCTGTAGTTTTATAGTTTATTGAGGAGAAAATCCAAGTCAAAATAAAGAATGAAGCATTGCAAATTTCCAAAGATTAAGGTTAAATGCAGAATATAGTTCCAAAGACCTTCAGGTTAAAACAGGAGACACAATCCTATTGGCAAAGTTCAAACCAGAGTCCCAGGTACAAGCAATGAAACAATTGCCCCATGAATCACAATGCAAGAAATCCCAAGTGTACTGCTTTCCAGGCTAAGGTTATTCCATGAAGCTTTCAGGCTAGTAAGCTACGTTGAACTGACGCTTTCTCAGAGTTTGCAAGAGGCCTAAATACCTTTCTAACATGAAAACATTAGGCTCTCATCATCATAAAAGCATTGTGACGACCTTTCACCGAGCTGGCTTCTTGTCTGCTGGCCAGACGAGAACTCCGCCTGACCCGGAGATCAAGACGAGCTTGCCGGGTCAAGTCACTATCTACACTTTCGGTATCAGCGTGGGAAGGCACCTGCTTGCTATCTCCTTCGTTAAAATTCCTTTCTGGTGGAAACGGCTGTGTTGACACTGCACTGTCTGTGGGAGCCTCAGAAGCAGGCCCAGAGATTTGAGGCACAGACAAAGAGCCAGGAAGCTGAATCCCAGCAGGAATCTGAATCCCATCATCCTCATTGTCAGAAAATAGCTCAGCCACAACAAGTACCTTACTTCCCCTGCCTCAACCTTGTCTTTCTTGGCAGGCGTCCACCACCAGAACGGCCTGATCCAGGTCCCGGCGCCCCAGCGCTCCAGCCAACGCAGCCTCTACACCCCGATGTCCCGCCCGTCTTTGCCGCAGGTTTCCTCCGTGGGTCCGGGCCAAGCCTCCCAGCCGCCAAAGAGCCTCGACTTCCTCCGGGTGCCGGAGCAGGGTGCCGCAGGGTGAGTCCACGCCCGTCTCCTCCACCCAAGAATTGACAAGCTGCCCCTCCGAACTCTGCTGGATCTCTGCCGGCCTGTTCTTGACTTCCTCTGATTTAAGCCTTGGTTCCCTGCAGTGCTTATCCAACCTTGAAACCACTGCACCAAACCACCCGCTAGGAATTGTAAGAGTTAAAGTCCAAAACCCCTGGAGGGAAAGCCTAAGCTGGCCACGCCAGCTCCCAACCCAGAAGTCTCAAACAGCGAGGTTCTCCACGTTAAGATACTTCTTTCCATGGTGATGGGGTGCAGTCAGGGGTGGCTTGTCCATTACGCGAAGTAAGCGGTCGCAGAACACTTTTTTTGCCAGGGGCGCAGAGGCGCCTCTGTAAATGCCCCTCGACCGCCACTTGAGGAGCGCCCCCTCAGCTCACAACAGCCCTAGCAGTCCAGGGGGAGCCTCGGCTTTCTTGCCTCGCTGCCGGGCGAGCCTCTTCCCAAAGGGGCCGGGCCCTTGAGCCTCGCCTAGCCCCTCTCGTTCCTGCTCCACCCGGCCATCAGGTGCGCGAGCAGAGCCGACGCTCAATCGTTCTCTGCGTTCAATCCCTTCCCCATGATCGGCTTCCTTTCCCGATCCCCCGGCGCTCCACCTGCCTCCTCTCCTCTCCCCAATCTGCGGGTGGGCCAAGGGGCGGAGCTACCGTGTCTGGCCCGCTTCGGGTACAGAGGCATGTCTGAAGACCCCAGCATGTGCACCAAAACCTGCCTCTTCTCCTGACTTTTTCAGCCATTGGGACCAAGAGAGAGAGGGAGAGAGAGCCCCTCCGGCTGGAGGTATCTCCCACCTCCGCTCCCTCCTTTGTTTCTGCGCCTACCTTCAGGAAAGGTGGGCATCTCCACCTCTCTCTCTCTCTCTCTCTCTCTTGGTCCCAATGGCTGAGGAGAAAGTCAGGAGAAGAGGTGACTTTTGGTGCACACGCCGGGGTCTTCAGGCACGCCTCCGGACACAAAGCAAGCCAGGCAAGGGAGCAAGTGCGGCAAGTGTAGTTACTGGGATGTATAGTTCACCTACAATCAAAGAGCATTCTGAACTCCACCAATGATGGAATTGAACCAAATATGGCACACAGAACTCCCACGACAAACAGAAAATATATATCAATGATTGGTTTGGGGGGGGGGGGGGCACCAAAATACTGTTTGCTTACCTTTGAAAATTACCTAGGGCCGCCTCTGGGTGCAGTCCCTGAATTTGCAGTCACCTCTGCAAAGCATTCTCCACCAAGGCTGGTCATGGTGGCTGCTGGACACTACAGTCCAATGGCACCTACTTTGGGAGCGGCAAACCACCAGTTTCTGCTCCTGTTTTTATGGTTTTCGTTTCTTTATTTACCCTCAATTTTTCCTCTGATGATTTCAGCAGACTTACTCGTGTTATTATCCACACCCTATTGATTTTATAAGCATCACATACAATTTTATAAGCATCACATACACATTGATTTTATAAGCATCACATATAGACATTCTGGGGGTCAGCGAACTGAAATGGACTGGAATGGGCCACTTCACATCAGATGGCCACCAGATCTACTACTGCGGGACCCGCGCGCCCCCTCTGCCGCCCTGCGTATCCTTCCTACCTCCATCCGCCCTTCCGGCCCTCACCCGCGCACGGCTGGCCTTGGCTAACAACCAACATGCCCGCCTGCTTCCCTTCGAGTGCAAGGAACGCCCGTTTCGAACCATTCCACGCTGATCAAATATCGCCCCAACCACAGGCTGAAGAAGCCGCCCGCGTCGCTCCGTACTCTGCGGCTCTGCGGATTACTGGATAATCCCCCCCCGAGACCTTCTTTCATTCCCGGCGCTGCATGCCCCGGTGGGCAGTCACTGCACCCCTGGGCTCCCAGGCAAGCGATGGTTGGGCTGCACCCCAATCCGCGGCAGCCGGTGCTCGATTTGCCCCCCAGGAAAACTCGCTGTGTATAACGAATACTCTCTTCCAACAACCTAAAAGACGGCTTTATACATGGACCTCACCAGATGGTCAACACCGAAATCAGATTGACTACATCCTTTGCAGCCAAAGGTGGCGGACATCCATCCAGTCGGTGAAAACCAGACCTGGGGCTGACTGTAGCTCAGATCACGAACTTCTTATTGCTCAATTTAGAATAAAACTAAAGAGATCAGGGAAAATACACAGACCAGTTAGATATGATCTCACTAACATTCCTAGCGAATATACAGTGGAAGTGAAGAACAGATTTGAAGGACTAGATTTAGTAAACAGAGGCCCAGAAGAACTATGGACAGAAGTCCGCGACATTGTTCAGGAGGCGGCAACAAAGTACGTCCCAAAGAAAAAGAAAACCAAGAAGGCAAAATGGTTGTCTGCTGAGACACTAGAAGTAGCCCAAGAAAGGAGGAAAGCAAAAGGAAACAGGGATAAGGGGAGATATGCCCAGTTAAATGCGCAATTCCAGAGGTTAGCCAGAAGAGATAAGGAACTATTTTTAAATAAGCAATGCATGGAAGTGGAAGAAGACAACAGAATAGGAAGGACAAGAGACCTCTTCCAGAAAATTAGAAACATTGGAGGTAAATTTCAGGCAAAAATTGGTATGATAAGAAACAAAGATGGCAGGGACCTAACAGAAGCTGAAGAGATCAAGAGAAGGTGGCGAGACTATACAGAAGATCTGTATAGGAAGAATAATAATATTGAGGATAGTTTTGACGGTGTGGTGAATGAATTAGAACCAGACATCCTGAGGAGTGAGGTTGAATGGGCCTTAAGAAGCATTGCTAACAACAAGGCAGCAGGAGACGACGGGATTCCAGCTGAACTGTTTAAAATCTTAAAAGATGATGCTGTCAAGGTGATGCATGCCATTTGCCAGCAAATACGGACCCCCCCCCCGGACGCCCCTCAGCCTGGCCCCATCCTTAATCCCCATACAAAAATAGGGCAATGCACAGACAAGACTGCTCAACTTCCGGTACAGATCCCTTATTCTCATATGCCTAGTAACCGGTACTGCTCTTCTCCCGCCCCCTCTGCCCGGCAAGCCTCCGCATAAAGTACCCTGGACTGGTAGCATAGCGAACAGTGATGCCAGTAAGGAGCTTCAAGATGACGGATTAGAACAGGCAATCTCGAGAGAAAAAGCAGGAAGAGGCCAGATCTGCCAATAATACCGCGGAATAACGGAAGCACGCGCAAGGATGTCAACCGGCCCACCTGAGTCGAACTTCTGCTTCATGAACTATATCCGCCTGTTGGACTGATGGGAATCTAATAAAAATTAGTAGGGCAAGGTTTCTTTCAGGCGGCATGGGACATCCCCAGCACTACAGCAGTCGGGATGTCGTGCCGAGGAATCTGTAACAAGACCAAGTCAAAGGATAAGTCAGGCAAAACCCCCACCCAGTTCTAGAACTAGACCAAGGGCAACAACGAGGCTGGTCTGAGATTGGAAAGGCGATACGGGCAAGGGCTAAGCTGATCTCTCACACCACCTTTATACACTTCGTATGCTGACACAGGACAGCAGACACGCACACGAAATGTGCAAAGCGCACTGGTCACATAGAGAATGCAAGACTGGGGTCAAAATTGCTGGAAGAAACATTAACAACCTTAGATATGCAGATGACACCACTTTGATGGCCGAAAGCGAGGAGGAGCTGAGGAGCCTTCTAATCAAGGTGAAAGAAGAAAGCGCAAAAGCCGGGTTGCAGCTAAACATCAAAAAAACCAAGATTATGGCAACAAGAATGATTGGCAACTGGAAAATAGAGGGAGAAACCGTGGAGGCCGTGACAGACTTTGTATTTCTAGGTGCAAAGATTACTGCAGATGCAGACTGTGGCCAGGAAATCAGAAGACGCTTACTTCTTGGGAGGAGAGCAATGTCCAGTCTCGAAAAAATAGTAAAGAGTAGAGACATCACTCAGGCAACAAAGATCCGCCTAGTCAAAGCCATGGTATTCCCTGTAGTAACTACGGATGTGAGAGCTGGACCTTAGGGAAGGCTGAGCGAAGGAAGATCGATGCTTTGAACTGTGGTGTTGGAGGAAAGTGCTGAGAGTGCCTTGGACCGCGAGAAGATCCAACCAGTCCATCTTCCAGGAAATAAAGCCCGACTGCTCACTGGAGGGAAAGATACTAGAGACAAAGTTGAAGTACTTTGGCCACATCATGAGGAGACAGGAAAGCCTAGAGAAGACAATTATGCTGGGGAAAGTTGAAGGCAACAGGAAGAGGGGCCGACCAAGGGCAAGATGGATGGATGGCATCCTTGAAGTGACTGGACTGACCTTGAGGGAGCTGGGGGTGGTAACGGCCGACAGGGAGCTCTGGCGTGGGCTGGTCCATGAGGTCACGAAGAGTCGGAGACGACTGAACGATTGAACAACAACATTTGTAACTCTCAAGCGCAGGTTCGCAGCTTGGGTGTGCCCCTGGACTCATCGCTGAGCCTGGAACCCCAGGTTTCGGCGGTGACCAGGGGAGCATTCGCACAGTTAAAACTCGTGCGCCAGCTGCGACCGTACCTTGGGAAGTCTGACTTGGCCACGGTAGTCCACGCTCTGGTTACATCCCGCCTTGATTACTGCAACGCTCTCTACGTGGGGTTGCCTTTGAAGACAGTCCGGAAGCTCCAATTAGTCCAACGGGCGGCAGCCATGGTACTAACAGGAGCGGGGCGCAGGGAGCACACAACTCCTCTGCTGCACCAGCTCCACTGGCTGCCGATATGCTACCGGGCTCAATTCAAAGTGCTGGCGTTTGGCCTTTAAAGCCCTAAACGGTTCTGGCCCAACTTATCTATCCGAACGTATCTCAGCCTATCAGCCCACCAGGACCCTAAGATCTTCTGGAGAGTCCCTGCTCTCTATCCCACCAGCTTCCCAAGTGCGGCTGGTGGGAACGAGAGACAGGGCCTTTTCTGTGGTGGCCCCTCGGCTTTGGAACACCCTCCCTATAGAGATACGATCAGCCTCTTCGCTGATGGTCTTTCGGAAGAGATTAAAAACATGGTTGTGTAAACAAGCATTCAATTAGTTTGTTACTATTGAATTTATAGACTAAGGACTGGTTAATTATGGATGACGAACTCTGGACTGTGATTTTTGTGACGAGAAGCATGGTATTATTATTGGTGGCCCAATAATTTGTATTGTTTACGTGTTGTTGTTTTAAATTGTACATTGGTTTTCGTTTCTTTATTTACCCTCAATTTTTCCTCTGATGATTTCAGCAGACTTACTCGTGTTATTATCCACACCCTATTGATTTTATAAGCATCACATACAAAGCCATGCGGATCGATTCCATAGGACAGACTTTCTGATTTTAATATTATGAATTTTTAGTCTTAATGTTAACACTTAAAAGAAAAACCTGCATTTAAAGTTTTGCACTCTTTCTTGGTCTATGATTGTCATAATATAATTCGATCATTCACTTTTTCCTCTGGGACTTAAATAGCCAAGTGAACAAGGTGGGATAAAGGGCAGGCAGCTGATAAAGCCGAAATGTATATAATCATGGGTGAGCAGCCATGTTTGAATCTCTCCTGGAGGTGACGAAACATAGGACATAGGACAATCATGTGCCTGGTAGAGTGTTTTAGGGAGTGTGTGTGTATATATATATATATAGATGTATATGTGTGTGTGTGTATATGTGTGTGTGTGTATTTTATATATATAAATATATATATACACACACACACACACACACACACACATACATACATACATACATACATACTGTATATACTCAAATATAAGCCTAGTTTTTCAGCCCCTTTTTTAGGCTGAAAAAGTCCCCCTCGGCTTATACTCAAGTCAAAGTTATTTATTATTTTATTCTGTTATTATTATTTTCATTTCATTTATTATTTTATTCTATTTATTATTATTACATTTATCATTTTACTCTATTATACATTTATTATTTTACTGTATAATTGTTGTTATTGCTACATTTATTATTTTACTCTTTTTATTATTGTTATTATTACATTTGTTATGTTGCTCTCTTTATTATTATTGGAAGGATACATAAGCACATTTACATTGAAGAAGGTAAATAATCATTTAATCAGAGTTGAACAGTCTTATCTTAAATTACCATTTTTGTAAATATTCAAAAATATATAACTGATTCCTCATGTAATTTAATGTAATTTAATTGGTATCTATTTTTATTTTGCAATTTACCAGTAGCTTCTGCATTTCCCACCCTTGGCTTATACTTGAGTCAATCCATTTTCTCAGTTTTTTGTGGTAAAATTAGGTGCATCGGCTTATCTTCGGGTCGGATTATACTCGAGTACATACGGTGTGTGTGTGTATGTGTGTGTATATATATATGTATATGTATATGTGTGTATATATATAGTCTGTTGATCTGGAAAATAAAGTTATGAGAAAGTGTTGGTTTCTAATACATGTCATTTCTTTATGTTCGAGGATAAACAGTATTTCTTGTTATTTCTTTATCAGTGTTGATGTGGAGATTGTCTGGTTTGTCTGGCTTGCCTATTCTGGAACATGTAATATATCATTGTCCTTCTTCAGGGGTCCCTTTCAAATCTATGATACTATCTCTCTGTGTGTAAATCATATCTATCTATCTATCTATCTATCTGTCTATCTATCTATCTATGGCTGGATGGTTCTTTGTCAGGAGGGCTTTGATTACTTTTTATTGCCCTGGTGAAGGGAGTTGGACTGGATGGCCTTGAGTATTTCCTGTTGGTCTTGGGGATTCTGTGTGGGAAGTTTGCCCAATCAGAATGCTCTTTGATTGTAGGTGAACTGTAAATCCCAGCAACTACAACTCCCATGACAAAATCATAATTTTTTGAGTGATGGTCACTCCTTGTGTTGTGAGATGTTTTGTTGCCAAATTTGGTGTGATTTCGTTCATTGGTTCTTTGGTTATTAAGGTACTCATAATGCACAGAGCATTTATTTATATGTGTGTGTGTGTGTGTATATATATATATGTATGTATATACACACACATACATACATGCATACTATAATGTATATATCATGCTAAACTTCAACCAATTTAGGTCCTCCAATTACTGGATGAAATCTAGGCTGAATGCCAACCAGGAGGCCCATCCCCTCTGCAATTGGCCACGCAAGGCAGGGGGGATGCTGGGCACAGTCATAAAGATGCCAGTAGGCCTCCCTCTTGCAAGGCAGGCATTCCACAGCACCACCTGCTGGAACCTCTCCAGATGTTTCCAGTTACAAACCAGACATGGGCCAACTTTGCACCTCCCTCAGGGTGTTTTGGACTCTAACTCTCACAATTGAAGTCCAAAACACCCAGAGGGAGGACAGGAGTTGGCCCGTGCCTGGAAGGAAAATGAAAAGAATGCCAGCCCTCCCAACATCAGATAGTAAACTTCATATATCAATGGTAGGCTGAAGAGTGTACTTCAAAGGAGAAGTCACGACCGATGAATCAATTGTATACACAGCTCAGTGATTGATAACATGAGCTATAACAGGCATGGGCCACCTTCAGCCCTCCTTCTGGGTGTTTTGGACGTCAGCTCCCCCAGTTCCTAACAGCTCAGGCCTGGAAGGACAACCAGTGCCACTCTATATATACCAGCCTTTCTCAACCTGGGGGTCGGGACCCCTGGAGAGGTCGCGAGGGGGTGTCAGAGGGGTCACCAAAGACCATCAGAAAACACAGTATTTTCTGTTGGTCATGGGGGTTCTGTGTGGGAAGTTTGGCCCAATTCTATCGTTGGTGGAGTTCAGAATACTCTTTGATTGTAGGTGAACTATAAATCCTAGTAACGACAACTCCCAAAGGTCAAGGTCTATTTTCCCCAAACTCCACCAGTGTTCACATTTGAGCATATTGAGCCAAGTTTGGTCCAGATTCATCATTGTTTGAGTCCACCGTGCTCTCTGGATGTAGGTGAACTACAACTCCCAAACTCAAGGTCAATGCCCAACACACCCTCCTAGTATTTTTTGTTGGTCACAGGAGTTCTGTGTGCCAAGTTTGGTTCAATTCCATTGTTGGTGGAGCTCAGAATTCTCTTTGATTGTAGGTGAACTACAAATCCCAGCAACTACAACTCCCAAATGACAAACTCAATCACCCCTCCCCCCAACCCCACCAGTATTCAGATTTGGGCGTATCAGATATTCAGATTTGGGCATATCATTCACTGGATCCAGTTTGGTCCAGTGAATGAAAATAGATCCTGCATATCAGATATTTATAGTATGATTCATAACAGTAGCAAAATTACAGTTATGAAGTAGCAACGAAAGTAATTTTATGGTTGGGGGTCACTACAACATGAGGAACTGTATTAAGGGGTCACAGCATGAGGAAGGTTGAGAACCACTGATATATACCCTATCAGGATTGTGTGAGGTTTTCCCAGCCTGTATGTCAAGGCAGAGGCCTCATTAACTCCCTTCTGTATGTATCCACAGGGCACGAAGGCAGACCACCAGCCGCCCCCCTCCGGCGGGAGGCCGTCCCAAGCCCAAGCCCCAGGGCCCACAGTGCCGGGCACTCTACGCCTACGACGCCCAGGACACGGACGAGCTCAGCTTCAATGCCAACGACGTCATTGACATTGTCAAGGAAGGTAAGGCGGCCTCCTCTTGCTACTGCTGCGCCACAAATATGCTCCAGTCAATCCAATGGTTTATTGTACTAGCCCAAGGCCATGAAAAAAGGCACAGGTGCAGGGTGCGCAGAATACTACCCTCAAACAAGAAGCAAAAGATAAACAAACATAGGTGAGCTTCATGATCACACCAAGATAAAAAAAGTAATGTGAATTATCGATAGTTGCTGGGGGAAGATGGGCCCTTTGAGTCTCCGTAGCAGTCTTTTTCTGATTTATTTATTTACAGCTTTTCTATTCCGTCCTTCTCACCCCGCAGGAGACTCAGGGCGGATTACAGTGTACACATATATGGCAAACATTCAATGCCAATTTTTGACATACAAACATATACAGACATACACAGAGGCTATTTAACTTTTTCTGGCCGCCAGGGGAGTTGTCGCTTTCATCGTCCATCTGCAACGCTGATGAAGCACTTCCGCATTCCCCGCATGCTTCCCCGTTGGAATGCTTTGCTGGGGTCTTCTTTATGGCCTCATAAATCAGTTAATTTAGCCTCCCCACACTTTAAGGTGGTACCTAATTTTAAGCATTCTTTGCTGTAATGCCACTTTTCTGAAACGTGGATTGTCTTGTGCTGCAAGTCCCAGCTGCTTGTTCTGACTGTTGCTCCTAAGAGTGATGCATGTCCTAAACCAGTGGTTCTCAACCTGGGGTCCCCAGATGTTTTTGGCCTTCAACTCCCAGAAATCCTAACAGATGGTAAACTGGCTGGGATTTCTGAGAGTTGTAGGCCAAAAACATCTGGGGACCCCAGGTTGAGAACCACTGTCCTAAACCAAGCGCAACCGCCCAGCCTGAATTAATTTTCATTATGACCGTCACAGACCAGGAATGCAAAACATTAACACACCGAAATCAGCATTTTAAAAAAAGAAATACATTAAGATCAGCGATTCAAAACATTAAAAGCAGAAAGTCCCCAACACAGAGTCACCTGGATCAGCTCTTGTAAAATTTGTGGGTATAGACCAGGCATGGGCAAACTGTTTTGCACTTCAACTCCCACCATTCCTAACAGTCCATAGGCTGTTCCATCTGAGCATGAGGAAGAACTTCCTGACTGTGAGAGCCGTTCAGCAGTGGAACTCTCTGCCCCGGAGTGTGGTGGAGGCTCCTTCTTTGGAAGCTTTTAAACAGAGGCTGGATGGCCATCTGTCAGGGGTGATTTGAATGCAATATTCCTGCTTCTTGGCAGAATGGGGTTGGACTGGATGGCCCATGAGGTCTCTTCCAACTCTTTGATTCTATGATTCTATGATTCTAGGACTTGTGGGAGTTGAAGTCCAAAACACCTGGAAGGCTGAAGTTTGTCCATGCCTGGTATAGACACTAAAATGCATAAGGTCAAAATATTATTGTTTAAAATCACCCAGCATCACCACAAACACAAAACTTAGCAGCAGCAGCAGCACAAAACTTAGCCACCCTAAGAGCAATTGATGGTTCCCTATTTATTTATGTTTCAAACTTATATGCCACCACTCTCCTAGGGCTCGGAGCGGCTTACAAGAACAAACTAAAATCTAACACAAATTAAACAACATATCAAAGATCAAAAGCCTGTCAAAACAAATATGTCTTACAAGCCCTGCGGAAAGCCAATAAATCCCGCAAGGCACAGACTTCTGTTGGCAGAGTGTTCCATAGCGATGGTGCCACTACTGTGAAGGCTCTGCGCCTGGTTGCTGTTAGATGCAAGGTTTTAAAACTGGGGACTTCCAATAAATCTTGGTCCTCAGAACGGAGGGATCTCTGGGGTTGGTAGGGGGTGAGGTGATCCCTCAGGTACATTGGGATGTTTCGTCTGAGATGTTTCGGGGCAGTGATTGTCAGATCTTCCAGGCATCTTTTGTACGATGGGGGTAATCAAAACAGCTCGGATATCTCTACAAAAGTCACAGTAGAGACAGTGCTTTCTCCCTTCGGGCCAGCCTGGCCGCTTTCCTCCCAACTCCCCTCCGTTTCTTTCCAGATCCTTCCGGGTGGTGGACCGGGCGGCTGCGAGGGAAGCAGGGCCTCTTCCCCAACAATTACGTAGCCAAGCTGTGACCAGGTGGAAGAAGGAAGGAGAGGCCTCTGGCGGGCCTTGCGTTGGGACTCCCGAGCGGCAGAGCCTCGTCCCCTTCGGCGCCAGGAGTTGAGCCTGGAGCGCCTCCGCTCCTTCTCCGCGAAGCCAAAGCCCACCGAATGCCTCGAAAAGCCCAAACCAAGGAATTGTTATTTATTTTATTTAACACTTAAAAAGAAATCTTGCAAAGGAAGAGGAGCATATTTCCAATTCCATTCCATTTGCCTTGTTTTAAATTTGGAAATGGCCAGGTGCTCTCAAGGAGGATTTTGGAGAGACAGCTTGTGCCTTCTTCCAAGTGCCTTTTGTTGCTCTGGTGACCTTGTCATGACAGAACGGCATTCGATGCACACTGCCGTGCTGGAGCACATTTTGCTGCTGCTGCTGCCTGCCTTAGAAATGTAGGCCTTCCTTCCCTTTCTCGAGAAATCCGGCCCCTTCCCTGTTCCAAAGACTTCACGGGAATCTCCTTTTGCTTTGCGACAAGGAAAGGCCCTGCAACCAAAGGTGGGAAGGAGGCCGTCTCCTGACGCTGCAAGCTGCCGGGTCAATGTGGCTGGTCCACGTTTGCTTTATTATGGCTGTGCCTGTTGTTGGAGAGCATTGCCTGCTTCGACCAAGACCCAGGCAATGCCCGCTTGAAGGTAGGTATGAATGTACGCAGCGCCCGCCCGCTGCTCGTAGCCGCAAAGGCCGCCTTTGGTGAGCCAGGTACTTCCACATCTGCACTATCCCAAGGGGGGAGCTGGTGCCGCGAGAGCTTCCAGAAGCCTCCATCGCAAGAGTTCTTGCTCCCCTTCTGCATGCCACTTTATCTGTTTCCTTCTCCTCCGCCATCAATAAAAAAGTCATAGGAACTCATACCTGTTGCTGCCTGCAAGCTTTGTTTGGAGGGATCTTACGAGGGTCGGGTTATTATTATTATTATTATTAAACTTTATTTGTACCCCGCTAGCATCTCCCAAAGGATTCGATGCGGCTTACACAGGCCGAGGCCTCAACACACAACACAACAATACAATCTAAGCAAATCAAACAATTAAAACAGAATAAAGCAAATAATCAACAGGTACAATACACTAAACACAATAAAACTGGGCCTGGCCAGAGTAATGGGTACAAGATTAAAAGTGCTGATGTGACAGGAGGTGTATATAGGCTTCCAGGGCAAGTGCGATGTGCGATGTGCAGCAATCATTGGTTCTGATAAAGTGCTTATGGGACTTGGTAGTGGAGATTTCCTAATCTGGGAAGGCGCATCGGAAAAGCCAGGTCTTCAAGTTCTTTCTGAAGACAGCCAATGTAGGGGCCTGTCTAAGGTCTTTGGGGAGGGTGTTCCAGAGTCGGGGGGCCACCACGGAAAAGGCCCTGTCCCGCGTCCCCACCAAGCGCGCTTGCGATGCCGGTGGGATCACGAGCAGGGCCTCTCCAGATGACCGAAGAGAACGTGTGGGTTCGTAGATGGAGATGCGGTCACGCAGGTAGGCTGGTCCCAAACCGTTCAGGGCTTTGTAGGTAAGCACCTGCACCTTGAATTGGGCTCGGAAAATAAATGGCAGCCAGTGGAGCTCCTTGAACAGGGTTTTAAAGCCAGGTATGGTTAAACTTTGCCCTTCCAGGTATTTTGGACTCCAATTCCCAGAAATCCTAGCTAGATTACCAGCTATTAAGAACTGGGGGAGATGTAGTCCAAAACACCAGGAGGACCAAAGTTGGCCCATGCCTGTACTAAGCCGTAAAAGCTTGAAAATGTGGTCAAATGACAAACCAAACGTATCCCCAAGAGATGCATCCAACACGAAAACTTCTATTTGGGAGAAGCAAATAGATAAAACACGAAAAGGATGAAGCAAGAGAAGGACCACATTTGCCTTGGGAAATGTTTGCACTTCATTACAAGCTTACTGATAATTCACTGTTCAACGGAGAAAAAGTTGAGGGCCTGAAAATAGTTGTTCTTTTATGATTTTGGGGTGCTGAAAACGAAAACGACATTTAAAAATGTATATTGGCTCTAGTTTTTATGATATAAGCAATCACGTGATCACGTATGGTTGAAAAAATGCATGTTGCGACTTACACTATGGAAGATTCTAGAATATTCTAGAAAGTTTGATGACGCAGTATTAGTGCCGTGTGCAAAAGCCAGAAAGCCCTATATAAGGCCAGACTTTTGAACGGTGAGGGTCAGTCAGTTGAAGACTGAGACAGTATCGTTAAACATCGTTTTACATTGTTCTTTTTACTGTAGTGATGCCTCGCACGTGTGTAAATAAAGCACTATGGAAAAAAGGTATCAAGGCAAATGGACTCCGTCAATGCTGTCAGACTCCTGCTGGAGCATTGTGAGAGACAATCCTTTCCTTGAATACAAAAGAAAAGTCAAGAGAAGCAAACAGGATATAAACTAAAGTCACGATTAAAGCGACATTTACACTTTCAGACTTTTCAACTGCATTAGGCCTACTAATAGAGTTTCTTACTGCACAAACATAAACAATAGACTAATTAAATAAATATTTCTCATGTATAAACTATTGGCAATATAATTTGACTAAAATTTAGTAAATATTCACGGTTTATATACATGCAGTAAGGTTAGGCGCATTATCATAATATTAACGAATTACCTATTGTGGAGAAATTGAAATAGCTGTTGCATAAAAACCAGAGCCAATTAACACATTTAATTATTATATTTGAATTCAGCATGTTAAATTTATTAAGAAACGGCACATTTCGTTTCCGCAACTGAGAAAAACTGAAAATTTGTAGAACAGTGTAATGTGTGACTTAGTTAATGACTTAGACCAGGGGTCCTCAAACTACAGCCCGGGGGCCGAATACGGCCCTCCAAGGTCATTTACCCGGCCCTCACTCAGGGTCAACGTGAGTCTGAAATGACTTGAAAGTACACAACAACAATCCTATCTCATCAACCAAAAGCATTCACAAACTTCTCATTGAAATACTAATAAGTTTATACTTGTTAAAATTCTTCATTTTAATTATTGTATTGTTTTTATGTGTTTTTTGCACTACAAATAAGATATGCGCAGTGCGCATAGGAATACATTCATGCTTTTTTCAAATTATAATCCGGCCCTCCAATAGTTTGAGGGACTGTGATCTGGCCCTCTGTTTAAAAAGTTTGAGGACCCCTGACTTAGATGAAGGGTTAGAAGGCATGATCATCAAGTTTGCAGACGACACCAAATTGGGAGGGATAGCCAATACTCCAGAGGACAGGATACAAAACGACCTTCACAGATTAGAGGGATGGGCCAAAACTAACAAAATGAAGTGCAACAGGGACAAATGCAAGATACTCCACTTAGTCAGAAAAAACAAAATGCAAAGATACAGAATGCCTGGCTCGAAAGATCTTGGGTCCTCATGGACAAGTTAAACATGAGCCAACAATGTGATGTGGCGGCAAAAAAGCCAATGGGATTTTGGCCTGCATCAATAGGCATAGTGTCTAGATCCAGGGAAGTCAGGTACCTCTATTCCGCTTTGGTTAGACCACACCACCTGGAATATTGTGTCCAATTCTGGGCACCACAATTGAAGAGAGATATTGACAAGCTGGAATGTGTCCAGAGGAGGGCGACTAAAATGATCAAGGGTCTGGAGAACAAGCCCTATGAGGAGCGGCTTAAGGAGCTGGGCATGTTTAGCCTGAAGAAGAGAAGGCTGAGAGGAGATATGATGGCCATGTATAAATATGTGAGAGGAAGTCACAGGGAGGAGGGAGCAAGCTTGTTTTCTGCTTCCCTGGAGACTAGGACACGGAACAATGGCTTCACACTACAAGAGAGGAGATTCCATCTGAACATGAGGAAGAACTTCCTGACTGTGAGAGCTGTTCAGCAGTGGAACTCTCTGCCTCGGAGTGTGGTGGAGGCTCCTTCTTTGGAAGCTTTTAAACAGAGGCTGGATGGCCATCTGTCAGGGGTGATTTGAATGCAATATTCCTGCTTCTTGGCAGAATGGGATTGGACTGGATGGCCCATGAGGTCTCTTCCAACTCTTATGATTCTAAAGAGAGCCATGTTGCCATTGAGAGAAAAGAGTCTTTCAGAGCTGGAGAAAGACGAAAGGGAAGAAAAGGAGGGTGGAGACATTCAGAGAGAGAAGGAAAGGAAGAAAGGCATTAGGATCTGAAGGAAGGGAAGGAAAAGGAAAGGAGGGAAGAAGGGGAGGCAGTCATGCTGCCATGGAGACTAGAAAATGCCTTTCAGAGCTGGAGAAGGGAGAAAAAAGTAAGGTAGGAAGGAAGGGGAGCCATCAAAGAGAGCCATGTTGCCATAGGGACAATATGGGGTTGGAAGGGAGGGGGGAAAGAGCCATAAAGAGAGCTGGAGAAGAGGGAAAGGAAGGAAAGGAAAAGCCACAAAGGGAGCCATGCTGCCCTGGGGACATTGAAAGAACAGGCCTTTTAGAGGTGGAGATGGGAGAAAGGAGAAAAAGAAGGGAAGAGCCACAAAGAGAGCCATGTTGCCATTGAGAGAAAAGAGTCTTTCAGAGCTAGAGAAAGAAGAAAGGGAAGAAAAGGAGGGTGGAGACATTCAGAGAGAGAAGGAAAGGAAGAAAGGCATTAGGATCTGAAGGAAGGGAAGGAAAAGGAAAGGAGGGAAGAAGGGGAGGCAGTCATGCTGCCATGGAGACTAGAAAATGCCTTTCAGAGCTGGAGAAAGGAAAGGAAGGAGAGGGGAGGGGAGCCATTAAAAGAGAGCCATGTTGCCATAGGGACAATGTAGGGTTGGAAAGGAGGAGAAGGAAAGAGCCATAAAGAGATGTTCAATGTATTGTCGAAGGTTTTCATGGCCGGAATCAACAAAAGTTTGCTCCAGGCACTGTCAGGCCATTATATACTAATCTAGGTGGTCAGTTGAAACATTCACACCTAGCTCCAGCAGACAAGAGTCCTTTGTCCCACCCTGGTCAATCCACAGATATATAAACCCTTTTTCCTAGTTCCAACAGATCTCACTACCTCTGAGGATGCTTGCCATAGATGCAGGCAAAACGTCAGGAGAGAATGCCTCTAGACCATGGCCATATAGCCTGAAAAAACCTACAACAACCCAGCAATAAAGAGAGCTGGAGAAGGGGGAAAGAAGGAGAGGAAAGAAAAAGGGAGGAAGGAGTAGAAAGAGAAAGGAGGACGCAAAGGAAAAAGAAGGGATGGCAACACCATCAGGTAGACACATCCAGGATGCTGTCACAGTTTTGAACCTTGAAAGGTTCTATTGTTTTATCTCAAGTAATTTAAATACAGTTTTTTTTTACTCTCACCACATTTTAAAGCCTAAGTGTATAATTTTTTTCTTACCTTTCACTGTTGGTTTTCATGCTGGGTTGGTCTCTGACTGAAATTAAATATTAAATCATGGGAAGAAAAGATTAAACTAAATACTTCCAAGTGTGCAATGAGCCTCTGCATGGAGAGATTAAACGAAACGATCAATAAAAGCAATGTTTTGCCAATGAAGCAACGTTCTCGGTTGTTGGGCAGAAAAGGAGGCCGAGACGCGAGTGGATTCCGCTCACTTTTATTAACGAGGTCGACCTAAAATTATTAAAAAATAGATCCCGAATTGCTCCCGCCCCCGTCCCCCTATAGATTCATGGATACTTGCCTTCAAAAACACACATTTCAAGGGTTTCTCAATTATTAATAACACTGTTCAACGGAGAAAAAGTTGCGGGCCTGAAAATAGTTGTTCTTTTATGATTTTGGGGTGCTGAAAACGAAAATGACATTTAAAAATGTATATTGGCTCTAGTTTTTATGATATAAGCAATCACGTGATCACATATGGTTGAAAAAATGCATGTTGTGACTTACACTATGGAAGATTCTAGAATATTCTAGAAAGTTTGATGACGCAGTATTAGTGCCGTGTGCAAAAGCCAGAAAGCCCTATATAAGGCCAGACTTCCTTGACTCGCATCTGGATTTCTTTCCATCAAATTGTGGGGCAGTGAGCGACGAGCATGGTGAGCGTTTCCATCAACAAGTTGCCACTATGGAAAAAGATATCAAGGCAAATGGACTCCGTCAATGCTGTCAGACTACTGCTGGAGCATTGTAAGAGACAATCCTTTCCTTGAGATATCAAGGTAAATGGACTCCGTCAATGCTGTCAGACTACTGCTGGAGCATTGTAAGAGACAATCCTTTCCTTGAATACAAAAGAAAAGTCAAGAGAAGCAAACAGGATATAAACTAAAGTCACGATTAAAGCGACATTTAAACTTTCAGACTTTTCAACTGCATTAGGCCTACTAATATAGTTTCTTGCTGCACAAACATAAACAATAGACTAATTAAATAAATATTTCTCATGTATAAACTATTGGCAATATAATTTGACTAAAATTTAGTAAATATTCACGGTTTATATACATGCAGTAAGGTTAGGCACATTATCATAATTATTAAAGAATTACCTATTGTGGAGAAAATTGAAAAAGCTGTTACATAAAATGTGAAGATCAAGTAGGCACCTTCTTCCACCAATGGTGGTCATGCCCCATAGTCCAGAAGTATTGGAAAGGAGTAAATGAAACCTGCGAAAATATCCTGAAAATTAGGATTAAAGAGAGAGCGGAGTGTTACCTATTAGGTATATTCAAAGAGGAATGGGAATTAGGCGTAAACGAAGATATACTGCTCACTTTTCTAACGACGGCCGCAAGAATAGTCTTTGCCAGGAAGTGGAAATTAAAAGAAATCCCAACGGAACAAGAATGGATGGACAAAATATTAGAGATAAGAGAAATGGATAGGCTAACTTATGCTCTGAAAGACTCTAACGGCCGTCCCTTAAAGAGGACGGACTGGAGCCTACTAAACGTTTTTTTAGGAGAAGACAAGAAACATAGCGAGATGAGAGAAACCTAAATAAGAAATAACTTAGAGCCTAAAGGGATAGGCCTCAGATCGCACTAAGTTAAGAAGAAATCAAACCGAGAACGCGGTGAAAACGGAATAGGAAGTCACTCTTTTCCTCCCCCCCCTCAACTTCCATGTCCCCTTAGCCCCTTTCCTCCCCCTCTTATCTTACCTCTTTTCCCATCCCCTCCTTCCCCCCCTCCTCAATCCCCCTCTTCCCCTCCCCCCTTCCCCTCCCCCCTCTGTCTTTTAAACTCTAATGTATAGTGAACCCCCCCCCTTTCCCTCTTTGTATCTACGCTGTACTTTGTATTTTGTATTATTCTGAAAAAGTATTGTAATAAAAATAATTTTTTAAAAAAGAAATAGCTGTTGCATAAAAACCAGAGCCAATTAACACATTTAATTATTATATTTGAATTCAGCATGTTAAATTTATTAAGAAACGGCACATTTCGTTTCCGCAACTGAGAAAAACTGAAAATTTGTAGAACAGTGTTATTATTATTGTCCTGTTTTCTGATTACAAAACCAGCTTGTGCAGAATCTCTAGATGAGGTTTGGAAAACGAAAAAGCAAAACTGAAAGAGAGAGCAAATCCTGCCTTTCTCCCCTTTGCCGTCACCCTACAAACGTATTTTATTCAATCTGTGCATATATATATACACATACAACCCCAACTTAGTTGTAATTCAGATATTTAAAAGTGTCCGTTAGATCCGAATTGCTCCCGCCCCGTCCCCCCCTATGGATTCATGGATACTTGCCTTCAAAAACACACATTTCAAGGGTTTTTCATTATTATTATTATTATTATTATTATTATTATTATTATTATTATTGTCCTGTTTTCTTATTACAAAACCAGCTTGTGCAGAATCTCGAGATGAGTTTTGGAAAACGAAAAAGCAAAACTGAAAGAAAGAGCAAATCCTGCCTTTCTCCCCTTTGCGGTCACCCTACAAACATATTTTATTCAATCTGTGCATATACCGCATCACAGTCTACGAACCCACACGCTCGCTCTGGTCATCAGGAGAGGCCCTGCTCGTGATCCCACCTGCCTTGCAGGCGCGTTTGGTGGGGACGCGGGACAGGGCCTTCTCTGTGGTGGCCCCCCGCCTCTGGAATGCCCTCCCAAAAGATCTCAGACAGCCCCCTACATTGGCAGTCTTCAGAAAGAATTTGAAAACCTGGCTGTTCCAATGTGCCTTTTCAGATTAGGAACCCCACTATCAAAGCCCAGAAGCACTTTAGTAGAGTCAAGATCACCCTCAACGCACACCGCACTTATACTTTAATCTCATATCCCCCCGACACTTTTTTCAGCACTTTTAACCCTGTACCCCACTTCAGCCGGCTCAGTTTTTAATAATGTCCTGTTGTATTGTTATCGCTGTTGTTTTTCTGCTTTAACTGTTTTATTTGCTATATATTGTATTGTTGTATTGTGTTGTGTTGGGCTCCGGCCTGTTGTAAGCCGCATCGAATCCCTTGGGAGATGCTAGCGGGGTACAAATAAAGTTTAATAATAATAATAATAATAATATATATATATATATATATACACATACAACCCCAACTTAGTTGTAATTCAGATATTTAAAAGTGTCTGTTAGAGCAGCAAAACATGTAGAGATAGATCCCGATGGCTAGACATAAAGGGGAAAATGGTACAGACAATCAGACAGCAGTCTTAAATGTTTTCCTTTTTTAATATTGACATTCAAATATATTTGCATTGTGCTGAGAAGAGTTTTAAGAACATAAAAAATATGCGTTTTGTGGATGGTGATGATGGTGATGGGTCGGCCGTTTGGAAATCAAGGGATTAATATCCGCAGTGATTATGTATGAATGGAAGAGCAAAGTGGGTCGCCTTGTTTTGCCCAATGCAAGTTCTACAGCAGCATTTTACTTTATTTTTAACCTAATTAAGGAATGTCTTTTAAAAAAACAACAATATTATTTCCCTCTTTTATTTTTTTTTTTATCATCTCCCTTAAAGTTCATCTTTTATCATACATTTATAAACTAAAAAAAAAGACTTGATTAAATTAAGGACTCTCTGGAGGTTCATTAGTAAAAGGAGTAAAACCATACTATGGGGGTGGTAATAATTAATAATAAAAATTAGAAAAAAGAATGAAGAAATCAAATCAACAGACCACACAACAATCCTATTAACTTTCCTAAAAGCAGATTTGAAAGACTCTTGCCTGCAAGTTCTGGGAGAAGGGAGGAGGAGGAGGAGGAAGTCACGACGAAGCCCATTAAACGTGTGCAAAGAAATGCATTGTTGTCTTTTTTTTTCTCCTCTCTTTTAAACCATGCAAAAATAATTACAAGGGGGAAAATATGAACCATAAAAAGGATAATAAACCAGAAAGGAAAAGCCTTCTTTTTATATATATATATATGTATGTATGTATATATATAAATACACGGAAGCGTTTCGTCAAGGGATGCCACAGCAGACAAAAGGGGGTTTGGAGATTTGGAGCGGGTTCAAAATGCCATCATCTTTGGTTGTCTGCAGCGCTGAGGAGGAGGGGGTTTTTGTGGGTGAAGAAAGAGGGAAATGGGGGAAAGCAAGGGGCCTCGGGGTCAAAGGAGGGGTCAGCTCTCGCTGGGCAGCTGGGCCTCAATGTCCACTCTGCAGATGGGGCACTTCTTGTTGGTGATCAGCCACTGGTCCACACAGACCTGGTGGAAGAGGTGCATGCAGGGCAGGCGCCTAGGGAAAGAAAAGAAAGGAACAAGAAAAAGAAGAAGTGTAAGAAATATAACAATAATAATGATAAGTATAACATATAATACTAATTATAGTAATATTGTATATACAAAAAAAGTGGGTGCTAGAAACAATATCATACAAAAGCTGACTGGCACAACCTGGGGATCACAACCAGATACAGTGAAGACATCCGCCCTTGCGCTGTGCTACTCTGCTGCTGAGTGCATGCCCGGTGTGGAACACATCTCACCACACTAAAACATTGGATGTGGCTCTTAATGAGACATGCCGCATTATCACGGAGTGTCTGTGCCCTACACCACTGGAGAAATTACACTGCTTAGCCGTATTGCACCACCTGACATCCGCCGGGAAGTAGCAGCCAATAGTGAAAGTACCAAGGCAGAGACATCTCCAGCTCATCCCTGTTTGTGTATCAGTCGGCACGTCAATGACTTAAATCAAGAAATAGTTTTCTAAGATCTACAGAGACACTCGCTGGAACAGCTCAGCAAGCGAGAGTCCAAAAGTGGCAGGCTCAAACCCAGAACCTCAACCATGGCTGATACCAAATGAGAGACTCCCCCCTGGGCACACAGAGGACTGGCCGACTTGGAAGGCGCTGAACAGACTGCGCTCTGGCACCACGAGATGCAGAGCCAACCTTCAAGAAATGGGGCTACAAAGTGGAATCCTCGACATGCGAGTGTGGAGAAGAGCAAACCACTGACCACCTGCTGCAATGCAACCTGAGACCTGCCACATGCACAAGGGAGGACCTTCTTGCAGCAACACCAGAAGCACTCCAAGTGGCCAGATACTGGTCAAAGGACATTTAATCAACTACCAAACTCACAAATTTGTATTTTGTCTGTTTGTTTGCTTTGTTCTGTTAGAAATGTAATATAATTGACTGGTTGATCTGACACAACAAATAAATAAAAATTTCCAATATAATGGTATAGTGCAATATAGTAATATATAATACTGATATTGTACTATGCTAATAATATAATATACTGGCAGTCTCCTGCCATGCGTGGCTGTGGCCCAGTCTGGTGATCTGGAAAATAAAGTAATGATAAAGTATCTAATATCTTTGATACTGCATCTGTCATATACAAATATGGGATTTTGGCACAGCTGGTTGAGTGTCAGCTGCAATTATTATTATTATTATTATTATTATTATTATTATTATTATTATCATCTTTATTTATACCCCGCTAGCATCTTCTGAAGGACTCAATGCGGCTTACACCGGACAAGGCCTCAATAAAACAACAGCATAAGAAAAACACATAAAACTCATAAAGCAAATCAACAATAAACAATAGCAGTAAACATAAAACAATAAACATCACTCTGAACAAAAGGTCATGAGTTCGAAGCCAGCCCGGTTGGAGTGGGTTTCCAACCAATTGTGTGTAGCCTGTTGTCGACCTTTGCAACCCGAAAGACAGTTGCATCTGTCAAGTAGGAAAATTAGGTACCACCTTAAAGTGTGGGGAGGCTAAATTAACTGATTTATGAGGCCATAAAGAAGACTCCAGCAAAGCATTCCAGTGGGGAAGCATGCGGGGAATGTGGAAGTGCTTCATCAGCGTCGCAGATGGACGATGAAAGCGACAGCTCCCCTGGCGGCCAGAAAAAGTTAAATAGCCTCTGTGTATGTCTGTATATGTTTGTATGTCAAAATTGGCATTGAATGTTTGCCATATATGTGTACACTGTAATCCGCCCTGAGTCCCCTGCGGGGTGAGAAGGGCGGAATATAAAAGCTGTAAATAAATAAATAAATAAATAAATAAATGTGTGTGTGTGTGTGTGTGTGTGTGTGAATGGCTGGATGGCTCTTTGTCAGGAGGGCTTTGATTATGTTTTCTTGCCCTGGTGAAGGGAGTTGGACTGGATGGCCTTAAAGCAACATTTCCAAACCTGGAAAGTCAAGATCCAGGTGGGGGGTCACCAGGGGGGTGTCAGAAGGGTCAGTCAAGACCACCAGAAAAACACAGTATTTTCTGTTGGTCATGGGGGTTCTGTGTAGGATGGTTTGGCCCAATTCCATTGTTGGTGGGGTTCGGAATGCTCTTTTATTGTAGGTGAACTATACATCCTAGTAACTACTACGGATGTGAGAGCTGGACCTTAGGGAAGGCTGAGCGAAGGAAGAGAGATGCTTTTGAACTGTGGTGTTGGAGGAAAGTTCTGAGAGTGCCTTGGACTGCGAGAAGATCCAACCAGTCCATCCTCCAGGAAATAAAGCCCGACTGCTCACTGGAGGGAAGGATACTGGAGACAAAGTTGAAGTACTTTGGCCACATCATGAGGAGACAGGAAAGCCTAGAGAAGACAATTATGCTGGGGAAAGTGGAAGGCAAAAGGAAGAGGGGCCGACCAAGGGCAAGATGGATGGATGGCATCCTTGAAGTGACTGGACTGACCTTGAAGGAGCTGGGGGTGGTGACGGCCGACAGGGAGCTCTGGCGTGGGCTGGTCCATGAGGTCACAAAGAGTCGGAGACGACTGAACGAATGAACAACCACACTCAATACACTCACGTTTGAATACTGGTGGGGTTGGGGAGGGGATTGATTTTGTCATTTGGGAGTTGTAGTTACTGGGATTTATAGTTGACCTACAATCAAAGAGCCTTCTGAACTCCACCAATGATGGAATTGAACCAAACTTGCACAACAGAACTCCCATGACCAACAGAAAATAATGGAAGGGTTTGGTGGGCATTGACCTTGAGTTTTGGAGTTGTAGTTCACCTACATCCAGAGAGCACTGTGGACTTAAACAATGATAGATCTGGACCAAACTTGGCATGAATACTCAATATGCCCAAATGTGGACACTGGTGGAGTTTAGGGAAGATAAATATTGACACTTGTGAGTTGTAGTTACTGGGATGTATAGTTCACCTACCATCGAAGAGCATTCTGAACCCCACCAATGACAGAATTGGGCCAAACGTCCCACACAGAACCCCCATGACCAACAGAAAATATTGTGTTTTCTGATGGTCTTTGGCGACCCCCCTCTGATACCTCCTCGCAACCCCTCCAGGGGTCCCGACCCCCAGGTTGAGAAACACTGCTCTAGAACATGGCCATATAGCCCGAAAAAACCTACAACAACCCTTACATTATATATTCACATACAAACTCTCTTGTGCAAAGGACCTCACTTGGGCTACTTATAAATACCTAATTATGATTTATTTTGTCATTTATTTTAAATCTTAACAATAATAACAACATTTATTTTTATTTAATTATATATTCATACAGTTAGTCCAAAAACCCGACTCCAAAATACTGTCGACTTATCCATGGATCAATGTGAGGACTGCATTAGTATCATCATCATTATCTTAATCCCTTTGTAGGAACTCAAGGTGGCTAACAACCACAACGTCTCGTAACAACTTAAAAAAAAAAAACCAGAAAAAAAACCCAAAATATTTTAAACCCACACAATTAAATATTAGTGTGTGGATAGAATGTTAAAATACAAGTAAAATTACATTTTAAACTGTGCCTTAACTTTTAACAGAAAAGGAAATCTCCCTCTTTTGAGTAGAGTGGTCAAAGGTTAGTCTTTCACAGGAGAGGCAAAAGGGAAGTACTTCTTCTGGTCAAGATGATGATGATTATGTAATAATAATAGTACCTCTTTGTCTGTTTGTTATTATTACTATTATGTATTAAAAATAAAAATAATGAACCCCGGGTGGCACAGTGGGTTAAACCCCTGTGCCAGCAGGACTGAAGACCGACAGGTCGCAGGTTCAAATCCGGGGAGAGGCGGATGAGCTCCCTCTATCAGCTCCAGCTCCTCATGTGGGGACATGAGAGAAGCCTTCCTCAAGGATGATAAAAACATCAAATCATCTGGGCGTCCCCTGGGCAACGTCCTTGCAGATGGCCAATTCTCTCACACCAGAAGCAACTTGCAGTTTCTCAAGTCACTCCTGACATGACAAAAATAAATAAATAAAAATAATTTTACCCATTCTCCTGCTGATAATCTAATAATAATAGTATCTGATCTGCTGATTATTCCTTATTAATAATAATAGCACCCGTCCTGCTGTCCAGAGGAGGGCGACTAAAATGTTCAAGGGTCTGGAGAACAAGCCCTATGAGGAGCGGCTTAAGGAGCTGGGCATGTTTAGCCCGAAGAAGAGAAGGCTGAGAGGAGATATGACAGCCATGTATAAATATGTGAGAGGAAGCCACAGAGAGGAGGGAGCAAGCTTGTTTTCTGCTTCCATGGAGACTAAGACACGGAAAAATGGCTTCAAACTACAAAAAAGGAGATTCCATGTGAACATGAGGAAGAACTTCCTGCGAGAGCTGTTCAGCAGTGGAACTCTCTGCCCCGGAGTGTGGTGGAGGCTCCTTCTTTGGAGGCTTTTAAGCAGAGGCTGGATGGCCATCTGTCAGGGGTGCTTTGAATGCAATATTCCTGCTTCTTGGCAGGGGGTTGGACTGGATGGCCCATGAGGTCTCTTCCAACTCTTATGATTCTATGATTACTGTTGTTGTTGTTGTTGTTGTTGTTATTATTATTATTATTATTATTATGTAATAATAGTACATGTTCTGCTGCTGCCATTTAATAACAGTACCTGGACTGGATGGCCCATGAGGTCTCTTCCAACTCTTTCATTCTATGATTACTGTTGCTGTTGTTATTATTATTATTATTATTATTATTATTATTATTATTATTATTATGTAATAATAGTACATGTTCTGCTGCTGCCATTTAGTAACAGTACCTGAGATGATGATGATGATGATAATAAGAAGAATAAAACTTTATTTATACCCCGCTACCATCTCCCCAAGGGACTCGGAGCGGCTTACATGAGGCCAAGCCCAACAACACATCAAAACAACAAGCAATAATAAAACAACAACAATAATCAAAATAAACAGTACAATCAATATAAATCACAAATAGACAATAACACACAGGAATTTAAAACCTATGACCGGGCCAGATGTGATAGTTAAAAACTTTAAAAATAGATGATGATTATGATGATGATTAAATAATAATAGTACTGTCAGAACTAGAGATCATGACAAGGACCCATTCTGCTGCAGCTGATTGTGATGATGTAATAATAATAGTACTTGTTCTGCGGCTGCTGCTAATGATAATAATAATAATAATGATAATAATAATCCTTTATTGTCTAAATTGTATTACTAATAGACCTATTTAACCCAAATCTTGCTTGGTCCAAAGGGTCGCTCATATCTGCTCTTGCTCTGGCACATAAACATGGTTATTAAGCTATGATGAGGATGATGATTACCTGACATCTTCTCCTTCCTCTAATATAGACAAGCAGATGGTGCACTTTTCCTCGGTGTCCTCCTCAGTCCCTTCCTCTCCATCTTGTTTGCAGTGGAGTTTCCTCTGTGAGAACCAATCAGGGGTTACCTTGTTAGCAGAGATGACGTTATTGGCAAGCGGAACGAGAGCGGGTTTCGTTAGGCACAATTATAACGCTTCCATCATAACAACAACAACATTAATACATCACAACAAACCCTTAAAGGAGGTAAACAAACCCTCAAACCCACCCTCCACCTCTCAACGCCCAATTCCATTTTCAATGACCCAGTTCTAAGAATGCAATTAAACCATTGACCAAAGCTTTGCAGCAATCTAAAAATATTTTTAAAGGAGGAAAGTACAACCAAAATATACATTGAGGCAAAAGAAGAATTAGTCTTGGAACAAAGAAATCAACAAGAGAGACAGATAATAAACGGATATTTAAATATGGGTTGTTGTAGGTTTTTCCGGGCTATATGGCCATGTTCTAGAGGCATTTTCTCCTGACGTTTCGCCTGCATCTATGGCAAGCATCCTCAGGGGTAGTGTGTCTGTTGGAAGTAGGAAAATGGGTTTATATATCTGTGGAATGACCAGGGTGGGACAAAGGACTTGTCTGCTGGAGCTAGGTGTGAATGTTTCAACTGACCACCTTGATTAGCATTTAATGGCTTGGAAGTGCCTGGGGGGAATCTTTTGTTGAGAGGTGATTTGATGTACCTGATTGTTTCCTCTCTGTTGTTTTGCTGTTGTAATTTTTGAGTTTTTTAATACTGGTAAGAATCAGGCACATCAAATCACTCTCAACAAAAGATTCCCCCCAGACACTTCTAAGCCATTAAATGCTAATCAAGGTGGTCAGTTGAAACATTCACACCTAGCTCCAGCAGACAAAAGTCCTTTGCCCCACCCTGGTCATTCCACAGATATATAAACCCATTTTCCTACTTCCAACAGACCTCACTACCTCTGAGGATGCTTGCCATAGATGCAGGCGAAACGTCAGGAGAAAATGCCTCTAGAACATGGCCACATAGCCCGGAAAAACCTACAACAACCTAGTGATTCTGGCCATGAAAGCCTTTGAAAATACATTTAAAATATACATTTATACAAAAAATAAACCCTGAGAACTTCAATCTTAAATTCTAAGGCGTTTTAAATGTACTTTTAATTGTATCTTAACATTATTTCAACTTGTATCCATGACACATTTTTTTTTTGTATTTGCCATGTTTTTCAAAATGTATTGGGTTGTGGCATGTTATTATCATAAACTGCCTTGAGTTTCCTCAAGGGTGAGAAATAATGTCAATAACAACAAGAATCTCAGTCCCCATGGGGAGAAAAAAGGGTAAAAAAATAAAGTAAACAATAATAATAATCCAGAGCTAGTCCCCATTCGGGAGTAGAAATAAAGTTGTTAATAATAACATTATTATTATTGATACAAAAATACAATATGTCACAGCAAACGAGATCTATATACTGGATTTCGTACCACAAAATCAAAAGTTGAACACTTCCCAAGCATCTAAAACTATGTGATGTATTTTTGAATGATGCATGCAGATCCAAGTCAGGTGACAGATAGTGATTTTGTCAATGTTAATTGTTTCCAAATGCCAGCTGAGTCTTTTGGCACGGCACCCAGTGTGCCAATCACCACTGGGACCACCTGTACTGGTTTATGCCAGAGCCTTTGCAGTTCGATTTTGAGGTCTTGATAACGGCTGAGTTTTTCCTGTTGTTTTTTGTGAATTCGGCTGTCACCTGGTATGGCGACATCAATAATCCAAACTTTTTTTCTTTTCCACAATCGTGATGTCTAGTATATTGTGTTCCAAAACTTTGTCATTATTATTATTATTATTATTATTTTATTATTATTCTAATTCTAATTATTATTATTATTATTATTATTATTATTATTTATACCTCGCTTTATCTCCCCAAAGGGGACTCAAAGCTGCTTTCAATTTTTTTCAACAAAACTGGAAAAAAAAACATTTGGTTCCTGGTTTGAAAGTGTTGTTTTCTGATTAATTGTGTGGTTTTCTGTTTAATTGTGTGAAAGTAGGTATTCTACTTTTGTGGTGGAATTGGTTGAGACTCGAGATATTTATATAGCTCTTTTTAAATTGTCTAAATGCACTTAATTGTTTTTGCTTTTTTGAATGTATGTACTGATGGCCGATATGTAGACCGCTCTGAGTTGCCTGCGGGCTGATATGGGCGGGATATAAATAATGTAAATAAATAAATAAAATAAATTATTGGAAAACTAGAACACAATGTACTATCGCAGGATCTCCCTCCCTTCCTCCGGCAGAAACAAAGCCTTTTGTAGTTCAATACACTTTCCTCGTTTTTCCAATAGAACCAATTAGGAAGTGACATTTATAACCCAGGAACAAAAATTATGTAACACAGTGTTGTAATAAGAATAATAAATAGTAGTAATAATAATAATAATTATTATTATTATTATTATTATAATAAATAATAATATCATTTAGGTGATCCGAAGGAGACATGGAGTGTTCAGAGTAAATGTTCCTCAGGCAATGCTCACCTTTTTGTACTTGTGGGGATATGTGCACCTTTCGATGGTTCCTTGGGATGCGCCGCGATTGACATTCCCTAAACGCTCTTCCAGGTGAATTAATTCCTGCAACCGAGGAGGAGGAGGATAAGGATTATGCCCAACCACTTTGCAAAGCCATGTGTTTCTGGGGTCTCCCTTTCCCTGATCGGGCCTACGACCCCATTACAAACCTCAAAATTGCCCCGGAAGGGGCCCCGGAAGGATGTCCCATCCAGGCCCGAGGAGATGTAGCGGATATGAGGGTAGCCTGCCATGTCGGGCACCTGAGAGAGAGTCAAAGGGCAGAACAGGTTTGAGTCTGGTACCATTCTGATTGGGTTGCTTGGCCCATCGTTCCCCATCCGGAGGTGGCAGAGCGGACTCACCATCAGGGGCAGGGCCCCGATCTGCAGGTGGTGCAGCCGGGGCGGCGTGTGGTAGTGCGCCAAGTGCGGGTGCAGGGGCCCTGGAGGGTAGGTCGCGGCTGCCACCCCTTCAATGCCCAGTTCCCTGTGGAGAGAGAGGCAGGCAGACGGACATCAGGAAGGGCATCCTGCTCAGCAGAAGACCTCTAGGGGCTTATAAAGCAGGGGGCTGGACAGCCATCTGTCTAGAGGGCTTTGGTGGGGTGTCTCCTGCCTGGCAGAACAGGGCTTGGGCGGGTGATCACTTGGGGTCTTTCAGCTCTATTGTTCTATTATTATTATTATTATTATTATTATTATTACTACTACCACTACTACTATTATTATGAAACAGGGGCTGGATGGCCATCTGTTGTGATACCTTGATAATGCTTTCCCTGCCTGAAGGCTGAATGGCCTTGAACTGGGTGGCACCTTGGGGTCTCTTCCAACTCCAGGATTCCATTACTATTATTACCATCATAATTAAGTAGGGGCTGGATGGCCATCTGTCAGGAGGGCTTTGGTGGTGCTTCTCCTGCCTGGCAGAAACACTAGATGGCCTTTTGCTGGCTCCAGAGAGAGGAAAATGTAATGAGTTAAAACTCCAAAATATGACAGGATCACAGTGAGTAATCGACCTCCCCAGATGAATTGGGAAAAGCAGAATAAGGGAGCATTAATGAACCAATAAAAAGTGAGAGTTAAAAGAATTTGGACCGCTCGCTCAGATCGCTCGTGGCAAGGAATTATAAGAAAACAAGTCATGATTAATGTCAGTTAGAAGAGATAAAGACCGTAAATCTAAACTAACTGGTGCAAAAGTTACAGAATACTTCTTAAGTGCTAAAACAAAACCTTCTGAAAGAAGCTTAGATAGACTGTGCAGAAAGCTTCTGAGACAGAGAGACAAAGAGAAAAAGGGGGAAGAAGAAAAAGTATTAATGGCGATGAAGCATGACAAAGGAGCACTGGGGGGAAAGCAGAGAGCAATTCCCAAACAGCCTCAGGAGTCCCAAGAACCAACAAACTTAGAACTTTCATGGCTGGAATCACTGGGTTGTTGTAGGTTTTTTCGGGTTGTATGGACACACAGCCCGAAGCCTCTAGAACAATGTTTCTCAACCTGGGGGTCGGGACCCCTGCGGGGGTCACGAGGGGGTGTCAGAGGGGTCCCCAAAGACCATCAAACACCACAGTATTTTCTGTTGGTCTTGGGGGTTTTGTGTGGGAAGTTCGGCCCAATTCTATAATTGGTGGAGTTCAGAATGCTCTTTGATTGTAGGTGAACTATAAATCCCATAAACTACAACTCCCAAATGTCAAGGCCTATTTTCCCCAAACTCCACTAGTGTTCACATTTGGCCATATTGAGTATCCGTGCCAAGTTTGGCCCAGATCTATCATTGTTTGAGTCCACGGTGCTCTCTGGATGTACGTGAACTACAACTCCCAAACGCAAGGTCAGTGCCCATCAAATCCTTCCAATATATTTTTGTTGGTCATTGGAGGTCTGTGTGCCAAGATTGGTTGATGGAGCTCAGAATGCTCTTTGATTGTAGGCGAACTATAAATCCCAGCAACTATAACTCCCAAATATCAAAATCAATCTCCCTTCCCAATCTCACCGGTATTCAAATTTAGGCATATTGAGTATTTGTGCCAAATTTGGTCCAGTGAATGCAACATTAAAAAGTACGGTAAGTGATATCTATAAATTATTATTAATGGACGAACAAGAATAAGTTTATTTGAAGGAAGTATGGGAAGTAGATTTGGGGGGAAAGTGAAAAATCAAGAATAGGCAAGCTTATGGAGCATGAAATTACTAAAAATATGTCTATAAGAATTAAGGAAAATGACTATAAAACAATATGGAGGTGGCATCTAACTCCCATTAGATTAAATCAGGTTAATAAAAATACTCAAATGAGTGTTGGAGAGGCTGTCAAGAAATAGGGACGTACCTTCATATGTGGTGGTCATGTAAAACTATACATTTTTTTGGGAAAACAGATTTTGTCTAAGATATTGTAAAAAGAAGGAAGATGCATGCTTATACATTTTGTTTGACAAATTTATAAATAAAATTTTAAAAGAATATGGCCCTTTGGGGTCTCTCCCAACTCTAGGATTCTGTGATTCTGTTACTAATATTATTAAGTAGGGGCTGGAAGGCCATCTGTTGGGGGTGCTTTGATTTTGCTTCTCCTACCTGCCAGAAGGGCATTGGGCTATACGGCCCTCTTTGGGGTCTTTTCCAACCCTAAGATTATATGGATCTTATTATTATTATTATTACTAGCCATCCCCTGCCACGCGTTGCTGTGGCCCAGTCTGGTGATCATGGGGGTTCAGTGTGGGAGGTTTGGCCCAATTCTCTCGTTGGTGGGGTTCAGAATGCTCTTTGATTGTAGGTGAACTACAAATCCCAGGAACTACAACTCCCAAATGTCAAGATTCTATTTTCCCCAAACTCCAGCAGTTGAATATTCGTGTAGAATTTGGTCCAGATCCATCCTTGTTTAAGTCCACAGTGTTATCTGGATGGAGGTGAGCTACAACTCCAAAACCAAAGAGCACTGCCCACCAAACCTTTCCAGTATTTTCTATTGGTCATGGGAGAACAGTGTACCAAGTTTGGATCAATTCAATCGTTGGTGGGATTCAGAATGCTCTGTGATTGTAGGTGAACTATAAATCCCAGCAACTACAACTCCCAAATGTCAAGATTCTATTTTACCCAAACTCCAGCAGTGTTCACATTTGGGCAGGTTGAGTATTCATATAGAGTTTGTTCCAGGTCCATCATTGTTTGAGTGCACAGTGATCTCTGGATGTAGGTGAACTATAACTCCAAAACCAAAGGACACTGCCCACCAAACCCTTCCAGTATTTTCTGTTGGTCATGGGTTCTGTGTGCCAAGTTTGGTTCAATTCCATCATTGGTGGAGTTCAGAATGTCTTTGATTGTAGGTGAACTATAAAACTACAATCCCAAATGTCAATTTTATATATTGTTATTATATATTTGTGTGCCAAGTTTGGTTCAATTCCGTCATTGGTGGGGTTCAGAATGATCTTTGATTGTAGGTGAACGATAAATCCCAGCAACTACAACTCCCAAATGTCAAAATAAAAAAAAATTGAGTGAAGTACATACATTGGGTTGTTAGGTGTATCGTGTCCAAATTTGGTGTCAATTTCCCCAGTGGTTTTTGAGTTCTGTAATGTTCAAACGAACATTACATTTTTATTTATATAGATTATTATTATTATTATTATTATTATTATCTTAATAATAATGTCAATGATAACATGATTTATAGTTAATTAAATACGAATATTCTTGTATTATAATTCAATACGTCAGCTGTTGTCATGTGTTGCAACCGGCATACTAAATAAATGTGACTCTGATCTGAACCGGGCTTCTGTTTGGGGTAGGGCTTTTAACAGGATTGGCTACTAGGAATTGTGGAAGATGAAGCCCAAAATGCCTGGAGGGCCAAAGCTGGCTCATGCCTAGATTATATGATGGGCATCACGCTAGGGCTTATGTTCCAATGAGGTCTTATTTTTAGGGAGTATATGCAGTTTGAACGGCATGGAATTGCATTATGTGGGTTTCCACTGAGCATATAATGCATTATTCTGAGTCCAAAATCTATACTGTAAAACTAGAGGCCCTTCCGAGGGCTGACTGACCAGGCGGACCGCTCGGGCGCTTGCCGCGGGTGTGAAGACATGGTTTGCGGCACATGGATGTGGTGCCCGTGGCCGTAGTTGGGGTGCATCCGGTGCGGGTGGGGCGGGGGCCGCTCGTGGGCTCGCCTGCAGCAGGAGGAAAAGAGACAAATAGAGACACGAGAGATCAGCATTAGGGACTCTTCCACCAAAGTCAGGGAACGCTTCCTTTTGTTGTCTACTCTCTTGCATACAAGATGCAGAGGTTGCCTCGGCCTTCCCAAATGTCTCTAAGCAGGCCTAACTCCCCTTTGTTTGAGAAGGGAGCACTGTGAGGCCTCTCTCTTACACACAAGCAAGAGAGTCGGAATGACAGACAACTCCCTTTCACCTATCTAGTAATAATAACAATAACACTATGTAACAAAATTTGAAAAATTTCCTGTTCCTGGTTTGAAAGCGTTATTTCCTGTTTAATATTTCCTGTGAGGTCCTGACTTTGAAAGTAGTTGTTCTACTCCAGAAACTTGGTTTTTGTGCCTGCAGGCAGGATTTTTTAAGATTTATGTGTTGTTGGGTAATTCCACGCTTATGTTGCTGTTACGGTTATTTTTTTTATCATGTTGCGACTCTCTATGTTTTGATGTTGTTGTTTGGAAACCGCCCTGAGTCCCCCTGGGTAGGGCGGTATATAAATAAAGTTGTATTATTATTATTATTATTATTATTATTATTATTATTATTATTATTATATGTTGGCGTGTTTGAGACACTGTCAGGTATTCATAATCAAATGCAGGGCATAGTCGCAAACAGCAATCAGTCCCAAAACAGGGTTAAAACAAATACTAATGAGTTGAATCACCCGCAACAATAAAAGCCTTTGCCATTTGTAAATCTGACCAGAACACTGCCTACATCTTATTTTTATTTATCTATTTATCTATCTATCTATCAATTTTATATACCACCACTCCCCGAAGGCTCGGAGGGGTTCACAGCATACACATGTAATACATAACATTAAAAGCAAGGAAAAATTCACTCAGCGAGGTTCAAATGCCAGCCTAAATAAATAAGTTTTACAAGCTCTACGAAAGGATGGTAAATCTCGGGAGAGCTTGTGTCCCTGCTGGCAAGGCATTCCACAGGTAAGGAGCCACCACCGTGAATGCTCTATGCCTAGTAGGCATCAGGTGAAAGGTCTTAAAATTGGGAACTTCAAGGAGATTCTGGTCATCTGAACAGAGTGATCTCGGGGGTTGGTAGGGGGTGAGGCGGTCCCTGAGGTATTCCGTCCCCAAGCCATATAAGGCCTTGAAGGTAAGAATCAGCACTTTGAAGGTAATCCGGTGCTCAATCGGCAACCAGTGCAGTTACTGCAAGATTGGAGTGATATGACACCTCGCTGGGACCCCTGCGAGAAGCCAGGCAGCAGCATTTTGCACTAGTTTAAGTTTCCAGATCACCGATAAAGGCAGACCTATGTTGAGGGCATTACAGTAGTCCAACCTTGAGATGACCATAGCCTGGATCACCGTGGCCAGGTCATCCCTGGACAGATAGGGAGCCAGACGCCTAGCCTGATGCAGATGGAAAAATGTGTAAGACTGTAGGTTTTATATAGCAATATTAAATGATCACTCACAGGCCGGTTTTGCTTGGAAATGAATATATTGCTTGTTTCTCTGCAGCAAAGAAAGACACTACTGACTTTTTCCCACCACCACTTCCTTTTATACACTTTTCCTGCCCACTTCCCCCCTCTTCTCAGTTTCCTTATTAGAGCTTGTTGCTTCACAAGTTCCAATACAAGGTTTCCAGCGCCTCTGCTGGCTTCAAACTGTCAAAGAGAGAAAACTGAGGCAGCCAGGATGATCAGTCAGGATGTCACGGAGGGAATTTATGATGTCTTCATGGCGTCAGAAATTGACTCCCGACAAAATGCGTCTCTGCTCACAGCAGAAGCCTGGGCCTCCATTGTCAGCCGAGGGTCTAAAAGGACTCCCAGATTCTTTACCAAAGATGACAGGCATAATGTCACGCCATCCAGGGTAGGCAACCAGATCACTCCTCCGTCCAGGCGACCCAACCAAAGGATCTCTGTCTTTGCTGGATTCACCCTCAACCTGCTGGCATGCAACCATCCAGTAACGGCCTCAAGGCATTGATGGAAATTATCGGGTATGGAGTCCGGTCGGCCTTCCGTCCTTAGAATGAGTTGGGTGTCATCAGCATACTGATAGCACTCAAGCCCAAAGCCTCGCTCCAGCTGGGCAAGTGGTCGCATACAGATGTCAAACAACAGAGGGGAAAAGATAGTCCCCTGAGGGACCCCACATTTAAGAGGGGCTCTCTTAGAGACTGAGCCTTCCCACTCCACACATTGACCCCATTTTTGGAGGAAAGAGGACAGCCATTTAAGGGCCACCCCCCTAATTCCAGCCATGGCTTTCCTCTCCTACTTCCTGCCATCAGCTCATACACTGTGCTCGCTACGCTGCACTCTGCTTTGCTCGAGACACCAAATGGCCCTCCTGCTGCTGCACTTGCCAGAGTTTGTGATGAGGATGAAGATGAAGGGATGCACCTTCGCCCAGCATCAGAGTCAGGGCCAAGCATACCACAGCAGCCTGACACCAAGGAATCAATCTCCACCTGCAGAGCAGGACCAGGGCAGAATCAGGAGCTCCAGGAAGCAGACCAGGAGTGAAGCGTTCCAGCTATTAAGGCTGCAATGAAGAACTGAGCCAACCAATGTAATCAGCTGGCTCAGAGGAGGGCCAACAATAGGTGAGAGCATTTGGAGAAAGTGGCATAAAGAGCTGGAGCTGGTAGTTGCTGGGAGCAATGTTATGGAACTGCTGCAATCTGAATCTGCGTCGGTGAACTTTTGGATCAGACCTTGACTTTGGTGACTGGACAACGGCTTGAGTTGGTGAGATGACTTGGCTTTGCCCCTTGGAAAGAACCCTGGACTATTCATGTGCTTTGCCCTTGTTGGACTGATTGCCGTTTGTGACTAAAGACTGCATTTGACTATGAGATGGAGAGTGGCTGCATTAACAGAGGATCTGCTACGGAGGGCCCCTATCTTCCCAAGGCCTTCAAGGGCCACCGTCCCTTTGCGCCGCCTCGAAAACTCACGTGGGGTGCTGCATCATCCTCCTCCGCTGGACCTCCATGCGCTGGATGACCTCATGAGGGTGCAGGCGCTGGGCAGCGGGGGCTGCAGTGGGGGGCATGTGGTGGCCCAAGGGCTGGTGGGCTGAAGGCAGGGGCTGTGGCAGCGGGGCGGCGGCAATGGTGGCGGATGAGGAGGCGGCAGGGTTGGCCAGTGGGTGTGGAGGGGGCGGGGGAGGGGGGGCCACTGGGTGCGAGGTGGAAGACGAGGAGGAGGAGGAGGAAGACGAGGAGGAGGAGAGGGCGGGGTGAAAGGGGTGAACCGGGTGCGGGATCACGTAGTCCATTGGTGGGGGAGGTGGCGGCGCCGGGGGAGGGAGCGCCGGGGCTGCTGGCGGGGGAGGGGGGTTGCTGTGGGCGTGGGGGCAGGGTGGCCCTTGGTGGTGCAGGGGCCGCGACAGGGAGGCGTCTGCAAGGCAGGAAGAGAAAGAAGGGCTGTCATTACATCTCGACCCAGAGGCAAAGGAGAGAAGCATCACCATCATATCCATCTATCTCTTGGCAGAGGCCCCTTCCACACACAGCTGTATAAAATCCTCACTGAACTGGATTATATGGCAGTGTGGACTCAGACAACCCAGTTCAAAGCAGATATTGTGGATTATCTGCCTTGAACTGGACTATATGGTAGTGTGGACTCAGATACTCTTGTTCAAAGCAGATATTGGGCCCTTCCACACAGCCATATAACCAGAATATCAAGGCAGATAATCTACAATATCTGCTTTGAACTGGGTTATTTGAGTCCACACTGCCATACAATCCTGTTCAATGTGGATTTTAGCTGTGTGAAAGGGCTCTTGGAGGCAAAGAGGAGACAATCGTCGTCATCATCTTTATCTATTTTTGACAGAGGGAAAGGAAATAGGGGAGAATCATCCTTGTCATATTTATCTATCTCTTGACTGAGATGCAAAGGAAACAGAAAGCCCTATGAATCCATCAATGGGTACTGCACACACACCCCTCCTTTCATGGCACCCAAAACCAGCCTCCTTGCAAAGCAGCCCCCCATCTTTGCTACTCCTGGGCCAACTCCCAGGTGCCTCGGGCCCTCAGCTATGAGGAACAGAGTGCCCCAAAGATGTGGGAGGACCACCACATTCCTGGGAGTGGCAAAGGTGGGGGAACATAGAAGCTAAACCCCCTTCCCTTCCTCCCTCCCACCCGCCTTCAGGCCCCACTTACAAGGTGAATGCATGTAATGCCGGCAGGAGGAGAGTGCGGCTGGGGGCGGTGGTGGGGGCGGAGGGGCCTGGGGCTGGGCCACCATGCTGGCGCTGTAGCCGTCCACGAGGGCCAAAGGCTGCCCGGGTGGTTGGTGCGTGTAGAGGGCGGTGCGGGAGGAGGAGGCACCAGGGCAGCAGGGGTCAAAGGCCGAGGCCCCATGGAAGGAACCGCCGCCCCCGTGGCCCCGGAGCCCGTTGCTGCTGAGGTCCACTGGCAAGGCCTGCTGGAGGGAGAGAGAGAGCATTCTCAGGAGCAGCCCTGCAGGAAGACACCTGACAACCGAGATCATCACCACCACCACCACCATTCCATACTAAATAATAATAATAATAACACTTTATTTGTACCCCGCTACCATCTCCCCAAGGGACTCGGTGCAGCTTACATAAGGCCGAGCCCAAACACAACAATACAAGCAATAATCACAACAATACAAGCAATTAAAAATAAAACATAGACGATAACATATAACATTATCAATAAAACAACCTACAATTAAAACTGTGGGAAGGCCAAATGTAAAAATTAAAATTGGAAATAGTGCTGAGGAATGGACAAAAAGGTGATAGTGGCGTTTGTGGAAGACATACGAGCAGACCTAAAAATTTAAAGTGCTTTGGAGGGACAAAGTGCTATGCGATCATTATTCCGGGAAGGCACACTAGAACAACCACGTCTTCAAGCTCCTCCTGAAGACTGCCAGGGTTGGGGCCTGCCTGATGTCCTTAGGGAGTGAGTTCCAGAGTCGAGGGGCCACCACCGAAAAGGCCCTCTCTCTTGTCCCCACCAATCGCGCCTGCGATGCTGGTGGGATCGAGTGTAGGGCCTCTCCAGATGAACGAAGAGATCATGTGGGTTCATATACAGAGATGCGGTCACGCAGGTAGGTGGGTCCCAAACTGTTCAGGGCTTAGAAAGTAAGAACCTGCACCTTGAATTGGGTCCAGTAGATGAATGGCAGCCAGTGGAGCTCCTTGAACAGGAAGGATGACCGCTCCCTGTAAGGAGCCCCAGTTAACAACCTGGCTGCCGCCCATTGGATCATCTGAAATTTCCGGGCCGTTTTCAAGGGCAGTCCCACGTAGAGTGCATTGCAGTAATCCAATCTAGAGGTGACTAAGGCATGGACCATCCTGGCCAGATCCACCTTCCTGAGGTATGGTCGCAGTTGGCGCATGAGTGTTAATTGTGCAAAGGCCCTCCCAGCCACCACCGACGCCTGAGCCTCAAACGTAAGTGGAGAATCCAGGAGGACGCTCAAACTGCAGACCTGTGACTTCAGGGGGAGTGCAACCCCGTCCAGCACAGGTTGCCACCCTATACCCCGGTCTGGTTTACGATCAACCAGGAGGACCTCTGTCTTGTCAGGATTAATCTTCAGCTTGTTCGTCCTCATCCAGTCAGCCACAGCAGTTAGGCGCTCATCTAGCACGCGAGAGGCTTCCTTGGAATTCGGTGGAAAAGAGTAGTAGAGTTGCGTGTCATCTGCGTAAAGATGGCAGCCAACTCCAAAACTCCGGATGACCTCTCCTAGCGGCTTCATGTAGATGTTAAAAAGCATGGGAGACAGAATGGAGCCTTGCGGGGCCCCTGGAAAGAAGGTCCCACTGAGAAGAAAGGGACAAGGATTGTTTGCTGTTGCCGTAGAGGCTGGGATACAAAACTGCAGGAAAAAAGATTCCATCTCAACATTGGGAAGGACTTCCTCACTGTAAAGCAATGGAATATTCTGCTTGTAAGTCCTTCTCTGGAGAATTTTTAAGCAGAAGCAAGGTGGTCATCTGCCAGGAGTGCTTTGATTGGTGTCTTACTGCCTGGCAGGAGGTCGGGCTGGATGACTCTTGGTGTACCTTCCATATCTATTACTCTATGCTGTTGTCGTTGTTGTTATATTAAGCAGGGATGGAATGGCCAGGTGTTGGTGGTGCTCTGTTTTTACCACACTGATGCTATTTAATTGGTATTTAACTTTTGTAATGTGCTTTTTAAACTCATCTAAGTGTAGGATTGTTGGCCGCTTTGAGTCCCCGCAATGAGAAAGGTGGGGTATAAATAAAGTTAATAATAATACTATATAATAACAAAAACAGATTAAAACACAATAAATGCATTTCAAATGTCCTTTAAAACTCACAATTCCCCCATCCAGCCCACACCTCCCCAAAGTCTGCCCCTGATTCTCCACATGGGAGCAGCCCAGTCCCACCACTTGCCTGGTCGTGGAAAGTGTTTCCCGCGGAGGAGGCAGCGGCGGCGCTGCTGCTGCTGGGGGCGACGACGGGTGCGGCAGGCCTCTCCCCGGGGCATCCCGTCTCGCCAAAGGAGGTGGAAGGGGAGAGCGGGATGTGGGGCCCGTGGTGGTGGTGGTGGTGGAAGTGGTGGCTGTGCGGCGGGAAGCAGGCCCCGTGGGCGGCGGCGTGGCCCAGGGCGTGGAGGTGTTGCGCTGAGGAGGCGGCGCCAGTGGCGCCCGAGCAGGGCGAGTGCTGTGGGCAGCAGGAGGGCAGCCTGGGCAAGGCCGGAGGAGCCGCCTCCAGGGTCGGGCCTCCCGAGGGGTGACCTCTGGCCTCATCTGCGGAGAGCAAAAGCAAAGAGATGCCTCTGAGGACATTCTCCCCCAAATAGCTGGTATCAAGAGGAGGAGAGGGACCCAGTGGCAACTTTTATGGGCAGCGATCTCTTTCCTTAGTTCAGGCCTGGGCCAACTACGGCCCTCCCGCCAGGTGTTTTGGACTTCTACTCCCACAATTCCTAACAGCCAGTAGCTATAACAATCTATGACAGGGATTGTGTCCAACTATGTCACTCATTGCAGTGACTTCCCATCCTTTGGGCTACAGACAGACATGCCCCGTTTTGTTCTTCCTTCCCTATTGTAACAAATATTTCCGCATTCCTCCTTCTAGCAGCATAGCTATGATTGGGAAATACCACACAGATTAGATTATGAAGCCTTTTACCCAAAATTTTTCTCTCTGTTTTCCTTTTTCCAACATTTAGAAATGCATCCCCGGTCTCTGATCCAGTTTTGTGTGTGTATTTTTCCATTTTTCCATTCCACTTCAGGTAACCATCTATTTCTTTTGGTGCAAGGCTATCTTGACACTCGTGGATTTACTTTCACTCTATCTGTACGTCTGGAGAAGTGGACTGCTATCCACCAAAGCGCATATTAAGATAAATATTATTTAGCCCTACAAGTGCTACCAGGGAGCAATGAGCAAGGCTCCCCTCCTGCACCCCCCTTCCTTTTCCCTGGGCTTTGCTCAAAGGCTAAAACTGAAAGCCAGGCCTTTTATTCCAACATTGTTTGCTTGTAGTAATAACATAGTGTAACAAATTAAGCATTATTTATTTGGCTATTTTATATTCTGCCACTGTATTTAATGGGTTTTGAGCATCCATCAGTGTTGGTATAAGAGAACATTTCAATACAATTTAAAATATCTACACATATACAAAAAGTAAAACAGAATTAAACTTATAAATGGTATTATATTTTAAAATGCACCATTTAAATCCATCAAAACATATTCAAACCTAAAAACCTAAAAACGACAGCATTAAATTTACGTGATACAGTAGTCGTCTTAGTGCTGAGCCCAGACCAAAGGGGAAGCTGCTTCAGGAGAAGCTCCTCTTTGAGGGATGTCCTCTATTCAATTTCCCAATGCTATGCAATGCTGGGACTTGTAGTTTGCTGAGGCATCAGCCTCCTTTGGCAGAGAAGGGGCATGAAATTAAATTATTATTAATTTATTAGTAGTAATATTATATTTATTATTAATAATAATATTTAATATTATCAATTTTATATTATTGTTATGTTTATTATTATACTTATATATTACATTTATTTTATATATTGAATTTATTATATTTTATTTATTTATTTATTTGCGGCATTTATACGCCGCCCTTCTCACCGCGAAGGGGACTCAGAGCGGCTTACGATATATATTTTCATACAATATATTATATTATTAGCATAGTACAATATCAGTATTATATATTACTATATTGCACTATACCAGGGGTCCACAAACTTTTTAAACGGAGGGCCAGGTCACAGTCCCTCAAAGTGTTGGAGAGAAGGATTATAATTTGAAAAAAATGAATTAATTCCTGTGCAAACTGCGCATATCTTATTTGTAGTGCAAAAAAAAACCCCACTTAAAAACAATACAATAATTAAAATGAAGAACAATTTTAACCAATAGAAACTTATTCATATTTCAATGGGAAGTGTGGGTCTGCTTTTGGCTGATGAGATAGGATTGTTGTTATTGTTGTGTGCTTTCAAGTCGTTTCAGACTTAGGTTGACCTTGAGTGAGGGCCAGGTAAATGACCTTGGGGGGGCCATATCCGGTCCACGGGCCTTAGCTTGAGGACCCCTGGTCTTGGTTATCCAACCTTTGCTCATCTTACACTCCGTATTATCCAATGACCCTAACTACCCCCCCCCCCCGAAAAAGCACATAAAAGTTGCACCCACAGACGCCACTCCTGGCAGTGAGGCACCGTGGCGTAAAAATCAAGCGCAGAGGGTCTACCAGCCACATCCCGCCCCTCCTGATGGATGCCGCCGCTGCTGGCCAGGTAGTGAGTGGATGAGGGAGGGCAGTAAAAGCGGCGGCGGCGGCGGAACCAGGAGCCTGGCCTCCCCTTCCTGCCTCCTCTGGGCCATGCAGTTGGACAACACTTTAACTCTGTGGCTCAACGCTGTGGGATCATGGGAGCTGTAGTTTGTTGAGGTGCCTGCAGCCTAGCAGAGAAGGGTGAAGGCCTTGGAAAACGCCCAACTGCATACCATTGGGCCTGGCTATTAAAATCTCTCCCCGGTTAACCTTTAAAAAGAACCTCAAAACCTGGCTCTTCCGCTGCGCATTTGATGAATAGATTTACATCCTCATACTAGTGTTTAGTTTCAACGGTTTCTGTTATTGGAGTGCATTCCCCCCTATAGGAAAGCTTTGCTCCACGACCTCCACTAAAATGAGCTCTCCTCCGCAAATAATTTGTCCTTGTTTATCTCGTGTTTATCTCGCCTGAGTTTTTAATGTTTTTACCCAGTTTTCTTTTATCCATTACATGTAGCTCGCCTATGTTACTGTGATTGTGTTTATTGTAATTTTATATTGCTATGTTGTCTTTTGTTTTATGTAATTGCATTATTATTATTTATTATTTGCGTTTTTGGTTTTGTTTCATTTTATGTAATTGTTGTTTTGGGCTCTGCCTCATGTAAGCCATACCGAGTCCCCATCGGGGAGATGGTGCGGGGTACAAATAAAGTTTATTATTATTATTAGAATTTTTTGAATGGCCTCAGAAAGTGTACATGTGTTCTCTGATAGCACAATGGGCCCTTGATACCTGCTAGGGTTTGATTCCAGTACTCTCATACCAACACTGATGGATGCTCAAAACCCATTCGATACAGTGGCAGAATATAAAATAGTCAAATAAATAATGCTTAATTTGTAAAACCATAACGTAATTGACGTTTAATAGGCTTTTCCTTGATCCCTTCCTATTATCCAACATTTTCGCTTATCCAACGTTCTGCCGGCCTGTTTATGTTGGATAATCAAGACTCTACTGCACTTGTTCCACTCCAGAAATTTCATTTTTGTGGTCCAAACTAAGTGAATGGGTTGAGGCTCAATGATGAGAGGTTCATTGGCAAACGAGAGCAGTGGTTCTCAACATGGGGTCCCCAGGTGTTTTTGGCCTTCAACTCCCAGAAATCCTAACAGCTGGTGAACTGGCTGGGATTTCTGGGAGTTGTAGGCCAACAACATCTGGGGACCCCAGGTTGAGAACCACTGAACAAGAGCAAAATGTGCTGCTGCTGCAGGATGATGCCCTCCCTTCCACACCAAATTTCTGCAGTTGAATGAACTTTCCCCATGTGTTTATGATAGAACCAATTAGGAAATGATGTTTATAACCCAAGAACAAGAATCATGTCACACAATGTAATGGTGGTGGTGGCACCAAAAACAGTGAGGAGACCAGGCTCCCAGGAGAGTGGACGCTGACCACTCCTCCCTGCCCCTCTCACCACAAACTGCCTGTTTAACTTTTCTGAATCCACCCACTGAGGTCCCTCCATCCCCTCTGGGGCCACCCATCCCCTCAACCAATGGCAAGCGCTCCCCGCCATACCTCCGGCTGGATTCCCGCTGTTGCTGAGGACGACAACAGGTGCGGTGGGCCGGCCACTGGAGACGCCGGAGGCCCCTGCCTCAGAGGCCGGCTCTGGGGCGGCAAGGATGGTGATGGCGCTGGGACCGCCTTCGGAGGCCGTGCTGGTTGGCAGGGCCTCCCCCCCAGACGAAGTGGTGGCCACCAGGGTCGGCTCTGCAGAGCAAGGGGCAAGAGGCCCAATTAGTGTCAGCACGCTTCTGGGGATTGCTTGGCACGTGCACCCCTCCTTTCGTATATAGGTCACCCCGGAGTTACAAACGACTCCTAGTTAAGAATGGAAGTGTCAACAGGAAGTGAGAGGAATCTTCCCCTCGGAAGGAAGAAACGAAAATCCACTCCTGGGAGAATTATTAACTTGGGGAAAGGGGGTCTCCATTGAAGCTTTATCCCCAATCCTTGTTTCCACAACAAGCCATTTTCTAAAATGCAATTCTTCCAGGGGCGAAATCTTCTGACCAGGGGCGCAAACAACAATGCAAACACCACAGGGGCGTTAACCCTTCCCTATGCTATCCAAAGCTTATACACGCACACACACACACACACGGCTGGTGTTACAATTCAGAAATGTTCTCAGATAGATAGATAGATAGATAGATAGATAGATAGATAGATAGATAGATGGCATTACACTTAAGAAAAGTTCGTGTTACAAACAAATTCAGTTAAAGAACAAACCTACAGAACTTCTCTTGTTTGTAATTTGGGGACTTACTGTACATGACGATTGCGTGACATGGCCACCAGCACAGACTCACAGTATATGGGCTCTGTCCACTTGACACTCTTTCTTCAAAGGTCTCAGGGCAGCTCTAACTGTGTCACCCAATGTGCTTCCCTTCCAGAGAACAGCAGTGTCAAACCTGCAGCCCTCCCTCCCTCCCGGTGTTTAGGACTCCAGCTCCAAGAGTTCTTGTCCATCGGACAAGCTGGCAAGAGGGGCTTCTGGAAGCTGGAGGCAAAAAAACCTGGAGGGCCACGTGTCTGGAACCTCTGCCTTTAGGAGGAGCAGGGAAAGCAGCTTCATATATTGACACCGGACTAAAGGCCCCATTGCCCAAAGGCCCAAAGAGCACTGTCCTCCAAAGCAGCTACTTTATTCTCAGCTCAAGCACACAAAATGGGATGTCAGTGGACAGTAAGAGAGACTGAAAGAGGGGCTTAAAGCTGAGCTAAAAAAATGTGGAATCAACACCGAGAGAGAACTGGGAAGCCCTGGCCCTCGAGCGTTGGAAATGGAGACCAGCTATTATCTACAGCGTTGTGGATTTTGAAGAGGGAGAAAGGGAGAAGATGGCGCCTCAAGCCAACCCTTGTAGGACCGCCTTCTACCTAGAAACCAATGTCCTCAATCTGAAAGAATGACCAGGTGGATGCAGAAAAGGCCTCTGCGGTCACTTATTTATTTATCTTTATTTACAGTATTTATATTCCGCCCTTCTCACCCTGCAGGGGACTTAGGGCGGATTACAGTGTACACATATATGGCAAACATTCAATGCCAATTGACATACAATGTATACAGACATACTCAGAGGCTATTTAACTTTTTCTGGCTGCCAGGGGAGCTGTCGCTTTCATCGTCCATCTGCGACACTGATTAAGTACTTCCGCATTCCCCGCATGCTTTGCTGGAGTCTTCTTTATGGCCTCATAAATTAGTTAATTTAGCCTCCCCACACTTTAAGGTGGTACCTAATTTTCCTACTTGACAGATGCAACTGTCTTTCGAGTTGCAAAGGTCGACAACAGGCTACACAATTGGTTGAAAGCTCACTCCAACCCGGGCTGGCTTCGAACTCATGACCTTTTGGTCAGAGTGATCTTAATGCAGCTGACACTCAGCCAGCTGCACCACAATCCCGGTGCAGACCCACTGTCAAGACTCTTCCCTCAGAAGACAATCTGGCCCATGGGCCATGAGGAGGTGCCTATGGTGGTGGTGATGACTTGATGCAGTTAATTAGATCTGATGGGGTGGGCGCCCTAGGACTGCCTGGTCTTCCAGGTGCTTCTGAGTGCAGCCCCCACAACCCCTTGCCAATGGCGATGGCACTTTTAGACATACCTGGGTTTAAGCCAACACTGTACTAGATTGCAGCTTTCTGGCTGATTTCAAGGGGGTGCTGCTGCTGCCACCACCTACCGTCCTCGTCCACGGTGAGGTCCACCACTTCCGTGGCGCTCTGCCTTAGCGGCTGGATGACGGTGGAGACCCGACTGCTGCGACTGCGTGGCTCCTGCGGCCGAGAGGCGTGGGGACCGGAGCTGTGGCCCCAGTGGGAGCGCGAGTGGCCTAGGGAGGAGCGGGACCTGGAAGGCAGAGGGACAGCCACAGCTTCAATTCACACCTCATCTCTACAAGCAACCTCTCGGTAAGTGCCACCTTTCCTTGGTAACCTGGGGTGTAACATCTGACCCATAAGCCACAGGAGGCAATTTGGGAAACCCAAACCCTCAGTGACTTCCCTTGTCTGAACAAACCATTAGTACAGCAATGCCACCTCCAATTGAAAAGAGGGTATGATTCATATGAATCACATGACAAGTGCGGGCCTTCTTTTCATTTAGGGAGAGGAGTACATTTGGAAAACAAAAGGAAGCCTTCTGATTATCCTTGATCTGAGGACAAGACTTGATCTGAGCACGGCTGGAAGATGGGAAAGTGAAATGGGTGACAGCTTGAGCGCTAAGTGCACATCTCTGTTGAGAGCTGATTTTTTACATCTCAATCTATCTATATAAATAAAAATGTAATGTTCGTTTGTGGGATTAACAGAACTCAAAAACCACTGGACGAATTTGGACACAAGGCACTTCTCAGGCCAATGTATGTCCGCCACTCAAGTTGTAGTTGCTGGGATTGATAGTTCACTTACATTCAAAGAGCATTCTGAACTCCACCAACGATGGATTTGAACCAAACTTGGCACACAGTTCTCCCATGACCAACATACTGGAAGGGTTTGGTGGGCAGTGTCCTTTGGTTTTGGAGTTGTAGTTCACCTACATCCAGAGATCACTGTGGACTCAAACAATGATGGATCTGGACCAAACTCTACACGAATGCTCCATATGCCCAAATGTGAACACCAGTGGAGTTTGGGGAAAATAGAATCTTGACATTTGGGAGTTGTAGTTGCTGGGATTTATAGTTCACTAACAATCACAGAGCATTCTGAACTGGGCCAAACCTCCCACACAGGACCCCCATGTGGGCCACAGCAACACGTGGCAGGGGACGGCTAGTCAAGAGATAAAAATGGATTTATATAAATACAATCATAATTTCTGCCCAGCCCAGATGCATGATATTTCTGCAGCCTTGTATTTCCCCAAGTCTCATGCGCCATTGAATCTAATGTGCACCTCAATTTTAAAAACCCTGAAACCAAAACAAGTATTTGCTGGCCAATGTAATGTGCAGCAGCAAAAGGTGCCCTCTGTGTCTTTTGGCCCTGAGAGTGGCCGCCTGCTGGGGATTCCTTCTTTCAAAGCAAACTTGTTTGGACCCCACAGCTCCCAGCAATGGAAAAGAAAGTAATAATAATAATAATAATAACAATAACAATAAACCTTTATTTATACCCCGCTACCATCTCCCAAAGGACTCGGTGCGGCTTACAAGAAGCCGAGCCCAAATACATCAATAAACAACAATAACAGCAATACAACAACAAATGAACTCAAAAACAAAGCAATAAAAACAAAGCAATAAACATTATCAAAACACCACGACGCGTTAAAACCTATGGCAGGGCCAAAAGTAATAATTAAAAGGTTTAAAATATGCTGGGCATGATCAGGTGAAGAGGATAGGTATTTGGAGGGGGGGCGTGCAGACATCCTGGATCTCTAGTAAAGTGCATTTGGGGACATATTGCTTGGAGTTTCCTTATTCTGGGAAGGCACACTGGAACAACCAGGTTTTCAAGCTCCTCCTAAAAACTGCCAGACTGAAGAAGAGAAGTCTTAGAGGAGATATGATAGCCATGTATAAATATGTGAGAGGAAGCCACAGGGAGAAGGAGGGAGCAAGCTTGTTTTCTGCTTCCCTGGAGACTAGGACGCGGAACAATGGCTTCAAACTACAAGAGAGGAGATTCCATCTGAACATGAGGAAGAACTTCCTGACTGTGAGAGCCGTTCAGCAGTGGAACTCTCTGCCCCGGAGTGTGATGGAGGCTCCTTCTTTGGAGGCTTTTAAACAGAGGCTGGATGGCCATCTGTCAGGGGTGCTTTGAATGCAATATTCCTGCTTCTTGGCAGGGGTTGGACTGGATGGCCCATGAGGTCTCGTCCAACTCTATGATTCTATGATTATCATACTACACAAATCTAACACAAGCCCTAATTTTGGGAAGGTAATTTAGTAAAAAAAAAGGTGAGTGTTAAGATTCAGTAATATGCTTGGTTTTAATGAGGAAGAAACAAGGCTAAACGACGAGGCTGAGCCAGACGAAAGGCAAGAAGAGGAGAACCAATGCCCAGCCACTGCCCAACGTTTACATTCCTCCTCAATGACAGGAGGAACCTTTGCTTTGCCTGAGGCACAGGGCAGAGCCATTCTGGGAAGCGATGATGGAAACCCTGTAAAATGGGACTGTGAGGCGAAACTGACTGGGCAAGAGGCATCTATTATGGGCGCTTGTAAACTCCTGTGAACATAACTGCAGGCCAGGCACAGCTTTCTATTGCTTGCAAAGCAGAGGCCTCTTATGATTCAGGGAAACAAACGGAAGGGACTCACCGGTAACTCTCTCCAACGGTGACGATCTCGACTTCACTGTCTGTTGAGGTAACGTTGATTTCTTCGTTGGCGGTGACTTGCGGGGTGGAGGAAGCCTCAATCACCACAACGTCTTCGTCAATGCTTCCTGAACCAAGGCATACAACAATATTTTTACTCCCACATGCCCTCTTTGCCATCTTTTCAGGCTGTCCTTGGCCATTTTAGGCATGGGAGAGCCCTTTTTTGACCATAAAGAGCAACTTGGAAATCACTTCCTATTTTTAAAAAAGTTTTTCCTGGGCCTAATGCAGGCATGGGCCAACTTCGGCCCTCCCTTCAGGTGTTTTGGACTTTCCCACAATTCCTATCAGCTGTTAGGAATTATTTGAGATAGAATAAACATTTCTTGGCTCCATTGGATTCAATTAGAAAAATGGAATAACAATTGGTGGGTCCGAAATAAAACTGGGAAACAAATAACACAATTTGAGGAATTGATAATAAAAGAATTAAAAAGATAAAATGGCAAGCAATTAAAAGGAACAACAAGTAAAATATATAAAATACTAATTAAAGACACAGGAAAAAAGAAAAGATTAATATTAAGAGAATTATGGGAGGAGGAAGTAGGAACAATGATAACTGAAAAAGAATGGGAAGAGATATGGAAAGCAAGACACTTAAAAACATGTCAATTAGAATAAAAGAAAATTATTACAAACTAATTTGGAAATGGTATTTAACACCGAGAAGGTTAAACATTATAAATAAGAACAATAATGAAAAATGTTGGCAAGGATGCCAAGAAACTGGGACCTACATGCATATGTGGTGGAACTGCAAATATGTAAAAGATTTTTGGGAATTGGTTATAACAGAAATAGAAAATATCATGGATATAAAAATTAGGAGGAATCCAGCAGAAATATTACTTTTAATTAAAAAAGAGGATGGGAAAGATAAGAGGGGGGAAAATTTAATAGACATGCTATTAACAGCATTTAGACTATTAATTGCAAAATATTGGAAAAGAGCAATGAAAATACAGATTAATGAATGGTATAAAGAAGTCTGGAAAATGGCACTGAATGATAAGCTAACATCAAACTTAAAAGTAAAGAAGGGACTATGTAAAAAAAAATTACTATGAAAGTATTTGGAGAAAATTTCTAGAAAAATTATTGGAAAAAGAAGATGGGAATTTACCTCCAAATGAAGAACTGGATTTTTTGGTGGGACTTTAAGAAAAGAGATGGCTCTGGAGAAGGGGAGCACAGGGGTGAATGTAAATAAAAGAGAAGGAAATGTATAGTATATGTCTATATAACTGTATTTTCTCTTCTCAAATAAAAATCTAATTATAAAAAGGAATTGTATGAGATGGGAGTCCAAAACACCTGGAGGGAGGGCCAAAGTTGGCCCAGGCCTGGCCTAATGTGACCAGTGTCCACAGCAGACATTTACCCCACACCCACAACAGTCAGAGCCGCCCCATCCTTCACTTGCAGAGGGCCCTCCTTCACCTGCAGGAACAGCCGCGCTGCTTGGGTGGCTTTCTCCAGCCGAGACGAAGATGTCCTCCTCCCCATCGGAAGAAGAGCTGGAGGAAGACTCGCTGCTGAGGTCGTTCTCACTGGAGCTGCTGGAGCTGGGCAGCAAGGCATACTTCCTCCGCGCCAGGACCTCCCGCTTCTTCCGCTGCATCAGGATGCGCTCCTTCTGGTTCTGTGTCCGCTGCGAGGAGCCGCCTTTCACAAACCGCTTCCGGCAGGGCAACCTCCGCAGGGACCCCCCTCCGCCGTTGCCGCCTCCACTGTTATGGAAGCAGGGCCTCTTCATTAGGAGCCCCGGCATGGTCTCGGCCTCGGTCCGTGGCCACTTCTGCGGCCGGGAGCCAGGAGTCCTGCTGGCGGCACTCAGGGCGGCCCTGGGGTGCCTCACGGGGGGAGTGGCAGAGGCGGCTGCGACAGTGGCAGCAGAGGCCTCCTTGTCCTCGTCGGAGCTGACTGTGTCTGAATCCCCAAAATGCAGGCTGGAGGAGGGTGAGGAGACGCACTCACTGAAGGAGGATTCGTTGTCTTCGCTCGGCATCTCCAGGCGTGGCCTCAGTCCCAAAACACGGGGTTCTCCTTTGCCGCCACAACTCTGGGCAAAGGAGGGTCCGGCCTGCTGGCTTTTGCGCTTCTTCCGTACAACAATGGCCTCCTCTGCCGGCTCCGGCTCCTCCGGGCGACCTCCACTGGCTTCTTTCTCCTTCTGAGAGTCGCCGCCACCACCACCACCGCAGAGATGTGAGAAGTCATCCCCACCTTTGCTGGCAATCATCCCCACCTCTTTCTCTTCTTCTTCGGGGAAGCTTTTGCCGGGCTCTCCGATGGCGGGTGCCGGAAGAGGAGGAGGAGGAGGGTTCAAGAGGACCCCCTTCAGGCTCTCCTGGCTCTTGGCGGCACCGTCAGGGGAAGCATCACTCTTCATATCCGCGTCCGGGGGGTAGGCGAGGTCACAGCGAGGGCTCCATCGAGACATGGAAGGACAGGCAGCCCTGGGCGGGAGGGAGGGAGACACAGGCAAAAGAGATGGTGAGCGCCGACAGCATAGAGAGCTACGCAAACACAAGGGACACCAAGATTCGTATGAACTACAGAGTCAGAACACAAACACAAGTGGCCAGGGAGACACCAAAAGTTGCTAGTGCTGCAAGAGGCCACAAGGCTCCGAATGGCAAAATCAACCTCAACAGGGAGAAATGCAGGGTACCACACTCAGGCAGAAATACATGAAATGCACAGGTACATGGTCTGAAAACAGTCTATGCGGAAGAGACCAAGGAGTCTTCGTGGACCACAAGCTGAACATGAGTTGAGAGTGTGATGCAGCATTTCTAGGCTGCACGAACAGGAGCCTAGTCTCCAAATCGAAGGAATTCATGCTCTCACTCTCTTCCTTTTCACCTGGTTATTGTGGTTGTTGTTAACTTTATTTATACCCCGCTTTTTCCCTAAGACTAGGAGTCAAAGCAGCTTTTGTGCTTTGGTTACTGTACTTCAAGCTAGTACAGTAACCAACTCAAACTGCTCCCAGTTAGTGAAAGTGGCACCTTTGAGCCATTTGTTATCCAGGGAATTCTAAAATCCCAGGGCAAATCAGAGTTTCAGCCACTACCAACCCAGGATATTATCTTGGCAACTTGCCAAAACCACAGGGAAGAAAGATCTGCAGGAAGAAGCTGGATACATCGTCTTCCAAGAATCAGGGATGGCTTCATCAAAGGAGGCAGAAGACAGGTGGCATTCCCACAAAAGTTATAGAATCACAAAGTTGGGGGGGATGGACGGACTCAAAGACCATCCAGTCCAACCTTCTTCTGTCATGTAGAAATACACAACCCAAGCATTCCCTGCAGACCCAGAAAACCCTCCAAAGAAGGGGATTCCATCAGAACCCTTTCCTTCTGCCTTTTGAGATTTCTCTTGCATGCAAGAGCAACATTCCTGCTGTACTCTGCTTCAAGCTGCAAGGAGAAGCAGGTATTATTGTTATTATTATTATTACGAGGTTCTTAGAGACAAATGGGTCACAAGAAGAAGGAAAAGTGCCTCCTCCTCTTGCCTCTGTGAGAGAACTCACATTCCAGCTTCTGCCGTCCAATCATATTTCTTATATTGCCTCTGAGAATCTCGGCAATCGGGAGCCAGGAAGGGCCGAATTGCCAGAGTATTGCTCCGAAGACTCAAGGAGAATGCAAAAGCCTCATTCGATGAGCAATTAGGTCCCAAAAATGCAAACGGTTTCACCTTCACTTTCTAAAGCCCTGGCAGGATTTGTTAGATTTAACCATTTTTTTCTCCATAAATAATGTCTTCGGCAAGATCAGAGGAAGCGAAGTATCCCAAAGCTCCATGTCTGGGGGAAATAGGGATCTCTCTTGGAATTGGCTGATATATTGTATATACTTGAGTATAAGCCTAGTTTTTCAGTCCTTTTTTTAGGCTGAAAAAGTCTCCCCCGGCTAATATTTATTTATTATTTTACTCTATTATTGTTATTATTACATTTATTATTTTACTCTATTATTATTACATTTATTATTTTACTCTATTATTACTGTTATTACATTCCATTATTTTACTCTATTATTATTATTATTATTTTACTCTATTATTATTGGAGGACATGTAAGCATATTTACATTGAAGAAAGTTAGAATAATGGTTTGATCAGAGTTGGACAGTCTTATCTTGAATTACAGTTTTATGTAAATATTCAAAAACATTTAACCTACTGATGCCTACATTAATATTCTGTGTGCCAAGTTTGGTTCAATTCCATGTTGGCAGAGTTCATAATGCTCTTTGATTGTAGGTGAACTATAAATCCCAGCAACAATAACTCCTAAAGTCAAGGTCTATTTTCCCAAAACTCCACCAGTGTTCACATTTGGGCATATTGAGTACCATGCCAAGTTTGGTCCAGATCCATCATTGTTTGAGTCCACAGTGCTTTCTGGAGGTAGGTGAACTACAACTCCCAAAACTCAAGATCAAACCCTTCCAGTATTTTCTGTTGGTCATGGGAGAACTGTGTGCCAAGTTTAGTTCAATTCCATCGTTGGTGGGGTTCAGAACACTCTTTGATTGTAGGTGAACTATAAATCCCAGCAACTACAACTCCCAAATGACAAAATCAATTTTTTGAGTGAAAAACATACATTGGGTTGTTAGGTGTATGCTGTCCAAATTTGGTGTCAATTGGCCCACTGGTTTTTGAGTTCTGTTAATCCCACAAACGAACCTTACATTTTTATTTATATAGATTCAAAAACATTTAAACTACTGATGCCTAAATTAATATAATTTTATTGGTATTTATTTTTATTTTGAAATTTACCAGTAGCTCCTGCATTTCCCACCCTCGGCTTATATTCAAGTCAATCCATTTCCCCAGTTTTTTTGTGGTAAAATTAGGTGCCTTGGCTTATATTTGGGTCGACTTATATTCATATATATATGGTATATATGAGAGCAGAAGGTGCAAAACTGCAGAACCAGGGAAACATAGACCCACTGGGCCCAAATGTGAAAGGAAGACAGAGCTTCACATCCACAGCTCATTACAGCAAATAGTATCTTTATGGCTCAGCACTTTTGCACAAACACAAAAAACCAGGGAGATCACGGGGAATGGCTTATTAACTAGCTGGAAATGCCCTCTCAGCGAACCTAATTCTAGGAGGCCCAGGCTTCGGGAAACAGAAGAACTGACAACGACGCTCTGTGCGGAGTTTCTCCAACGTGAGATGATGTCTATATCCGCCATGCTGTTTCCCTTCCCTATTTCTTATTCTATGCACTGGAAGACAGGAAAGGGAGATCCTGGATTTGTAATGCAAAGAAGGAGCTTCTCTAAGGAAATAGGATGCCATAGGGAGTCAACTCAGGGCCACAGAGGCAGCTAAAAACCCAAGCAAATTCAAGGCAGAAAAATCCACCCAAAACATCAGTTCTAAGATGTAATTTTTCCCCATATAAACATCTCTAAAAACAGGATGGTTCCAAGAATTACATATATAAATAAGGTTTTTTTTTCAGTTGGTGATTTCACTGAAATCAGTGTGCGTTCCACAATCGAAGAAATACAGTATTGGGGAGTGCCCACTGCCATAGAACTATTTAGAACAGGGGTCGTAGTTTCCGTTTGGATTATAAGAATAATGGATTCTTATAAGGACAATAAAAAGAGGACTTTACAAGACAAGAGTCGAGCTGGGATAGAATTATGGCAAAGGGAAAAAATTAATAAAGTTAACATATCAAAAACTTCTTGGGTGGAATCTGGAAACTGAATTAATTAAAGAAAATATGATTAAATGGGCAAGGGATGTCGGCCACCCCATCCTCTTGGAGGATTGGGAGCGTGTCTGGGGAAAAAATTAAAATATTCGAGATTGCTAAATGTGAACGAAAACTGGTATAAAATGTTTGCCAGATGGCACCTAACCCTGGAAAAATTAGCGAGATTCTATAAAAATCAAAATAACAAATGCTGGAAATATGGCAAGGACACAGGAACCTACTATCATGCCTGGTGGTTGTGCAAGGAAATCCAAAAATTTTGGAAAAAAATACATGGACACTCCCAGAAAATTTTGAAAACTAAATTCGATCTCAAACTCGAATATTACTTATTGAATTTAACAAAAGCAGAGTTTAGTAAAAACAATGATATAATTTACTTTTATCTAACAACCGCAGCAAGATCTCTCCTAGCTCAGAAGTGGCGTCTAAAGGAGATTCCACTAATTGAAAATTGGTTTAGCAAATTAAGAGACTATATGGATATGGATTACTTAACATTCCTACTTCAAGACCAGTCGGATACTCAAAAGACGGACTGGTCGCTGTTAAGAGAATACTTGAAGGAGCAGAAGTTTAAATAGTTTGAGTTAAATGAAATAAAACAAAGAGAAAAGAAAAAGAAATTMGAACCTCACYGAAGAAGAGAGAGCATAAAAGAGAAGAAGAGAAAGATTACCAAGTTCATGAGAATATGAGTATTAGAGTCAGCCCCTCACGGTCACCCAGCAAGATTCATCCCTCTCACCCTGCGTCCCCCCTTCCTCACCCCCTTTCTCTCCCTTTTACTTCTCCCCCCCTCCCCCGCTCACCACTTCCTACTTTCCCATACACTTGATTATTTTACTGTATGAAAAAAAAAATAAACAATATTTTTTTAAAAAAGAACAAGGGTCCTCAAACTAAGGCCCGGGAGCCTGATACGGCCCTCCAAGCGCATTTACCTGGCCTCGTTCAGGGTCAACCTAAGTTTGAAATGACTTGAAAGCACACAACAATCCTATCTCATCAGCCAAAAGCAAGCCCACACTTCCTACTGAAATACTACTAAGTTTATATTTGTTTAAATTGTTCTTAATTTGAATTATTGTATTGTTTTTAAGTGGGTTTTTTTTTTTTTGCATTACAAATAAGATACGTGCAGTGTGCATAGGAATCCATTCATGTTTTTTCAAATTATAATCCGGCCCTCCAACAGTTTGAGGGACTGTGACCTGGCCCTCCGTTTAAAAACTTTGAGGACCCCTGATTTAGAAGGTAAACAGCAAGCCCTTGGAAGCTTCTATGTGTATCATTTCTGGATATAAAGGGGCAACCTGGGTATTTTGAAGAAGCGAAGAGTCACAAAAAGAGTCTGCTGTGGCTACAAGACACATTCTGCCTCCTTTTAGACCTCCTACATCAGTGGTTCTCAACCTTCCTAATGCCGTGACCCCTTAATACAGTCCCTCATGTTTTGGTGACCCCCAACCATAACGTTGTTTTTGTTGCTACTTCATAACACTCATTTTACTACTGTTATAAATCATAATGTAAATATTAGATATGCAAGATGTATTTTCATTCACTGGACCAAACTGGGCAAAAATGCCCTATGCACCCACATGTGAGTTCTAGTGGGGTTGGCAGAGGATTGATTTTGTAATTTGGGAGTTGTAGTTGCTGGGATTTATAGTTCACCTACAATCAA